TTGTGACGCTTGAGACCAATTACCACCTTCAATAATGAGAACACGATGTATAATATTTGCATGAATAATTCAGTGAACATATCCTGCATGTGCGATATAAATCAACCCTGTACAGTAAGTGAAAATCAATTCTTCTTGAAGACCGAGTCTCGGTTAAATCATGTACTCATATTTAAACCAGCCCGACACAGGAAATGCGGTAACACGATGCCAGGGTTTATTGACTGTTATTGCCATTAATCAGTTTCGCTTTCAACCTTTTGTTCGCATATCGACCCTAAACAAAAGAAGTCACGAGCCTAATATTAAACTCTTCAAAACCCAAATTTATATTATCAGGACGACCGTCCGCTGCGTGGCTGCCTGATCATTCAACGTTATTACATACTAGTTTCCCAGCAACTATTGACAGTGTGGTGTGTTTCCAGACGAATCTCAAGGCGCTCCGCCGCCCACTAAACACCAAGTACGTGTAGCGGGACTCATGGCGATAACAGGCCTCCTCTCTAAGTCGGGTGAGTAGTACCATATAATATTATATTTTTGGAATTTTTATGTTTTGCATACCATTTTTTGTCATGTATTATATCCATAGGTTTTGTTGACATAATTCCCGGTTCGTCCTGATAATGTGTTTTAACTTTGTCAGCTCTAAACTCAAGCTCGTGGGCTTAACACAAGTAATATACCTCTGCGACCTGCCTCCCATATTAAGCTGACCTGCCTTGACACAACGTGGCCACTTTTCAAAGCTTGACGATGCGGGTTAGAATCGGTCTTTAGCAAGCCACTCATGCTTGTCGTAGGTTGGTCAGGTTCGCTGACTTTGTTTCCATGATGGCATTTAGAGACCACCGCCATAAAGCTGGAAAACTGCGTTAAACAGCATTTTGTTTGTTTGTTTGACGCATTCAGCAATAGTCAAGCTATATGGCGGCGGTCTGTAAATAATCGACAATCGACAATCCAGTGATTAACAGCATGAGCATCGATCTACGCAATTAGAATACGATGATATATATGTGTCAACCAAGCCAGCGAGCCTGACCACCCTATCCCGTTAGTCGCCTCTTTCGACAAGCATGGGTTGAAGACCAATTTAAACCCGGATCTTCACGGGTTCGTTAAACAACAAACTGTTCAAAGCGGCGTTAAGCAAACCCACTTACTGACAAGGTTCATCAAACCGTGAACTACGTCATATGTCCAATTCTGGTGACGAACCGGACCGTGTCTATCGATGTCTGCGCTAAGACTAAACGGAGAATGGGCGCTTGGAATATCGTGTGTCATCGTCTACCGATATGATATCATAGATATGTCATTGCTGATTGTTGTGTAAAGCAACCACCCTTTAAAGCAGACGTAAAATATGGGCAGGAAATAAACAGTGGACAGGGTCTTAAACATTGAACAAGACATAGAACATTGGTCAGGACATAGAACATTGGTCAGGACATAGAACATTGGACAGGGTATAGAACATTGGACAGGACATAGAGCATTGGTCAGGTCATAGAACATTGGACAGGATATAGAACATTGGTCAGGTCATAGAACATTGGTCAGGTCATAGAACATTGGACAGGATATAGAACATTGGACAGGATATAGAACATTGGTCAGGACATAGAACATTGGACAGGATATAGAACATTGGTCAGGTCATAGAACATTGGACAGGACATAGAACATTGGACAGGATATAGAACATTGGACAGGACATAGAACATTGGACAGGATATAGAACATTGGTCAGGTCATAGAACATTGGTTAGATCATAGAACATTGGTCAGGGTATAGAACATTGGTCAGGACATAGAACATTGGTCAGGTCATAGAACATTGGTCAGGACATAGAACATTGGTCAGGGTATAGAACATTGGTTAGGATATAGAACATTGGTCAGGACATAGAACATTGGTTAGGATATAGAACATTCGTCAGGTCATAGAACATTGGACAGGACATAGAACATTGGACAGGATATAGAACATTGGACAGGATATAGAACATTGGACAGGGTATAGAACATTGGACGGGATATAGAACATTGGTCAGGTCATAGAACATTGGACAGGATATAGAACATTGGTCAGGTCATACAACATTGGACAGGATATAGAACATTGGACAGGACATAGAACATTGGACAGGACATAGAACATTGGACAGGGTATAGAACATTGGACAGGATATAGAACATTGGTTAGGATATAAAACATTGGTTAGATCATAGAACATTGGACAGGATATAGAACATTGGACAGGACATAGAACATTGGTCAGGGTATAGAACAGTGGTTAGGATATAGAACATTGGTCAGGATATAGAACATTGGACAGGACATGGAACATTGGTCAGGACATAGAACATTGGTGAGGATATAGAACATTGGTTGAGATATAGAACATTGGTCAGGTCATAGAACATTGATTAGGATATAGAACATTGGTTGGGATATAGGACATTGGTCAGGTCATAGAACATTGGTTAGGATATAGAACATTGGTCAGGATATAGGACATTGGTCAGGTTATAGAACATTGGTTGGGATATAGAACATTGGTCAGGTCATAGAACATTGGTTGGGATATAGAACATTGGTCAGGATATAGAACATTGGTCAGGATATAGGACATTGGTCAGGTCATAGAACATTGGTTGGGATACAGAACATTGGTCAGGTCATAGAACATTGGACAGGATATAGAACATTGGTCAGGATATAGAACATAGGACATTGGTCAGGTCATAGAACATTGGTTGGGATTCAGAACATTGGTCAGGTCATAGAACATTGGACAGGATATAGAACATTGGTCAGGATATAGAACATTGGTCAGGTTAAAACAGTTTTAATGATTGACTTGTTAAGAGGATTGAAAGAATACCAACGACTAATTACAACCACAACCCGCTATTTCGGAAGCCCATCTATCGTAAGATCACAAAAATATGGGGCGATACTTCTGATATGAAATATTGTCAGTGCCTTAATATATTCTGGTCACGTTTTGAGCTGGGACACGGAAGTAACCGACACATGCCGACTGTAAGTATCAGTATTTAGTACACAAGATTGCATTGCGGTGAACCTTGTGGTGTTGGTTTATTGGGATGACAAATATAGTATACCTGTAATTAATATAACACGCTATTTCCAGGTGTGTCCGTTTTCTAACTGACGGCATGAATATGACATGAGTTGTTAATCTGTCTGCGTGATCATACAAGTTTACAATGAATCATGGATACGATACGGATGCCGCCATTGTACGTGGGCCTAAACATACCACACACAAGCCTATGCTGATAATGCATATAGACAACAGAAATCCATCCCTGGAAAATTGGTTTTGATCAAAACTTTACAAACCTTTTCAATGCAAAGCTAGGCTGAAAACCGTCGTCGAATTACTGGGAAATTAATAACAAAAACATAATTATGATCAAATAATAATGAACCAATAAACGTTCCTTGTTTGTTGGGCCAGTGGGGTAGCCTAGTGGTTTAAGCGTTCGCTCGTCACACTGAAGACCTGGGTTCGATTCCCCACATGGGTACAGTATGTGAAGCCGTTTAATGTGATCCATGTAATGCCTGATCACTCAGCGGTATATAGTTCGTATACTATGGCGGTCGTTTTTGAAGACAATTACTATCTGGTTAACAGACGTTCCAGAGACAAACGTACTCTGTCCTGCATGTTGAGGTAGTCACTACGTCGTTAAGCAGGTTCCAATGTGGATCCAAGACATATCTTGTTTGGTCACTGTAGTTGGGATGTTGCAGGCAAGGTTGATGCCCTTTCGTGATACCTCATTGTGCACTGTGCAGGGTTACATCCCTTGGGTGCACCAGTAACTGAGACAGTACTAGTTGTAGTGACGTCACAGTTGAAACGTCTCAGTTAAGGATTTTAAGTTACTCACATTGACTGAGTGTTCGGCCATGTTCGCCATGTGCATAGTGAGAATTCAACCAATCAGAGCGCTGCTCTCCTTCACTGCCGAACAACTTGTCGCTGGGGCTAGCAACACAGAATGTCTCAAATAACATGGCATTATAAGTATTATAAACATAGTGATATACAATGATACAAACATTACCAAGAAGCTTACAGTTATCCATCCATGGAGTCTCTAAGCCTGTAACATCTGCTTGACAATGTGAAACATTGGGACATGCCAACATCTGATCGGGGTAGATTATTATTGTAAGATACGTGTGTATAAAGCGTATCGGATGTATTGTGTGTACATATATGTTTTTGTAAGTTCTCTAAGTACTCTGATGACACTGACAACCCTTCAACAAAGGAAGTGACTTGAACCTGTGTATACATGCCCCAAAAAGTCAGTAAAATCAAGGGCGACAATTAGAAAGGCAAAATTGAAACATAAAGAGAGAGAGAGAGAGAGAGAGAGAGAGAGAGAGAGAGAGAGAGAGAGAGAGAGAGAGAGAGAGAGAGAGACAGAGACAGAGAGACAGACAGACAGACACCGCTTTCAGCAATATTCCAGCAACATCACGGCGGGGGACACCAGAAATGGGCCCCACGCATTGTGCCCATGTTGGGATTCGAACCCAGGTCTTCGGCGTGACGAGCCAACGCGTTAACCATTAGGCTACCCCACCGCCCCGGGAGAGAAAGAGAGGTGGGGAGAAGAGGGAGAGAGAGAGGAGGTATCTTCAGACACTTGAGGAGGTATCTTCAGACACTTGCTTGTACGACACCTATCTCTGGCTATGAACAGTATGAACCTGTACGCTCCACTAGCTATAACAAACGTACGCTCCACATAACACGGACCTAGACTCTGCTATGCCATTACAAAATGTCTCTCTCGGCTACCTATCACGTTGTTGGGGATTTTAATTAGACAACTTACACCGCTTCCTGGTCATAAAAAGACAATAGGATGGTATTGATTACCATCAGTCAAGATGGAGATAGTTCGATGCATTATTGACGATCTGACGGTGGGTTGGAGTACGAGGGTCGTCAGATAGGAGGCTAGAATACTGATCACACACTAGCGGGCACCTGAAGGTTTTACACGTGCGCCAGGTAAGTCGGTGTATGTGTATTGTTCAATGTGTATGTTGTGTGTTTGTTTTGTTTTTTGTTTGTTTGTTGTTTTTGTGTGCGTGCGTGTGTGTTTGCGTGCGCGCACGCGCGTGTGTGGGTGTGTCTAACGGTACATACATGCGTTATCTCGAAAACACACACACGCACGGGTTATTGTCTCCACACGTGGTATATAGTGCATACGATATGATCCGTGCATGGGATGTTCTCCACTAAACGGGTTATGATCCAACGTGACGTTTGATCCCCAGACAGATAATGTTCCACTCACGTGACGTATGATCCACAGACAGATAATGTTCCACTCACGTGACGTTTGATCCACAGACAGGTAATGTTCCACACGAGTGACGTATGATCCACACACAGGTAATGTTCCACTCACGTGACGTATGATCCAAACACAGGTAATGTTCCACACGAGTGACGTATGATCCAAACACAGGTAATGTTCCACACGCGTGACGTATGATGCACAGACAGGTAATGTTCCACTCACGTGACGTATGATCCACAGACAGGTAATGTTCCACTCACGTGACGTATGATCCAAACACAGGTAATGTTCCACTCACGTGACGTATGATCCAAACACAGGTAATGTTCCACACGAGTGATGTATGATCCACAGACAGATAATGTTCGACAGACAGGTAATGTTCCACACGAGTGACGTATGATCCCCAGACAGGTAATGTTCCACACGCGTGACGTATGATGCACAGACAGGTAATGTTCCATACGAGTGACGTATGATCCACAGACTGACTGACTGAGTTTGGTTTTACGCCGCTTTTAGCAATATTCCAGCAACATCACGGCGGGCACAGACAGATAATGTTCCACTCACGTGACGTTTGATCCACAGACAGATAATGTTCCACACACGTGATGTATGATCCCAAGACAGGTAATGTTCCACTCACGTAACGTTTGATCCACAGACAGATAATGTTCCACACGCATGACATTTGATCCCCAGACAGGTAATGTTCCACTCACGTGACGCTTGATCCACAGAAAGGTAATGTTCCACACGAGTGACGTATGATCCACACACAGGTAATGTTCCACACGAGTGACGTATGATCCACAAACAGATAATGTTCCACACACATGACGTATGATCCGCACACAGGTAATGTTCCACTCACGTGACGTATGATCCGCAGACAGGTAATGTTTCACACGAGTGACGTATGATCCACATACAGATAATGATCCACACGAGTGACGTATGATCCACAGACAGGTAATGTTCCACACGAGTGACGTATGATCCACAGACAGGTAATGTTCCACACGAGTGGCATATGATCCACACACAGGTAATGTTCCACTCGCGTGACGTTTGATCCACACACAGGTAATGCTCTACACGCGTGACCTTTTATCCACAGACAGGTAATGTTCCACACGAGTGACGTATGATCCACAGACAGGTAATGTTCCACTCACGTGACGTATGATCCACAGACAGGTAATGTTCCACTCACGTTACGTATGATCCACAGACAGGTAATGTTCCACTCACGTGACGTATGATCCAAACACAGGTAATGTTCCACACGAGTGACGTATGATGCACAGACAGGTAATGTTCCACACGAGTGGCATATGATCCACGGACGGGTAATGTTCCACACGAGTGACGTATGATCCACACACAGGTAATGTTCCACTCACATGACATATGATCCAAACACAGGTAATGTTCCACTCACGTGACGTTTGATCCACAGACAGGTAATGCTATACACGCGTGACCTTTGATCCACAGACAGGTAATGTTCCACACGAGTGACGTATGATCCACAGACAGGTAATGTTCCACACGAGTGACGTATGATCCACAGACAGCTAATGTTCCACTCACGTGACGTATGATCCACAGACAGATAATGTTCCACACGCATGACGTATGATCCACAGACAGGTAATGTTCCACACGAGTGACGTATGATCCACAGACGGGTAATGTTCCTCCCGAGTGACGTATGCTCCACAGACAGGTAATGCTCCACACGCGTGACCTTTGATCCACAGACGGGTTATTATGATTCACACACAAGAACCGAACATTTTCCACGTCAACACAGAAGGGTGTATGACGTCAATAGCATTGTTGACATTTGTAAACTATGTGAATCTCATCTGAGTGAGCAGGTACGGTTAAACACCTCCATATGACAATATCCCAGCAATACCGATGCTGGTAACGCATTGTCCCCATATGGAGAATCGAACCCGGATCTTCGAACGCTTTGACTACAAGCCTACCCTATCTCTCCCTAAAACATGTATTAGAAACCAGGACTTTTGGAACCTTGTGTATTAGAATTTTTTTGAACCCTATGTATTAGAAATCAGGACTTTTTTTAACCCTGTGTATAAGAAATCAGGACTTTTTAGAACCCTATGTTTTAGAAATCAGGACTTTTTTTAACCATGTGTATCAGAAATCAGGACTTTTTGTAACCATGTGTATTAGAAATCACTGCTTTGTAGAACCCAATGTTTTAGAAAATCAGGGCTTTTCAAAACCCTATGTATCAGGACTATTTTCTAACCCTGAGTGTTAGAAATCAGGACTTTTGATTAGTCCTGTGTATTACAAATCAGGACTATTTTTGAAACCTGTGTATTAGAAATCAGGACTATTTTTGAAACCTGTGTATTAGAAATCAGGACTATTTTTGAAACCTGTGTATTAGAAATCAGGACTATTATTTAACCCTATGCATAATAACCAGCGTTATTCACTCTGACAAATCAACTCCAGATCAGACCACTTGAGGCCGATCCAGGACTCAGAGTCGTCCTGGAGTATATCAGTTCATTACGTTATTTCTAGAGATCAGGTGTTGATTGAGATGAATGATAAAATGTTTAAGTGCCAGCCACCGATCATATTCCGAGCAGGTACTTGTAGGTGTAGGTAGCTGGTGGTATACATGGTAACAAATCGCTGGTGTTATCGTGTAGGAAGTCAGATATCTTGCCTGCACTGTTTGTGACGTATATCACGATTGTATAACCGTGCCTTTTACTCTCTTTACCCCAGATATTATCATTTGTAGACGGCTATATCGTGTTATATGTAGCCAGACTACACACAAATGTCGGAGTCTGATTGGCGGAGATCCGTTTTATTAGTTTCAGTGAACCTTTCTAACAAGTAAGGCACATTTTGTTCTAACTGCCGAACTGTTGGTATCACATTTGCAACATACCAAACGTTATTGTGTATCTCGCAAGGCGACATTTTCCGGAAAAGTACGACATATATCTACAGGAAAAAACACTTTTTGTCTATTGTTGTCTGCAGTAACATGCCTAACTGTGGTATTCTTACTGCATGCATAAGACACACCTGCAATAATGCTAGTCCATGCAGGGATAATCTACCTATTCTATTCTCCCTATTCTCTATGAGAGGCGATAACACGAAGGGCTTGGGTAGCCTTGTGTTTTAAGCTTCACCGCCACGCCGAAGATGCGGGTTCGATTCCCTTCAGGGGGCATAAAACCTGTTTCTGAGTAAGTGCGAAAAATATTTTGAAAACAAATTCAGTTAAAATAGGGGAAAGCGCAATTTTGGCCCAAAAGCGGCGTAAAACCATACTCATTCATTACGGGTGTCATTCAAGCAGTGGGGCGGTGGTGTAGACTAGCTAGTTGTTAAAGCGTTCGCTCGTCACGCCAAAGACCCGGGATCGATAGCCCACAATGTGTGAAGCCCATTTCTGATGTCCCCCGCCGCAATATTGCTGGAATATTGCTAAAAGCGGCGTAAAAATAAAACTCACTCACTCACTCAAGCAGTGATACCTTTATCATCCTGGCAAATCATTCAGAGAATGGACGGACTTAAAACCACGCCCTTTAACACGCGCACCTGTTAAAGATCTTTAGAAATTATTGTATAGACTATCAATTAAGTCCGCCATATACAACGCTGTCTCACGTTTCACGTCAACACCCTCATAGATTTCGTTGTAGCGTAAACTCGTGCACACTGCCGTGACTGACAAATACCTCCACGCTAATGACGAAGTGTCGAGACCGAATTTCAATCAGCCATGTTTGTCAAAACGTTAACAACGTCTTTTGACGTTATCACGCATAGGAAAGGTACAAACAATTGCCAATATCTCCCACATAGAGGCCGCTACATGATACGGCGGTACATTAAATGGAATATACCAGTAATTGCTATTCATCTAACATGGAGGCATTCACAAACATAATTATACACCGGACGCGTCTCAATAGAAATGTTTATTTGCAAATGCTTTTTGTCGAGATAAACTTTCCTATTCGTGGAATACAAAGCCAGAGTTGAATGCAGAACATATATATATTGACACGGGTCATATCTGGCAGTAATCACGATCAGCAAAGACGGATAACAACCTGTACATATTTCGTTTAAACAGTTATAGGGGCGTGTGTTGGCGACCTCGGTCAGATTGACTGGTTGTTTGTGTTGGAGCCTGTGCGCCAGGTAGGTGTCTGGCTGCGGGTTTAATTACGTATACAAACGTGCTCAAACATAGTGTACGTATTTACTGACCCTCTCCCCGAGGGATACGGCTTAGTTTTTCGGAGTACCTCAGGTAAGGTGATAATCTTCCAAGACGGTGAACTTACAAAGGTAAGAGGGTCCAGGTGTGACGAATACCGACTGATTTAAACATTAATGAACACAATTACATCATGAAACGGAAAAATAACATTGAGTTATTTGCACATTACGATGTTGATGTTATCTCGAGAAACTAGTTACTTTCAAAGGAGTTTACCAGCACGGACGTGTGTCACTCACAGGGCTCCAGATAACGTTTCAACATCAGGAGTACGTACTGCTAATTTTTCAATATAGGAGTACTGGAAAACAATAAGAGTACATTTAGAGTACTGAATGGAATTTAATGGAGAATCAGTAATCTTGTGTTTCGTTTCATATAAGCACCACAACATTGCTACTCTTGTGTAAACAGGTCAATAAACAATAAAACAATACTTTTTTAGATAAATACGTCTGTAAATGATTCTAAGACCGTACTCCATTGCTGTAGTGCGTATCTGCTACGTTTTCTAAATTATTTCCTACCGTATCGTGCTTGTTTTATATCCGTAACTACGCCTATACGGCCCTTATCTGCAGCCCTGATTCAGAACAACAGTTGACGTTTTGTTTTTGTGTTTGAAAGACTATACTGGATTTCACCACAGGTAAATGTAAACAATTCTGTTAAGAGAATGAGTGCGTATGGATTTACCTAGACTAACGCTTAGTCTCTGAATATATATAATTTTGATAGAAACAGACAATTACTTTTAAATTGGAAAGAAGCCCTTGTGATATGGGAGATTCAGAACCTGGGGAGCGAGTGAGTTTAGATGTACGCCACTTTTACCAATATTCCAGAAACGGGCTTCACACATTGTACCTATGTGGGGAATCGAGCCCGGGTCTTCGGCGTGACGAGCGAACGCTTTAACCACTAGGCTACCCTACCGCCCCAGAACCTGAGGAAATGTAGACCTATGTATTTAGGGCTTTAAGCATTGCAGAAAGCGCTTGGCAGAAGGGCAAATTATACAGTTCAGGGATTGTGAGACATACTATTTTCTATCCCGCTTTGAGCAAAATCCCCGCAATATTACAAGCAATACAAAAACGGGGTATCGAACCAAGTCCTTGGTGGAATGAGCGATCGCTTTAACCACAAAGCTACTTTATTTTTACGCCGCTTTTAGCAATATTCCAGCAATATCACGGCGGGGGACACCAAAATGAGCTTCACACATTGTACCCATGTAGGCAATCGAACCCGGGTCTTCGGCGTGACGAGCGAAGGCTTTAACTACTGGGCTACCCCACGGCCCCCTTAACAAACGGAATTAGTATGGACTAGTATCAAACCAAAACACGCACGCACATGCATTCGCGCCGGTATATTGTTGCATTTGGGACCGATATCAGTGTTTTGATTTGGCAGTACGCACTGCTTGTTGCTTGTAGGTCACAATCAAAGCACTTTTCAAAATATTTACGTTGTTTCCGGGAAAATAATCCCAAAACGCCAGGCCTGTACTTTCTTTTCTACGTCAATTTATGTGCCATAATCTTAAACGTTGAACCCCACGGTCGGTTCCCCGAAAACATTTTCCCTGAGGTGCATTTCCCCCTAACCTTTGGACTTCATGATTTATGAGCACACACACACTCCAAACTCTTCTCCAAAACCCTGGATCCGCCCCTAACCCCATGTCATCTTCATCTTATATATCTGTGTCCACGGTTAAAGGATTAGTGTTAACACAGCCAAAGTGTTCGAAGGGACCAAAATTAAATAATGATAATAATTTTGCCTCGAGCTTCACCGGAAAAGACAACAATTGTTCGTTCCCTGGACACATTGAATGTTTTGCAAATATGTGAAGTTTTGTGAAAGTAAAAATTCTTCGTCTCTACCTTGCATGGTGAATCGATAAAACAGCAAACACAAGTTTGCTTTCTTATCATATAGATGTTCAGTTATTTGAAATAAACGTCCCTGTTTTTGTTTCAGATCTGTTTCCAAAAAATGGGTGTTGGGCGTCAACTGTGACTCCCAAACTCCACAGATTCACACCATTGCGGCCATATTGCTGGGTATCCTGTTCAATTATTCACCGCAAAGGCCGACCATTGTTTTCATTGAAAGGAGACGGTTCAGGGTCTGATAAAAAATTAATGTCAATCTTGGCGCGGGGTAATTAGAAGTGATGGTATGACACAAGCCCGTATCATCGACATCAAAGATGGTGGATTGTTGCCATGGCAACAACCAAACGAGAACCATGAGTCTCAGTCACATCTCGATGACGTCATACCAAAGAACTTTGACAAACTGCATCGAACCGGTTTTCCCGAAATTGATACGGTCGCCGCTGCAAATGGTTATCTCGTGTGCCAAAGGTCAACAAGTGCAATTATTGAGGAAGAGGGCGAGGAAGAGGTGTTACCAGACAACCGCTGTCCAAAACATGAGACGCTTCAAGCTGTGCAGAAGACTCCTAAATGCATGTGCAATTACGGAAAGTCTGCCTCAGGAGACCAGCTCAAAATGTATTCGTTGTCCAACAGGAAGTGTTTCTGTAGTCCTATTGACGAAGGAGAGGAAGGTAGCATGTGCGCATGGGGAGGTGCAAAGAACAAGGTTCGAACACAGAACAGTGGTGTGTCTGTGTCCAAAAGGAAGCCGTACATTTCAGTGTTTCAGCGACTCTGTGCCGATCACAAGTACAAACCATACCACTTCCAACATACGACTGACACCAGCGACCACATGGCGCAGTACCGGAAGTGCCATACTGTAGCGGATGTCGGGAAAGAGGCTCGGCCGCCGCCCAGGTTTGGAGTTGACGTGCCAGATCCGTACGCCATCAGGATTAAAAATATATGGTTAGTTTGTTCTCTGGGTGTATGGCTTGTTATATAAAGGCCCCTGTATCTGCTGTGTTCGATTCTTTAACAATACAAAAAAAATACGTGGTGGGTAGGAAGGAGCCTGATGTCTCGAGACTGAAGTGGAATATTTGCGGCGTTAAACAACATACATTCTCATTCAGTGTACTACCTATGTCTACCATGTCACAAATAAGGACAGGTTTACATTCATTGTATATTATTTAGACATTTTTTCTGATCACATTGAATGAGCATGGCAACTTTACAGACTGACATTGCCTACCGGTATGTCGCTGACCACACCCCCTTTGTATGTCACTGATTGCTCCCGCTTTGTATGTCTCAGATCACACCCTCTAGATTTCACAGACCACTACCTCATTTGCATGTCACGTATCACATCCCCTCTGCATGTATCTAACCACGCCCCCTTTGTCACCCTAACCACGCCCCTTTGTTACTCTAACCACGCCCGCTTTGCATGTTTTGACCACCCGTGTTTTGTGTTCCAGCTCTATTGTCAACTCATGTGATTTCACTTCTCTGCTCCCTGGTGACTCGGACGCAAGGTAACAAGGGCAGATTCTAGCAAAAACGATCCAAATGGGTAGCTTCGCACCTAAACCATTTAAATATACAAACGAGTATATCCTCAGAATCTAAATACAGTTGAACACAGCACATAGTGACTACCGTTGCGATTATCTAAGCTCGAAGATAGTACAACAACGGACAGCGCTATAGCCATCCCGCTCGTCTCAACATATGGATATCTCAATATGACTGCCCTTCCCAGATAAATTTTTGCTAGCATATACGAAATCTACGACTGTCTGGAACAGCTGTATTCAAACAGTGTGATCATTTGGCACAAGTCCCCGGGATCAAATCAATACTTTAGGATCACAATGCCGGTTGATGTGTGGGGATTGCGGGTAAGAAAAATGGGCTCCAGGAATCATGGGTTAGAATCTCCGTGCATTGTGAATATTATGACTCATGCTTTGTGATCACCTTTTCTCTATTCTATCATATTGGATAGGTGGGTATCTAAGACAGAAAAAACAGAGCCCCGGCGGCAAGACCTAATTTCCGACCTCAATTCTTAATTTCCCTTGGGTTAACAACGCCCGGCTTAACTCCCGACTCGTGTTTTAACCTACACACAAAATTGACATATCGGCACATAAATTTCTAGTAAATCAAGTTTAACTCAAGAAAGTAAATATGTCCTTGGAATTATTCTTTAGCCACCCATGCTTGTCGTTAGAGGTGACTACAGGGATCGGGTAGTCATGTTCGCCGACTTCTGCCGAGAGATTAACACGCGTCCCTAGTGTTTTGATGGGTACTCAATTCACAGCAAACGCCTGCCGAGAGATTAACAATGAATACACTTAGTCGTCCGGTAAACAATACTGACGTGAAACATACATGTACACATGCACATGTGCCCAGATCTTTCCGTCCGGATAACTGGATCATTTTTAAATGGAAATCTATGGGAATGGTTTGAAACTTCTCCGTGCGGGTCCGGAAGCGCGGGGTCCGGCTAAGCGAGTACAATTACTGAAGGCAAGTTTCGTTTCACCTAAAAATCGTCCGGAAGGCGGGGTTTCCGGATATACGGGGTCCGAGTAAACGGGGTTCGACTGTACATGTCATTGTATCCCAGCTGCGTAGATCGATGTGGCCTCTTACTGAAAGATCTGGTTACAGACCGCTGCCTGTGTGGCAGCGGTCTGTAACCAGATCTTTGGAATACTGTTGAACTACAACCAAAAGTGACAACAAAAGACTAAACATGCCTTTATTCTTCTTCTTCAGCTGTTCCGACTTCGGCAGCACGATGTCCGCCGAGTCCGGGGTAAAGGAGAAGGAGAGGGGCCACGACAAGACGCCCCAGGGGGACAATCCAAAACGAAAGAAGGGGGACAAACCGCACTTAACCAACACCCGCAGCGTTCCATCCCTGACTCCCGTTCGAAACAAGAAGAGTGACTCCACAGATCACCACAACCGCCGAGCAGACGACACAGCAGAAGATTACATAAAGGAATACGAACGGCTGAGAAGGGAACGAGAGCTGCAGAAGTCCAACACACTGCCTCAGATTCTGCTCCGAAATGACGCAGAAGTAACAGTCAAACCTGGATCCAGACCAAACTCTGACTTCTCATCAGCTACCCAGCGGTTACTCGACCAGTTACAGTCTCCCTTTAAACGATTTCTCCAATATAAGCATATCAAAGGAGGACATGTGGAGTTCCTCAGAGAAACAGATCATCAAAAGTCCACCAGTGTTAAACTGTCAGAGTTCCTGTCAACGGCTCTCCTTGGAGACGGATGTCTAAGAACAGGCTTCAGGACTTCCAAGGTATCGAAGCCGAAGGTCAAGGACAAAAAGGGAGATAATAAATATACACCGGATGTACATCTTCCAGAGCTTGTTGGACGGACGTGTGATACAATCAAGGATTCTAAGAGAGGTCAGGGGCCTAGTGAGTCTCAGGCTTGTGGTAATGTTTTATCAGTGTCCTTTGATGATATTGAAGTGCCAAAGAGCAAATCCTTACATAAATCAACTAATCCCAGTGCAAGAGATCAGCTTCCAATAGAATACAAGATAAAGAAAAGACAGATGCAGAAAGTAGTAGACCTAATGTCCATAGCAAGGTAGACCCAAGGTTGCAGGATCTGTCATAAGTCAGTGTTTGTCATCAGTTGAAATAAACCATTTGTCAGTCCTTATGTAGTTCATAAGTTCCATTTTACAGGGAAACTATGTTCTATTTTATAATAAGTCATACCGAGACGTTATCTTTGTGTGAGGGTTTTAATGACCTCGGGTACTGATAAGTGAAATGAGGTATAGAGTAATATGTTGGTATTAAGTATTCATCATAACAGACTCGTCCTTTGGTTAGCCTGGTCACCAGTTAACATCTATTTGCTCTGACGACTTTGGGATTGAAACATAGATGATTTGCTCGCCATGCAGAATAGTGAGGGAGTTTTACGCTGCTTTTAGCAATATTCCAGCAATATCACGGCAGGGGACACCAGAATGGGCTTCACACATTGTACCAACGTGGGGAATCGAACCCGGGCCTTCGGCGTGACGAGCAAATGCTTTAACCACGAGGCGACCCTACCGCCCCTCGAGGCAGAATACACCATGATGGCAGTTTTATAAATCTTTGTAAAATATGGACAGTTGTCGTAACGGTACAATAGGTTTGTGAAAAGGAAGTGGGATAAGAAGTGGTAATCTGGGATTCTAACAAGACTAAAAAGCCAAGGAGACTAAGGGAAGTAACTCTCCACTGTCCCAACCTCTTCTCAGTAGTACAAATCTGTGTGAAGGTAGTCCATGACAGATTAGGAATTACACATCCAATATCCAAGAGTCCTGTATTAGTGGACAAGATCCCACTCAAACTATACGTAAGTTTTGAAAATTAGGTAAAATAGTCTTTAGTGTTCAAGAATATTGCATTTTTATACCGACGTGTATATGCATGTGTGTGCCTGCGTGTTAATAATATTATGGAATACTGCCGTTTTCATATATGCTGGACAAAATAAGTTAGGGATATTGGTATTTCTATGATTGATATTTTATCAGTGTGTGTCATTGAATGAATAGATCATTATTCATATTTTCAAAATTTACATATATCCCGAACTATTTTTGTCCAGTACCGGTATATGTATTATATTGATACCCCTACTCTGACAGCATAACAACACGACAACCCTTGTTTCATCTCCTGAATGCACAGAAACAACAAAGTCACAGTCATAGCGCTGAGATTGCAAAAACAAACACACACAAAGACAAAAGGTAACTTTTACTGTCATAGGTATGAACAATGGCTATGATGATGAGGTATATACAGAATGCTAATGGTGGAATATACAGGATATATGTATGATATACAGTATACACAACAAGACCGGACACAAGGCCAACGTTGACATGTGGTCAGTACACCTTGAGGCAAACATACAGCTGATTACAGAATTTGCCAAAACAGCCGACAAAGGCCAATCATATAGGACTGATTCAATCTCGAAACACAGGACATTCTTACCCTTTCACAGACAAACTGGTATTATCACTGATTTTTAGTGATATTATTTAGCGGTATTATCACTGAGTTTTAGTGATCCATTCATGTAATGTTGCCTTTTCACATCAGAGGGTATATATTTTAAGAAATAATTACACTTTACTGTATTTATATCTTATAAATAGTGACCACCATTTCTCACAGTTAACAGTGTCCACTATTTCTCACTAAGTTTTGGAAAGGCATGGAGGATGAATATTAGTGAGTGAGTGAGTATGGTTTTATGCAGCTTTTAGTAATATTCCAGCACTATCACAGCAGGGGATACCAGAAATGGGATTCACAAATTGTACCAGTGTAGAGAATCGAGCCTGGGTCTTCGGCATTGAACGGACGCTCTAATAACTCGGCATCGGCCACAGGATGAATATTACTTGATAACAACCTTCCATTGTTTGAAAACATTCTTGAGTTGACTACTACTGAAAGGGCAAGCAGTATCCCTATGATCATATCGAGTTTCATCACTTCTCACCTGTGTAACACATGTCCCCATCAGCCTTGCTACCCGGTCATCTAACGTGATAGACAAAATACTCCCTTGTCCATTGCGTAAATAAATGTTTTATCTAATCTAAACATTTATTTCATTTCTTACCACAGTTCATGGAATTCTCAACACATATAATACATGACAGGCATTACTGTAAATATTCTATCAATGCATACAGTTATGAGACACAGGGAAAGAGTCCCTCTATTTCATCCCTCACCTTTAGTCAAACAATGGTATTGCCAGAAAAAACACAATTGTCAAAAGCACATGTGTATGAGAACATACACAAATTAAATCATATCTACTCTGTCAGTCACATGTTTGTATGCATTTGGTACTTCCACTATCCGAACCGATGAAGATCAGGAATAGAATTGATCTTCAGCAACCCATGCGTGTCTCCCTTGAAGATCGTGGTTAGAATTGTTCTTAGCAACCCATCCATGTAGGAGGAGGTGACTAACAGGATCGGGTGGTCAGGTTCGCTGACTTGGTTGACACATGTCATCGGTTCCCAATTGCCAAGATCGATGCTCACAATGTCAACACTGGATTGTCTGGTCCAGACTTGATTATTTACAGACCGCTGCCATATAGCTGGAATATTGCTGAGTGCATAGTGAAACAACCATTTGATTGTTTGTTGTTCAATGCCACACTCAGCAATATTCCAGATATATGGCAGTGGTCTGTAAATATTCAAATCTACACCAGACAATACCTTGTTCCACAGCATGAGCCGCCATCTCCACAACTGGGAAATGATGACACGCGTCAACCAATTAAACAATAAACAAACTTCCATTATTAGGAATACATACTACCACTTTGCAACAGTCACTATTTTTACTAATGAATCAAAAAATGACATACATCAACCAAGCCAGTGAGTGAGTGAGTGAGTTTGGTTTTACGCCGCTTTTAGCAATATTCCAGCAATATCACGGCCGGGGACACCAGAAATGGGCTTCACACATTGTGCCCATGTGGGGATTCGAACCCGGGACTTCAGAGTGACTAGCGGACGCTTTAACCACCAGGCTACCCCACCGCCCCACCAAGCCAGTGAACCTGATCACTCTGATACACTCAGTCATCGTTGAAAAGATTTCCATGGTAACGCACAGCCTAATTTGATAAGCATACTGAAAGTAGTCACACCTCATTAATACATTGGGAAGCAACCTTTGTATTCAGTTTGGAGGAACTTAGTGCATACAAATCTTGAGTACTGACGATGTCATCTGTATATGACTAAAGGACAAACATGTTTTCAAGACACTATCTCATAATGTTACAGTACTGTTAGTATCAAGAGAATATTCAGGACGCATGTGTTTCAACCCCACATTCACTCCCGCTTGAAACATCACATTCACTAAATCAGCAGCTGTCAACAACATTCACTCTGCATTCAGGACTGTCAAGATACTACCATCGCTATACCATACTTCATTTCCTGTATTATACATGAATGAGTGAGTTGGGTTAATCACAGGTTGGGTATTCCAGTTATATATAGGTATGTCAGCTTAATGAAGGAGGGAAGCCCAAAGTGATAATGTCTAAGACATTACCTCTTGGGTGAAACTTACAAGAACAGCAAGATGCTGACAAATCTAGAATCATAATTGCAACAAATTTTGGATTTGGAGATATGATCATATCAATTCCATAGCTGATGTCGGAGCCTTTTTTTACCTGGTCACCCCTTTCACCTGGTCACCTGGTCCCCCCTCTCCCAAACACATGACACCACAGCGCCAAACCTGACATGAACTCAAGCCTATAAGGTGGATTGTAACCCATGTCTTCAGTGAGTAGGAGTAGAGTACTGTGGGAAAATCAGAGGGTAATCCATTATAATTTCAAATTTCATTTAAAACCGAACGCCAGATGCGAGGTTTTAAATGAACAATTTAGAGCTATTATAATTTCAATTATATACCTCTGATTTTCCAACACAGTAGGTTTATCTCCATTCTACCATGACAATTTTATGAACAATTTCAGGTGGAGCTCTTTCTTTGGTTACGAGTCAATACATGAAGCGGCCTCGCATTCCAATCTCAAGTGGTATCGCCTCTTAAACGGGTGTTTGGTGGCAAACCGTCAATGACTAACAAACTCCAGATTCAGTAATAACAAATCACGTTTTGTTTTTCAATGCATCAATCACCAATCATTAACTGATAAGTTGGAAAACATATATCAAATAAGTTTCAAAAGCTTGGTTCACATTTGAAAATTCCATCGTAAGACCCTTTCCCCACCAGAATAGTGGCAGCAACCTCATGGCCTTGACCTTTTCTCAAGTCATTGTTTACATTTGGAAAGATGCTACACAGGAGAGACACTGACAGTTTGCTTAAGGTTAACCTGATTGTATGACTGAGATAGTCTTTGATATCTAATTACTGGTACTGGTACAAAATTTAAGAGTAGGGCTTTTGCTGTATGCGAGAAGTCCGTGTTGGCGAAGCTAGATACTGTTGAATTTTTCTAGTCAACTTCATTTCCTGCCTCACAACGCGCACAAGGCGACAGCATGTGGTGGTCTCACACACTCATGTGTGTACTTTGTGCTCAAATTCGATGCCTCTGATATTATTTTCTGCATTTTGGAAAGTGTTTTGTGACCTAGTGGCTTCAAAGTGTAGTGAATTCAAATTGAACCGGATTGGCTGGCATGTTCATGGCAGTCTGTTGACAGGATTTGTGGTGATATTCGAAAGGATGGATCAGGGAGGGTGTACCTCTGGCATAAACACGGTAAGACCAGGGGTATACTTTAATAGACTACTTTAGATCAAGCAGTGTAATGGATAAGAGGGATCATGACTAAGCTAAATGGACTTTTAAAGTGATATTATACATTTAAAAAAAATATGTTGGGCTAAACAGAACGGGTTTGCAGATTCTGTAGATCTAATTGTGTTTTTTACTACCGCTAAATTTGAAACAGTACAAATTTCAAAATATCATTTTGTTTGAATTGATAACCCAACTGTTTATTTATGTGGACGGAAGGCATTAGAATCAAAATTTCTTCGGCGCTCGATGTTAATGCATCCTTTACGGATCAAGATCAGTGGATATATGATGCTGACAAAGCTGATAATAAATTTAAACGGAAATTTTGTAGCAGTATTGCTGATCTATTCTGACATAACATAGAATCCATAGCGTAAACATATTTTTTTACTGAATTTTTATTCGGAAAGCAGACGATGTTTTGATCTTGTTCGACTGAATATTTGTTTCCATCCTGAAGTACTTTTGTATGTATAAACACCTATTGCTGTGATTTACGCAAGTAGTGAGTCGTGCCCGTCATCGCTAAATCCATCTTTAAAGACATATGTGTGATTTCCGACAGTAAAATCGCCGTAATTTATCGGTGCATCGGTAGGTTGTTCGGTGTCCGCCATGTTAGTGGGCAGACAAAAATAGTGCATTACCGTAAACCATGTATGATTGCGCACGGAAAACAGAGACCTGTATAACGTGATTATATACCTCTGAATGACTTTAATTAACCAATCACAATCCAGTGTTTACTGAAGTCATGGTAGAATTAAAATTTAAAGTCACATCAGCAGTATTTCTCCATGTCCTCAGATGCTAATATCATTTGGTATGTATGATGAGGCAAGACTGTCCTGATATCCCCAACAGATGTCACTCTCAATATAAGTAAGTAATCTACTCATCTAGAACTAGTGCAATCTCAGCAGTGACAATATTACAAATACACACACCATGTTTAGTTTTGACAAACCTGAGATTGCTACCAGAAAAGATCTTTACCTTTACCTAACTGGAATTGATGAGAAATATCAAATATACAATGTATTTAATATACAAGATATGTAAAAAACCTGGTTGCTGCCTACAAATGAACAAAAATATGGGATCAGATTGGTCAATACTGAATTGGAGCATTGACTTTCAATCAAACAGATACAGAGATAACACTGCCCATCAGACCAGCATTGACCCTCAGATCAACACCGACCCTCAGATCAACACCAACCCTCGGATCAACACCGACCAGACCAGCACTGACCATCAGACCAGCACTGACATCAACACTTTAAAACCATAGTGATCCACTAATCTGCTAGTTTGAGGGTAGACAATAGTCTTAATAGTCATTAGTCTTTATCTTACATTCAGGGGTAGCAGTTATTGGTCAGATTCAATCCGTCTATAGCTACATTTGGAATACATTCTGTAAACTAACTAGATAGATAACTAAAGAAAAACAACTCGCCCTCCAAGATTTCACAAACAGACTAGTGCTCAACACTGGCATGAACAACTAGTCAGTAGGTATGAGGGATTGTCCCTCAATAGTCATATGATGCTACTAGGGGCTTGGCAAATGAGTTCCAGGTGTATAATTCAATATTATAAGACCCTGGACCTTAGAGGATGGACAGAATCAAAGCACTAAAACAGTTTTCAATATATACAAATACTAGTATTCATCCCTTATGGATCAATGCCTGGACACACTGCAAAGACACTTTCTTATTAAAAGCTGAAGGATGTGGTTCTAAACAATCATAGACAAACACACTATTTCTTGGATAGAAATTATTTTTGAGCTTATGTATACAAGTCGAAGTCTATTCTCCGCGTGTTGTAGAACTGGGCGTTAGCTGCACCAACTTTGCGACAGTATGCTCCGTTTTTAAAGAAGCCATCGTCTGACCACTTCAACATCTGTGTGCTGTTGAAGGGGCCGTGGATCGTGGCAGAGTCTGTGTCCTCCCACTTGTACTCCCATTTCACCTCAGACTCCTCCGCTGATGTAGATGCTGCTGCTGACGATGATGCTGCCTCTGTGGATGTTGATGCTGCTGCAGGTTCTGTTTTATGGGATGCATCTTCTGGAACACACAAATGTCAAGAACAGTTTATAGAATGTATAAATAGATGCTTCATTGGCACTGATATTTGATGAAAATAAACCACTGCAATTGACAGGAATATAGTAGCAAGTAAAACTGAAAACTGTTTTACCTGAGTGATAGAACGTATTGTCACTTGATTTGAATTTTTACAAAAAGTATTTGGACTTTTCAGTGTCCCTGTCACTTGGGCGTAATTAATACAAAAATTTTGCTTTCGTCCCCATTGTCAATTTGCTATGTCCATTGTCAATTTTTATGCATATAGGATGCAAGAATTTTCTTCCTGTAAATCCCTGTACTGACAAACAAGGAAAAGTTGGACCGGCACAGAGAATGCATTCACGAGAAGTAGGCATTGCACGGCAATGAGCAAACCCATTTGGTTTGTGAAACTGAAAGGTAGAACAGATGTAGGCTAGTGCACGTGCAGTGCATGACGATGAAATTTATTCCGCACATAGCTGCACACGCCTTGCTCATAAGACTCTCGTGGTCAGTGTAGCACTACACTTGATCGCAGACTACCTGGGGCCCCTTCGCTCACAATGGTAAGCACCAGTGGGCAGCACTCATACATGCTAATATGGGTCAGTTGTCAGGTCGGTGCTCAACTTATCCTTGTTTGCCAGTAATTCAACCTGGGCCACTCAGCCCAGTGGTTGAAAACATGAGCATAGAACTGGGATACAATTTTATGCATGTACCTCACTATAAAAATGTCATTCTTGTTGGATACCTCTTGCTGCAAGCAAGGGTTCTAAATTTGAAACATCACGTTACTGAAGTTAAGACTCTAGATACACAAACCTACCTCCACTGCCATTCAGATCTAGCTTGGCTTTTTTGCTTTCTCTAGGCCCAATCTCAGTACCGTCAGATTCCTTCTTATCAAAGTTATCAGCAAACATATCGAGAGCATCATCGTCATCAACATCAGCTGGTACGTCAAACTTCACCTTCTGACTCTCCATCTTCTTCAAAGTGTGTGAAATCTTCTCATATGTCATTTCATAAATGTCCATGATACCGTTTGACACAAAGCTGTCTGCAAGTTCTGTCAATTTCGCCATTTTGGCCTTCTTCTCCTGAGCTTCTTCCTCAGTATTGCTGTTGTTTACATTTCCTAATTTCTTTTGTTTCTTCAGTTTTAATCTTTGACTTGCAGAAAGGTTTTGATTTCCCCCAATTCTCCGCAGGGCTTTAGCAATGCTCTCACCAGGCTGCAACATTGGCAGTATCTCGGCATAGACAGCTTGCTCATTAAAGGGAGGTAACTCTTCATCACTATCTGACAGTGACCGCTTGAGGTCATGTTTGATCTGCGTTTCTTTCACCTTAACCCAGTCGATGTTGTCCATCCAGCTGTCTCGGATTTGTGCCTGGAAATAGAAAGTACAATTTCCATATAATTTTATTTAAGCTTTCTATACAAGTAACTTTATATTTAAATTCTTTAAACAACTTGAAATTGTGAGATACTGAGAATCAGTGAGAGTGGCAGTACCACAACAATCAGCAGTAGTTCAGCTACAGGCAGATCATCATGGAATTGAAAGAAACAAAATGGAAGTGGAAGTTTCTCAAATATTTTTTATAGTGAGTGAGTGAGTTTGGTTTGGTTTATGCGCCTTTTAGCAATATTCCAGCAATATCATGGAAATCGAAAAAATAAATGACGGGGACACCAGAAATGGGCTTCACACATTGTACCCATGTGGGGAATTGAACCCAGGTCTTCGGCTTGATGATATTTTTTATAACTGAATTACAAATAAGTCATCATTAACATGATTAACATGACTAAATGCTGAAATCTTAATCATGTTAACACTTCAGCATGTTTAATTAAACCTTAGCTGGTGTATTTCCAAAAATCGAACCCTGAAAGAGACAATGATCATGATGATATAAAAAGGATACATGCCCCGCTCTGATTTCCATACACACGAGACAAGCTCAGTTTTTGTGTAAAACATGCAAACTAACTCATTAAAAGTAAAACCCTGTTAACATGATTAATAGGGATGCCACGATACATTGATACTTTTCAGACGATACAATTATCGATACATTCAAAACTGTATCAATATTTAGTTTTGAAAGTATTGGTTGAAATATGTTTATGTATCGTTTACATTTTGCAATTGTATCATGTTTTTTGATGTTATGAGAGTTATAAATGATTATTTTTCATGCACAAAGATGGGATATTAGAACTTTTTAATCTCTGAGAGTGAGAATAAAAAATGTTTGTCTTTTCATGGACAATTATAAAATATGAAATATTTATGAAATAACGCAAAAATAGTTATCGTGATACGTATCGATTCATGAAACTTATGTATCTTGACATCCCTAATAATTAATGTTGAGTTGCCCGCATACACTTATGAATGAAAACATTTGACAATGTAATAGAGAAGCAACACTATGCTCAATTACCCAATATAGCTTTCTACACTTGAGTACCCATCTTTATGAAATCTACAAATCTTTTACTGACCGAATATAGGCATTATGTGTACACATGATCCAACAACCTCACTGCAGTGAGCAACAGGGGCAACACACAAATATATCGAACCCCTAAGGAAAACTGATGCTCATGATGTTGATCACTGGATTGTCTGGTACAGACTCAGTTATCTACAGACATCTGCCATATAGCTGGAATGTTGCTGAGTGCGGCGTTAAACAACAATCAATCAATCAATCAAACTTAAAGAAAACTACCAATACAAAATGTGAATCAAAAGGTGACAGTAAACATACACTGATCCTGACTCAAAGCAACTTCATGGGCTCTGCGACCCGTGAAGATCCGGGTTATAATTGATCTTCAGTATCCTACGCTTGTCGTAAGAGGCGACCAACGGGATCTGGTGGTCAGGCTCGCTGACTTGGTTGACACATGTCATCTGTTCCAATTGCGCAGATCGATGCTCATGCTGTTTTCTGGTCCAGGCTCGATTATTTACAGACTGCCGCCATATAGCTGGAATATTGCTGAGTGCGGCGTAAAACTCAACTCACTCACTCTTGGGCTCTGCTCCAAGATTGCATTAGAACAATACATACCAGTGTTCATCCAATGTCCCCAATTCTTACAAAGTTTGAGGTCATTGGATTCCACTTTTCTGACATGAACACTGACAAACAATGAGATACTGTAAACATACTTTTTTTCGCTTGGTGCAAATTTTGCAGAATTGACAGTTTAGACTACATCGTGCAGTCAATTATTCACGCAATCAGTAATTGCTTGAACTGCCAGCTGTCTCTTAGGCAGCCACTAATAGCAATGAAAACAACCAGAGTGGCTTAACCTGTCAGGCGGCGTGTATTGCTTACTCACAGAAAATCCCTACCTGCGCGATATATACAGTAATACTAGTACTAGTATACTATATAAAGATATGAAAAACACATCAGTCTTATGTTCCGAATTCTGATGATGGCATTGCGAATGTGGTTAACGAAAGCACCTACCCGTAAGACTCCTGGACTTCCAGACTTTGTGATTTCATTTCGTATTATGCAGGAATAAATATAAATAAAATCTTGATGAATAATAAAATACTGCTGTATTATTTCTTTCCGAGTCGTTTCATGGTTATCTGTTTTGTATCAAACCATCTGTCACTACAATTGGTCAAAGTACAACATGTGAGGACATCATTTGGGAAATCCATTACAGCCACAGTAAGTATGATTCTTTATGCCACTATCAGTCGTCATTTTAAGATTCCCGTAGATTTCTAGTGAATGAAAGGTTTATTCGCTGTGTATAAAGGTTTTTTCGGTGGTAAAATATTTTGCGCGAAGAGTGTGAAAATAAAACCTGCGCGATATATAATACGTTTACAGTATATAACATCATATAACTGAATCAAAGAGTACTACCTTGTCCTTCTCAAAGATAAACATGCCATCCTTGTCAAAATGCCCTTCTTCCATTTCCTCTGTCATGTTGAAGGGTGTTATCTGAATGCCTTCCACAACATCACTAATTCCCTCTTCTTGGCCTACAAAATATGATGAGCAGGTGTGTTATTATCTCATAATGATGATTATTATATTTGGGGGAATCATACAAATAATCATGATCAAAGCATATCCATAATCATGATCACAATGATATGGAGGTGTTTGATAGTTTATGTCAAAACGGTGACATGTGTTATGATTTAGAGAATATGAAAACATGCTATGAAAGCATCACAGTTTCATAAAATGAATTCAAGTTTTTAAGAATACAAAAGATAGACATTGTTGGGTACAGTTTCTTACTGATTGTGGTATTAGTGATTTGGGGCAATGCAGAGATTTGGAAATTTTGTCATTGGCATTGTATGTACATCCCCCTAAAGTTTAATGATGAGGAAAAATTCCTTTGAGGGCCATTTTTTTTCAGTATGTTCAGATACAATTAAAGAAACATGTTAAAATTCATCCTTTTCAGATGGGGAATTTATATTCAGGTGATATAATTTGACTAGAATGAAATTTAAGGGGGGATACGGTCGGAAGTCTTTATTTGTTTCCATTGGTCATGCGGACATTTCGGATCATAAGGTCCGTGGTTCGAATCCCAGCACGAGACTCTGACATTTTATGGCCGCTACACATGCAATCAACCAAATCTCCAGTCTGAAGACGCACCAGGCCGATTTACCTGCCCTCTCGCGACAAGCAAAGCTTCTGAAAACATTTTAATCAATATCAGTCTCGCGTTGTGCATAGTATAGCTACCTTCAATTTCCTCGTCGTCGAGAACTTCATGTTTGTCACCATCGTCGTCTTCTTCGTCACTGTCGAGAGAATGTTTTTCTTTAAAACGTGTCTCCTTCGGTTGCTCCTTGGGGCGAGTTTCTTCCATCTCAGAAAACATATCTCCTTGAAACTCAGACATCGTGGATTTTGGTCTTTTCTCTTCAACTGTCACAAGCCAAATTTAATTTGAGAAAGAGAAAACACCTCAAGTATTATGTGTTTCTTCGCCACAAAGCATGAACGTTCTTCAAGCGCGTTTGGCGGAAGAACACCATTCGGATTTTCTCGGAAATTTCCGAAAATGTTCTGATCAAACTCCGTCAGATGACCAGAGCCTAAATTCTCTCTGAATGAAGGCCCTGAAAAAAATCATCGCTTAAAAACATATTTCAAAATAAAACTGGATCTGCGTTATGGGTTCCATGTGTGGCACTGTGAAGTGAACGAAGGAGTATCATTAGCTATTTTAGGCGGGTGTGAGAAGGTGCCGATTGTTGGAATGATTGATATTGTGAACTTCCGGCACTGTTGAACATGGTGAATAAACGGACATTGCATTATTTACATATTAGAAAAAGAGAAATTGTTTTATACCAACAAAGGGAAATAGTCATTGCAATATAAACATGAATATCTGAAAGTATAGACTAGACATTGTATTTGCATTTTATTTGTAGAAATCCTCAGTTCGTTTTCTCTCCATTGGTCAGTTGTAAAAGGAAAAATGGAGGCCAAGCACTTGGCAACATGACGCTAAGGAATTTCATTTAGAGTATTTGTTTTCTAATGTGAGTTGGTAACTATAAGTCTTAAACAAAAGCATTGTAAACATTATAGGGTACCCAATATAGTTCAAACGGCGTTTGTTTCAACTTCAGCATTCCTAAACAAGACCTCACTGCAGTATATTACTAATAGAAGCTGCAACTGTTAGTACTGAGTCGTGTTTGCTTCATTATTTATAAAGCATTTTAGATGTCACAGATATCACAATGCATGTGAATGCAGAGATTGTACAGTCAGTGAAATAATGGAGGTCAGTCTTTCCCCATACAATATGAGAATAAAATAAATTGTGTTGATAAACCAACTTCCTCAAAGAACAAAAAGCATTTATCGTTTAAGACAACTGTTGTTGAAAAGGTGTGTCAGTTCACAGAACTTTGTGCATTTTATTTTAAACCTTCCACTAATGTTTTTCATAACCCTTCCCTGCTGGTAGTAATTGTTTTAAATTCTTAATGAGTAAACTCCATTTCTTGAACAATTGTTCACAATTTTCTCTTAACGTTATTAATGTTGAAACTAGTTTTGGATTTATAGACAATCAGATGTTACACTGCTCACTCACTCATTCTCTCTCACTGAATCACTCAACCACCCCAAGGCTCGTTTATTCACTCATTCACTCATTCACTCCTTGTTTAATTTGAGATATGCTGATTTTTCATGTGCCCTGAAGCTCTCTTTGGTGTCAGCACCAAACCCATGCTTTTAGTTGCACCATTATGATATGTTTCTTCAGGCTTTCCCCTTAAACTCAAACACTGATATGACGGGAATACTCTTCACAGTTGCATTATAGCCAATACTTCTACCCTACTAATATTGTCAACTGTCAACACTGATATGTGTCATATAAAGAACATGAGTATGTTTTCAGATTGACCATGTCAGCAATCGAACCATCATCCCGTGTTGGAGTGACACTCGACCTCATCCTCAAAACCCTCATTGCATCATCAGACTTCAATGACCTGCAAGCTAAAAACTGGGAGGCAATTGCTCGTCTCATCCCTGGAACATCAGCAACACAGGTACGTTGTGCCGAGTGTTAGGTAAATCACTATGTGGAATATGGCCAGCACATTTTGCCAAAACTCAGTTCACTGTGCAGAGTCACCACCCTTAGCTGTTAAAGGATCCGAAGTATGATATGCAAAGAGTTAAAACATCTTGTTGAGTAGGAGTTCAATTTCCAAAACCAATAGTTCCTGATCAGTGATTGTAGCTGATAATTATTGATTCTTTCCCAAGACTATCTCAGTTATGATCTGCGCGGTGGGGTAGCCTAGTGGTTAAAGCTTTTGCTGGTCAGGCCAAAGACCCGAGTTCGAATCCCCACATGGGTACAATGTGTGAAGCCCATTTCTGGTGTCCCCTGCCATGATGTTGCTGTAATATTGCTAAAAGCAGCGTAAAACCAAACTCAGTCAGTCAGTCAGTTATGATCCATGGTATAAACACACTACCAGAAAATACACTGGCCCAAATCTATCACCAACATCACTTTTGGCTTTTTGGTCTCATAACTCAGTTTCAAGGGGCATTTCAAACAGTAATTAAGCTGTAGCACTGTGAGAGGCCTCCATAGTAATCAGGATAAGCATTGGTCACGGCCAGTCTACGCTTTTGTAAGAGTGATCTTATTGGATCTGGTGCACAGACTCAATGACCTAAATGATTGTGTGTGATGGTATTCCAAATACACAGATTTATGGTCATGTTGTCATTCACTGGATTGTCCTATCCAGACTTTTACAGACAGGTGTCAGTCATATAGGTGGAATGTTCCTGAGAAAAACATTAACCAACGAACAACAACCATGTATGGGAGAAAATCCCAAAACAACACAGGTTGTAGTCATTGAAGAGATGTTTGATGAACAAGGTTCGTGCAGGCTTGAAAAAGCCTGAAAGTTGGACATTTTACCCTAGAAAGACCGTATACTTGTTTTAGCCTTGATTTAGCTTAGTGATTTGGTCTAGAAAGGCCCTATATTCAGAAGAAAATGTCAAGGTATGATTTTACAGGAAACTAATGCATAATAAAAATACCCTGCATAGACTGTGGGTGTTAATTAATCTCCATTGCGAAGCAAATTTTCTAACGAAGCAAATCTTCCCCAGAGCAGCGATGTAGCTAAGAGTTATTTCCCTGTGATGGTCGGTCCCACATCTGACCAGCCTTGTGTGTATTCAACTACTTGTGTGTTATATATGTTTCTATAGTTCCTTAACATTGTTGATTAGGCCTTGAAGAGCCCCTAAAAAGGTCTTGCATATGATGGCTGATAATCTGTACAAACCCGTATGAGAGATTCCGGGTTGGAAATGATTCTGAAGCAACTGAATGTTGCTGATGTTGTTAATTGTGTGACATCGTATCATGATTATTGAATGCTGCTCATGATATCAGTCACTTGTTTGTTTGCTACCTATTATCATGATTATTCATTGACTAACCATCACCTGGCTGAAATATTGTGAGTGTTGCATTCAACGACACATACACAAAAGGGACTTCAAAGGTCACATGCAACGTAAAACACAACTTTGCAGATTCTGATACCTTTCGGTATGGACTTACTGAAACAAATCATCAAAAATGCAAATTCAACTCATAAAATTGAAAAATAACACGATGAAAAGAACCGTGCGAAATCGTAGTTCAAACGGTTCACTAATTTTCCCCCTGCGCTTGGGGGAATTTAAGTGGTTTCAACAGCTGGGCTGCACTCATAGCACATGCGCAGTGAAATAGGTTCGCGCAGTGAAATAGGTTCGCGCAGCTTGGAAGCGGGTTGTCTGGTGAATACTCGGTGAAGGCTTTGGTGTGAGCTATTTTTCTAATGTTTTGTTGATATTTCACAGGCGCGAACTTTTTATATGTTATGACAGTAGATTACCGATTGAACTGTTTATATAATTTCATTTGTCTATTTCACCACGCGTTCTTCTTACCGAGTCACTTTCTCAGTTCGATACTTTAAAGCAATGTCATTATTTAGCGTTGACAGAGTTTCTAACTGTGATATAGATATGTCGTTGTCACAGACAAAACTCAGTGTCTGTTTTATTGACACCTATGTGTCTGCCTGCCCGTCTGCTAATGACAATATTCAATACACAACTTCGATCACTGACCCAATGCAATTTGAACTTAACATCTATCAGGCTATACACCATAAACAAAACGCATTGATTTATGGCCCAAGTTCGATCTCTGTCACATTATGTAATTACACAGATAGGCAGGTGTGATACTTGTACACATGACATGTTATGATGTCTGTTGATTGCAAAATGTTATACACAAAAAATGAGCATGTATTTACAAAACCCAACATCTCTATATACACACACACAATGAGCCGTGAGGGCATTTGCAAATGAACCAGCCATTACACTTGAGTGCACACCCACCCGCTCTGACTGGGTTCGGTATCCCGGCTGCTTCGTTTCTTGGGAAGTAAACCCAAGTACACAATATTGCACTTCTGAATTGCGATTGTACACTTATAATTTTGTTTATATGTTTTTTCATAATCAGCAATGTATATTATATGTCATGAATAAGTGATAATTGTGTTTTAATTATGTTGATTTTTTGGTTGCATGTGACCTTTAAGTTAACTGGGCTCACATAATTACATGGGAATAATGAAATGAACTGCTATCACAGATGTTAAATTATTGAAAATGAATTATTTCCTGAACTAATATATCTGTACGTCCAACTCGTGTTCGTTCCAAACAAATGACTAAAGATAACAAAGTATGCCACTTTATGGATAACAACTTCTTGTTTATTGGTCATGGAGCAACCTTTTTGTTTTGGAAAGTGGTCAGATGTAACATGTTATATTTGGGGTTACACTTTCTCCATAAAGTACAGATTCTAATGTAACTGTACATTTTCCTTGCAGTGTTCTAGAAGGTACCAGGAGCTGCTAAGCAGTGGAACTGGTCTGTCATATGCCCAGTTTGGGAAGAACTTCCCACTACAGACGTCTAGTAGCACCAGCCAGGTGAATCCTACCGAGACAGATAATACTAGCAAGACAACTAGTTCCACATCCAGCAGACCTGGCTCAGATCGACAGAAAGGTCAGTGTTTGTGAAGCATGTGAAGCTGATATGATTTCAGTAACTATTGCTTCAAATGAAGAAGACTGCCTCCGTGGTGTAGTGGTTAGAGCGTCTGCCCGGAGTGCGGAAGGTCGCGGGTTCGATCCCCAGCCGCATCATACCAAAAGACGTTAAAATATGGTACTTGTTGGTGCCTGCCTGGCGTTCGGCATTAATGGGTACAACAAGGACTGGTCGGCTCGGAGTCAGTATAATGTGTCTGAGTGGGGTATTCATGCTTCACTGCGGCATGGTATCTCAGTGGGCTAGCACTATAAAACCAGCTTCAGTCTGGGCTAGTACAAGCAGCCGCACATACACATACACACGCATGCACGTTGTCATATGAGCGAAATATTCTCAAGCACGACGTTAAACCCAATTTCACCTCACCTCACCTCAAATGAAGAAGTAAAAGTTAAGGGGTCCCCACTTATATTTTATACAACACTTCAACACTAGAACAGGAACTCTGATAATTTTGTTTCAGAACATTTACTCACTTCACTCCAGTACTGTGGGATTTGCTCCCTTTGTCTGTCAATTAGCCTCCAGAACGAAGCACTCTTAACACATGTGGTCCCACCTTAGGAGAGTGACTTTGTTCAAAATTGCTTCTGTTCACCCAGCAGTGAATGGGTACCCGGTGGGGTAACCCTCTGGTGCCTTGAGGGCTAACTTAACTTCCAAGGTATCTCCAATCTCATTAAACTTATAAATCTTGCACTTTTATGCAATACCTATGCACATCAAGATTGGATTAAACACATCACATAATTTTGTAGCTATGTTTGCATTTGGTTTCAAACAATTTACATTTAAGAAATTATAAATAAATGGGGTTTTTTCCAACTTTTTTCATATCAGTTTTAAAGAGATGACTAAAGATAGGATCAGTGCTTAATGGTTTTGTGTGCAATTTGTTCCTTATCAACTGTGAATACATACATACTTCCAGTGTGCGAAATAGCCACTGGCCCGCTAGCCCGTGGCAAGTAAAACTCCAGTCGGGCCAGTAAATCTCCACAGTCACTGGCCCAACTGGCTAGTGAATTTTCATGGGGTCATTTTTAAATATATCACACTCTCCAACTTGTTAAGTTATTATACACTTTTAAATCATGCAAGATTATGGCCTGATAAATGATGGTATTTTACCTTTTTGTAATCTTTTGCTTAGTTTCTACATTCAAATTTCAGTCTAGTGAAATATTTTGTGGGCTAGTAAGTTTCAGATGTAGCTAGCCCAACTGGCTAGCAAAACTCTTTGGTGCGATCAAGTGTTGGGAATTGGTTGAAATCTCACAAGTGATTACTGGTTCAATAACAACGAGCAATCATCAAAAAAATATTGGTTAGCGACATTTTTTAGATTTTCCTCTTCAGGTTGTTATTGCAGATAAATAAAAAAACAACATTTGGTTCTCTGATGTTTTTTGCTTTATTTAGAAACTGCGCAAATTGCATTTGTATTTCCCATCCAATGTAAAATGATGCAACTTGCTACTTTAAAGTGATGATTTATATACCATGACCATAAACTTCCATGAGTCTTCAAGAAATATCTAGTCATGACTTTTCAGTAAGTGAAGTGAGTTTTCTAAGAATTAAACACGTTTTCAACCCCTACAATGTCATAGATATGTTCCATCATCAGTATTTCAAACTCTATTACAGTGGTTCCAAAATCGTTTGTGTTCGATTGAGAAAATGTGATCAATTGCTTGGTCATTTGGCCACTGCGACCAATCTTCGATTATTTGAATTAATCGGAACACCACTTGTGCGATCGTGGTAATATTGACATGAATGGAGGTCAATTGAGCCATACTCTGTATGAACTTGAGTAAACACTGTCAAGTTAAACTCTTTTATTGGCATTTAGAAATTAAACACATAAAGAGGGGAAATTTTATGGATGCCTAGCTCACAACTGCCCCCTTACTGTCAAGTTGGCCAACACTAAAATAATGGGTCAAGCAGACAACACAAGGCTGTGGTACATAAGTTATCAGCGAGTAACATTGCCATTTTGTGATATAACCTGACTGCACATTGGTGTGGGTACTTGCTAATTACCATCTTGCTAGAAACAGGCCAAGGTCTGATTTGTTGGTTTTGTACCATGCCCCGACTGGTTCCTTTGATCTCAGCTGTGGTGTATTGTATGGTTACACCACGGGTTTTGTGCTGCCTTCGACAGCAACTCTGATTGGCTCTTTGCAAGTTTAGCCATGTCTATGTGAGTGTGCATATACTTTGACAGTTCAGGAAAAGTTGCACATTGACCCGTCTTCGATACTGATAACTGGGTCAATCCCTGCTAACATGGTAGATTCAGTTTTCATTACATCGGCAGCTTGTGAGAGAGTGATGTCATCGATTGTTACATCCCAGAGTGAAGCACTTTCAGTTCCGTCAACTATTTGTGACAGTGTAATGTCGTATAGTATTATCCCACTCGTGACTAGACTGGCATCAGTCTCAAATAGAATGATTTTAAATTCAAATATACCACGCAGATTTTGAAATTTGAATGCAGAATGTGGGCGTGGTACAAAGCTGTTACCTCATCCAATCACTTGAGCTTGGTCCAATTCACCACGGCCTGGTCGCTGTCGATTGGTCAATGCATTTGCATCTTGGGCTACTCCCTCGACAATTCATCGACCAATCACCAGCGACCAGACCATGGTGTATTTGGATCATTTTAGCTGTCGTATTAGAATGAAGTAACAAAAACAGCATCTACATTGCATGGTTGATGAAGAAATGTAGTGTAAACAAAGCTATGGAGTACAGATAGTGTTGGGAATTGGTTGAAATCTCACAAATGATGATTGGTTCAATACCAACGACCAATCATCGAAAAAAAATTGGTTAGCGTCATTTTTTAGATTTTCCTATTCAGGTTGTAGTTGCAGATAAGTATAAAGAAAAAAACATTTGGTTCTCTGTTGTTTTTAGAAACTGCACAAATTACATTTGCAGATTTCACATCCAGTGTAAAATGATTCAGTTCCAGTGTAACATTAACTTCCCAGAGTCTTCAAGAAATATTCAGTCATGACTTTTCAGAAAGTGAAGTGAGTTTTCTTAGAAATAAACACGTTTTCAGGCCCTGACAACATCCTAGATATGTTCCATCATCAAGTATTTCAAACTCTATTACAGCGGTTCCAAAATCGTTTGTGTTCGATTATGAGAAAATGTGATCGATTGCTTGGTCGTTTGGCCACTGCGACCAATCTTCGATTATTTCAATTAATCGGAACACCACTAAGTACAGTTGATGATTGATGATAGAACTTCATCACTTTTCAGGCGTGAAAGAAGAACGGGGGAAATGCAGAGGTCAAAGGTGCTCCCCAGAACTCTGACCATGGAGAACATGGGTAGGTACATCTACTGTTGGTTTCTAAAGGTAGCACTTTAGATATGCTTGACCTGCTGAAGATTGCCCCCAACTTACTTCAACAGGATATATTTGTGGATTTAATTATGAAACAATCTCTGCAATTATTGAGCAGTACTGTACAGCAGTATTAGTGTTATATATCATATTAATATAAACAAATTACAAGTTATTCCATGCCTAACAAAGCAGTTCTTTTGCATTTTTGTCTCCTTTAAGTGAATAAAATTAGGTCCCACCCACTAGCATACTACTGTTTAGTGATTGGCTGATAATAGAATGGGTGGGGCTTGTGTTCCATTACTGCACTGAATGATGTTACTGATTCATATCGTTGTCTACAGTTTTTCTTATTTATGTTTAAGTAAGCATTCTGTAAGATATATGGAAAAATCGATGTTCATACTGTGTAAGTCCATATAATCTGAATAATTCAAACAGAAACACTATTCATGTAAAACTGTAAAAAGTGGTGAATAGAGAGACAGATCTTTGGTTTGGTAATGAAAACATACAGAGAAAACAGTGTAAGTCTTTAAAGTAAACACTCATGAAATAAAAGAAGTTGTTATCCATAAAGTTTATTCAATATTACACACCGCTTGGCCTTCATTTGTGTCCTGTTTCAAATATTCTGCATTTTGTTTGGAATTCAGTATATTTATTTTACTACAAGGATAAAGTCGACTATTGTACAATGGAAGTTGTTGGCTGTTCTTCTGTTTCAGACCAATCATGGTGATACACGTCTGTGATGAGGCCAAGAGTTGTGAGTACCACGGTCCCTCTCTGTTTCATCAATCAGTTAAATATAGGCTGAAGTTTAACAGACCTACTCTTTATTTTCGGAATATATTGCGCTTTCATGGTCTCTAGTCTCAAGGCAACAGACCTTGCCTGTTGGCAGTCTCCATAAGTTTGGGTCAAAACATTCAGATCTACTTTGTCTGCAAACTCTATTGTTGTAGTGGTATGTACATCTAGCAGTGATTAACCAACTTTTTGAGGCTTGACCAAGTTCCAGAAAGCTGTCTTAGCAATTTCACTGGTATGTCTCATTCTCTTCCCGCAGAGGTAACTTATCATATCTTCCTACGAACCTCTGTTCTAATACGGACATATTTCCCGGTTCTCGTAAAATCCCCTAGCGGCACAAAATCACAACACAAATTATCTCCCTTCTTTCTATCCAATCAGAACACGTGTTACATCGACTGAGATCTAACTGGACTAATGCAAGTAAATATGGGGCCACAAATATCCCTCCTCTGCCGGGGACATATGTTAATGTGACACACAAGACATTGAATGGCTAGCTTGTCCGTTGTCAACGAGGGCGATGGAGACGCCAGTGATCCGCTATTACATGACTGAGTTCTGTGTAGAAGAAACGTTTGGGCATCGCGCAGGAGAAGAGGTTCTAGTTTTCCTGAAGCATAAGGAAATTCCCAAGGCCTTGCGAATGATCACTTTTGAAACAACTTCGCTGATTGCACAACTAAATCTGATTGCAACCAATCAAGAATCCTGAACACTCGCACCATGAAAGGGACGTATTAGAACAGAGGTTCGTAGGAAGATATGACAAGTAACCTCTGTGGGAAGAGAATGTGGTATGTCTGTGCTGCGATTATTTTAATGGTAAGACACATGATGGTCACAAGATGTGTAGGCAAAGTCACTTTATAAACATCATCGTGGGATTTGTCGCTGGATCATGTTTGAGATATCGGTTCTCAAGTGGGTGTGATTGAATTCCAGCCCTGTGATGACCTAACATGATTATGATGGACTATTCATCATTGGAATTCTTTGATAGATTATTTTTTGTGTTTCAGTCAATTCAACAACATCTGTGTTGAAATAATATTGTCTTTTTTTAAATATGTATTTATATATGCTCTTTGATCCTATCTACAGAGATGCCAACCCTTACGCTTTGGGCGTAATTATTACGATTTTGATCATTAAATTACGCCATTACACTTTATCTGCGAAAAATTACGCTTTTCTACTCGTTTTACGAAAATCAATAAAGTGGAAAAAATTTCACATCGAAGTGTTTCGTAACGCACTGGTACAGGGGTTCAGATATGGTCTTACTCCTAGCATCGCGCTCATTCCAATTAACTTGTAAGGAATTTCGTATTTTGTGTCACATGACCAATAATTTTCGATGTATGGAGCTTCATAATGATTGGTCACATGTATTTCTGTCTAGAATAATTCCTATTCATGTGAATAAACCTTCTTAAAAGTAATTTTTGTAAAGTTGTCACCTTTTACTAAGTATTTTTTGTTTGAGTATTACACGTTTTAGGTCTAAATTACACTTTTTGACCTCCAGTATTACACTTAGGCCCAAAATAGGGTGGGCATCTCTGTATCTAGTAGGCATTATCCTTATTGCCTTACTAATTCTGTAATAGACAGGTATGTCTGAAACTTTTCTGTGGAGGGTCTGACTATGAAAGGGTAGTAAGCAGTAAGCTGTTGACATCATCCATGACTGTTGTGTTATTCGTGTGCCGCTCAAGACAAAGGAAAGACAAAAAAATGCTTCAGTTAAAAAAAAAATGAAATGGTATTTTAAGAAACGCACGAAAATTGCTCCCTTTTATAAGACACAGCATGAAGATAAATGATATCTGCTTGTTGATCATGTAGTGCTCTATGTACAACTGCCGATGTGTTTCAGTGAAGAAGGACTTCAACTGTCCCCGAGACCTGCTGGTGAAGGAGATGAAGTACTTCGCGGAGTACCTGTCGACCGACGCCCAGCGCTGGGAGGAGGTGGACATATCCGTCCACTGTGATGTGCAGATCTTTGATTGGCTCATGAAATATGTGAAGAGGTCAACCAAAGATGTCCCAGACAAACCAAGACTGGGTAAGTAAGACACAGATTTTTTGTACTGATATATTGCTCCAGATTGTTTGTACTGTTATTACTCCAGATTGCTTGTACTGTTATAATGCTCCAGATTGTTTGTACTGTTATAATGCTCCAGATTGTTTGTACTGTTATAATGCTCCAGATTGTTTGTACTGTTATAATGCTCCAGATTGTTTGTACTGTTATAATGCTCCAGATTGTTTGTACTGTTATAACTCCAGATTATACTGTTATAATGCTCCAGATTGTTTGTACTGTTATAATGCTCCAGATTGTTTGTACTGTTATAATGCTCCAGATTGTTTGTACTGTTATAATGCTCCAGATTGTTTGTACTGTTATAATGCTCCAGATTGTTTGTACTGTTATAATGCTCCAGATTGCTTGTACTGTTATAATGCTCCAGATTGTTTGTACTGTTATAATGCTCCAGATTGCTTGTACTGTTATAATGCTCCAGATTGTTTGTACTGTTATAATGCTCCAGATTGCTTGTACTGTTATAATGCTCCAGATTGCTTGTACTGTTATAATGCTCCAGATTGCTTGTACTGTTATAATGCTCCAGATTGCTTGGTTACAGGTCATTGACCCTTAATATATATAAATGGATTAATGTTAAGACATACCAGTTTTTACTCTTAGAGACTGTTCAAAATTTATGGCTAGAGGGGGTGATGATGATTTTTTATGGAGAAGCATGTACAATGTGAATGACCAAATTTATGTACAAAATAAGTGACACCCCCACCTCCCTGCGTGCCATGTACAAAATCAATGGAACACACACACACACACACACACACACACACACACACACACACACACACACACACACACACACACACACACACACACACACACACACACACACACACACACACACACACACACACACACACACACACACGTTCGCCCGTCAAGTGGCCGAAGACCCGGGTTCGAATCCCCGCATGGGTAGATTGTGTGAAGCCCATTTCTTGTGTCCCCCGACGTGATGTTGCTGGAATATTGCTAAAGCGGCGTAAAACCAAACCCAGTCAGTCAGTCATGGTTTCTAAGCATAAGTTTAAACATATAATTTGTACAAAATTTGTGACCCCCTAGTATGTGTGTACAAAATTGATGACCCCCTAGCTCCCCAGAACAAAATGGATGACCCCCTTAAAATCATCATCACACCCCCACCCCCACCCCTAGCCATAGATTATGAACGGTCCCTTATAACCAATTCAATGCAAAAACATATTGTAGTCAGTTCTCGTGAATAAGTATGTCAACTATAATATCTTCCCAGACTTTTTATTTATTCATTAACATCACAATGACTGTAGACAAGGGTACAAAATCTGTGACATCTTTAAGTAGAATAATGCACCACACCATGCCCAGTCTAGTAACAATTGCTTTACACATCTTAATAAATGTATAAGTCTTTGCTTCTGACCAGATTGTTATGTATTTTAGCCATGTGTGGACCGTAAGAACTGTATAACAGTGTTTGTCTTTCAGAACCAAACAATGTGGTGTCCATTCTCATCTCATCTGACTTTCTCAAAATGGACAATCTGGTAGGTTCATAAATGTAGTACTTTCTTGTACAGTGATGCTACTTTCATTTCCTCTTCTATCCTAGGGGGGCGGTGGGGTAGTCTAGTGGTTAAAGTGTTGGCTCGTCACGCCGAATACCCGGGTTCGAATCCCCACATGGGTACAATGAGTGAAGCCCATTTCTGGTGTCCCCCGCCGTGATATTGCTGGAATATTGCTAAAAGCGGCGTAAAACCAAACTCAGTCAGTCAGTCAGTCTTCTATCCTAGTCTCCTAGTCTACCTAGTCGTAAAATATACTTATTTAGTGAAAACACTTACTATTGCAGGATTTTCAATAACCATAGAAACAAAATGTTAGGAAGATGTAATTATTCCATGTTGACGGACAGCACAGACACTTCTGATTAAATTTCTAAGCATATGATACCAATAGGATATGTTCTGGTGCCATTACCAGCATTCATTGATGATTATGGTGTATCGATCTCTGTGTCAAATTATTATTGGAAACTGGGGCAGTTGGGTAGCCTAGTGGTTAAAGCATTCATTCATCATGCTAAAGACCAGGGTTTGATTCCCAACATGGGTATAATGTGTGGAGCCCATTTCTGGTCTTCCCCCTGTGATGTTGCTGGAATATTGCTAAAAGCGGCTTAAAACCCAACTCACTCACTCACTGTTGTGAAAATCTTCAAACATCACTTGTTTCTGTTGGAATAATCAGACAGAGAAACCTATTATGACTTGCGTGTTTCTATAAGTAATCACATCGTGTCGATGGAAATACAGGGTTTTATCAGTCCCAAGTAAGGGCTCGGGGGGAATACAACCTTACGAGGGACTGATAAAACCCTGTATTTCCCTCGACACGATGTGATAACGCATTTATCTAGCTGAATGTTTTTACTAAATCAGAGGAAAACAATACGCATCGAATCGACTTGTTTTTATTTATGTGGGATGCCATGTTGACAACAGCTGATCGATTGACTTCAATGCAGCGCACGTTTCTAAAGGCTTGGCGATGCACGCTTTTCTCACTTCTCGCGGACACCGAGGCGTGGCGGGATAATATGACTTTTCAACTCCCTGCTCGCGGATCGTGACGTGTGTACATGGTATTTTATCAGAGTCATGTGAACCAATCAAAACTCGACATTCTTACATGAGGCTGGATAATAGTGTTTGGCGTGTTGCAGGTTCAGGAATGTATCGAGTACTGCCACAAGCAGATGACCTCCATAGTAGCCACCAACTGTAACATGAACTGCATCAATGACAAGCTCGTCACAAGGTATGTGTGCATCCAGCTCTGTTCAGAGTTTATGTTCAGTATAAATAAGGCCCTGCTGAACATACGACAGTGAGCAATGCTATCACGACCTTGTTTGTTATATGCTCTGTCAGGGATTTAGTTCCCATTATAAACTATATGCCCTTAACAGGCAAATTTGCAAATTTATTTAATTTTGAATACAACCATGAATAAATGCATCACTATAGTCTGTTTGCAGTGAAAACGTACCGGTGAATTTCTCTTTAAACAAGAATGTAAATCAAATAAAGTGAAATTAAGATTGCGAAATCCTCATAATTTTACCTTGCCAATTAAACATATAAATTTCAGAATTTTATTCAACTCCGGATAAAAGTTGTTTAACAGACGATCATAGATTCAAATCGCTATTATTGGTTTGTATTCTAAGATGCCTAGCGGTTAGAACAATCGAAAAAAAAATACATTATCAGACAATAAAGGTGTAGTTTTTTGATGACGTAACAATTGAATGACGTTATCCCGTCACTGCGCCATTCTAGTGTGCCCCCTCGTAATCGAACCATTTTACATTACGTCACAATGTAAGCGGCGTTACGATGCATGTCAGTTGTCATCGCCTCGTACGGCCTCCTACAGTAAACTACACCGTTGCATCCCGTTTCTTGGTTTGCAGTTGCTTCACGCAGCTAACATCACTGGTGGAAACATTACGTTTATGTTTTCCGACGGTTAAACTGTGTCAATTCGACTCACAAGTTTTCGGCGACATGAAAACGTTCACAATGTTTACATTCCCACAATACAATCGTGGAATGTCGCTTGACTACTCAACTTCCTCTGGATGTACTGATCTAAACTTACGCTGGTAGTAGAAATGCAATGTTCATATTGCCCCATATGGTTTACGTTAATGACAGATGTAATTAAAATAATTCAGAGAAGATATTTAATCCGAAAGTAAACCGTCATCAAACTGTTATCATTTGTTTTTTTCGGTAACGTTCATCTTAACGTAGGGGGCAGACACATCAATAGAACAGCGCGCCAGTTAGCCCTGTGCGAGGATTCTTAATTTAGGTCACCGACACCGTCCTTTGTTTTCTGCCTTAAATTAATCGTTATTATCTTTAGAAAGTATTAAATTTGGCATCTTAGAAAAGAAATACACTTCGCTCTACCACCATGTATAGTGTAATAAAACACACTTTTGCCCTGAACTATTATACCACCATGTATAGTGTAATAAAACACACTTTTGCCCTGAACTATTATAGTTAGCACGAGGACGCAAGGCGCCCCTCGGTGCTTTAACTATAATAGTTCAGGGCAAAAGTGTGTTTTATTACGCTATACATGGTGGTAGAGCGAAGTGTATTTCTTAATTACAAGGGAGTAAACGCAGTAATTGGAACAGTGATACAAATGCACGTGCAGAATGTGATGAGCGTTAACTTAGACCAACCCTACTTCTTATCGGTGTTTCATTTAATGTGCATACCCCCTTGTAATACAAACCAACAATAGCGATTTGAAACTATGATCGTTTGTTCAACAACTTTTATCCTAAGTTGAATAAAATTCTGAGATTTAAATGTTCAATTGGCAAGGTAAAATGTGAGGATTCGTACTTCTAATTTCACTCTATTTGATTTACGTTTTTGTTTAAAAGTAAATTCATCGGTACGTTTTCACTGCAAACAGACTGTAGTTATCCTCATTTGGTACATTCAAGTTGTGTTGCAGGCCAAGAGTTATCTCCCCTGCTGTGAAGATATGCATCTTGGGAATTGTCTCTATTAATGTCCCAACTTGCCATCAATGTGTAACCTTCTGCCTGGTACTGCATTGATCATCACACTGTTGGGGACACATGGACCGGTTTATCTGAGGCACCACATTTTGGGCATGGCGGAAACAGTAACCAAACTCACTCACACGTAGTTCATTCCATTCAGATTGACAGTGTTGGTTTTATTCCTTTTCAGAATTGCAGACCTGTTCACACATTCAGAGGCAGATGAGATAAAGGACAGGAAAGACAAATTTAAGAGGTGAACTTTTTTGTAACATTTTGTTCTGTTGAATTTCATCTGTCTATTAGTTTTCTCTTTCGAATAAGACATTAAGCCAGACTTGCAAGTCTGATAATTTGTCAGTCAAGGCAAACAGTTGCAGATTTTCTTTACACAGCTGATCAACCATCATTGATCCATGTTGAATAAATTTCAAGTTATCTTCGATATACTAGTACTGAGTCATTACATGTCGATGTGATGTATGTGACATATTGTCATAAGAGCCACGATGTCTAAGTTACAACTAAATTAGAAAGACATAAGACATTTGTTTTCATTATTCACTGAAGTAGAGCTCATAGACATACTGCCTGCCTTTTAACAAGTAAATCAAGATCTGTATGGACTGACAAGTATGCAATCTGAAACTGCTACATTGCGGAATTACATCCAGTGCCATGATACTATTGATTTTCAGCCATTTGTTAGTAGCCGCACACAAGTGAGTGAGTGAGTTTAGTTTTACACCACACTCAGTAATATTCCAGGTATATTGTGGCAGTCTGTAAATAATCAAGTCTGGACCAGATGATCCAGTGATCAACAGCATGAGCATCGGTCTATGCAATTGGGATACGATGACATGTGTCAACCAAGTCAGTGAGCCTGACCACCCGATCTCGTTAGGCGCCGTTTACAACAAGCATGGGTTACTGAAAAGCAGTTCTAACCCGGATCTTCATGGGTATAGCTGCACTCAAGCAACACAATTAGTAGTGTTATGGAGATTTATGGTGCTTACATTCAGCTTTCTCTCACACTTCTGTATGTTCTGTGTTGACCACAGCAAGCTGTTCAGCAAGAAGTTGGAGAAGCTGTTTGATGCAGAGAATACATCACCTGACTCTCCAGAGAGTGCGATCTCTCTCTTCAAGTAAGTAGTACATATCTTATACCTGACTCACCAGAGAGTGCCGTCTCGCACTTCAAGTAAGTAGTACATATCTTACACCTGACTCTCCAGAGAGTGCCGTCTCTCTCTTCAAGTAAGTAGTACATATCTTACACCTGACTCTCCAGAGAGTGCCGTCTCTCTCTTCAAGTAAGTAGTACATATCTTACACCTGACTCTCCAGAGAGTGCCGTCTCTCTCTTCAAGTAAGTAGTACATTTCTTGCAGATGAAATACTTCAGTGTACCAACTGATAATATTTTGCACATTTAGGTTATTGTTTTGGCTGTTATTGATTAATATACATTCATTTTCGATTCATTGTTTGACGTACAAACAAAATGGCTGATGTCAGACACCACCCTATGTATTCATTCCCAAAACCAAACCTATTTACCCATTGCACTGGTGAGGGGGACCAAGGATGGGTGGTGTAAGGGTTGCACATATACACATTTTTTTTCATGTCAAGCTGTGTCAGTCCCTGTATATGTTATTTTTTAACTTTGTGACATGGGTGGCATGTACTGAGGGTGCCCCAATACACTTATGTATCCATGCATCACAAAGTTCCTGACTATATATTTTCTCATAAAAAAAATGGTATTGATATGAATGCAAAATTGCAGTTAACTGCCCCACAGCTATTAATGTAAGTAGAAAGTTACACACAGACTGGGGGCGGTGGGGTAGCCTAGTGGTTAAAGCGTTCGCTCATCACGCTGAAGACCCGGGTTTGATTCCCCATATGGGTACGATGTGTGAAGCCCATTTCTGGTGTCCTCCGCCGTAATATTGCTGGAATATTGCTAAAAGCGGCGTAAAACTAAACTCACTCACTCACTCACTCACTACACACAGACTGGTTTCCAGAACAAGCTCTGTTAACCAAGCCACATGGAATGTTGACAGTTTTATGAACATATGGCACAGATTTACTATCGCGATATGTATAATAGCATGACTCAAGTACCGTGGTGTATATTGATGCAATAGGTATATGGCACAGATTTACTATCACGATATGTATAATAGCGTGACTCAAGTACCGTGGTGTATATTGATGCAATAGGTATATGGCACAGATTTACTATCGCGATATGTATAATAGCATGACTCAAGTACCGTGGTGTATATTGATGCAATAGGTATATGGCACAGATTTACTATCGCGATATGTATAATAGCATGACTCAAGTACCGTGGTGTATATTGATGCAATAGGTATATGGCACAGATTTACTATCACGATATGTATAATAGCATGACTCAAGTACTGTGGTGTACATTGATGCAATAGGTATATGTATCATAACACCCTTTGTGAGTCTGTCCCCTATTTACAACATATGAGTACACTCTTTGTAGGTACTCAACGTTTCTCATAAGATTTAATTATTGTCTTCTTTCCAACCAGACATTATTCCTGTTTATTTTCACTATGTGTAATAGTGTAGGAAGTGTTGATGCCAGCTGTATCTGTAGATTCAATCTTTTTTCAGGTGCTCCATTTGTAAACGCCACCTGACAGCAAAACTGGAGAAGAAGGTCAAATGTGTATCTAGCAGGTCAGTGGTAACAATATCATATTTGATGCATTTACAAATGCTCAACAAAAAAGATAGGGATCGTAAAATATTTTAGAAACTCAGCCATCACAGTAAAACCTGTCTCAAAAACATTCATGATCCCTAGCAATATTTGTATTCTGTTTAGAAAGTTTTATAAGAAGCAGGAGACATTCTGTTTCATTTAGGTTATTCTTATTGTTGTTCAGGACATTTGTATAGATAAGGGACCGTTCATAATTTATGTTGTATGTGTGAGTGTCTGCGTGCGTGCGTGCGTGCGTGCTTGTGTGATATGATGATTTTAAGGGGGGGTCACCCATTTTGTTCTGGGGAGCTAGGGGTGTCATCAATTTTGTACACACATACTAGGGGGTCATCAATTTTGTACCTAAAAATATGTTTAAACTTATGCTTAGAAATTATGGGAAGGGGAGGGGGGGTCATTGATTTTGTACATGAAATGCAGGGGGATCACTTATTTTGTACATAATAATTTTAGGGGGTCATTCACATTGTACATGCTTCTCCATAAAAATCATCACCACCCCTAGTCATAAATTATGAACGGTCCCTAAATAGATAAATTGTTGATGGTTGTGATTTACGTGAATCATGAATGTTTGGTGGGATTGAGATGGTTTATCATCGCTTTTAAAAGTATCACAGTTTCGTAGAAGAAATATCTTAATGTGAAGCATGTGTTAGACATTTACAGCTTTGGTTAGACACCATGAGTATGGATATGCTGTTACACACCTAGAATTAGGTTTCTCTTGTACCCAGTGAAAGCAAGTATGCACAGAAACTTGAATTGCTAAAGATAACTGGGCCACCAGTTATGTTCTTCGCAGGTAGTTGGGAACATTTTGTATAGAGATAGACAGGGATAAGAATCTAATAAAAAATTTTTATTATTGTCTAACAATCTTTTTGTGTGTCTTATCTTAAACTATGAAGCATGGTTGTCATGGTGATTGATTGACATTTCATAAATGATCATTTTTTATTCAAATTTTATCAAAACATATGGTACCATTAAACCATTTCTTAATTTCTGAAGTCATGGAATGGTAGATCCTTGTTGTTGTTCATGCTGTTTAATGCAGAGTTGCCTCCCTTAGTCATACCAGAATGCACTGTTCAGTCACATGCCCATGACCATTTGAGCTTCAGCACCTTGTTGTATTTCTGGATTTCATTTATCTGTTAAACATTCATGACATTTAGGGCTGCGTAATATAACCGGTTTACCGGTATTTACCGGTTCAGACATGAAAACGATACGTATTGCGATACACTGATCGAAAACCGGTATTTTGACATGCATTCGGAAAACTTCGTAACACTCGGAAATCTTCGGATATTTCCGTTTTTTTAATTGTTCTTTTCCCTGTTTCATTAGTGCCAAATGTTACTTACATTTTTATTTTGTCATGATTAAAAGTTTTTATAAATGGTTAATCAATCATAGTGATTTTGTTGTGTTTTTGCTTATAATCAAGCATTAACTCAATTATAAGTAGTTTTTGTTAAAAAAATAATCCTTGCAATATATTGCAATATATTGCAATACATATCGCAATATATGCTTCCGCATCGCAATATATCGCAATATGAAAATTCTCTGCAATACCCACCCCTAATGACATTCATGTTGAATGTGCTGCAATTGTACTGGCTTTGAGACTTTGCTAATGGGATTTCACTGCCTGTGAATAGTTTGCTTGAAATATATGATTCTGTTCTGGAATTTTAAATCAATTTAAAAAAAATTATAGTTCCTGTTGAATACCTTCAAATCTGAACCCATTTATCTCATGATTCTCTCCTGTTCAGAATGACCATCAACAAGCGAGGTGGACTGACATACTGTCACTTGAAAGACACCACCTTTGATTTGAACGACTACCTGCTGGAACTCAAGTCCCAGATGAAGTACTGGCGAGATGTCTACTGGCGAGTGTGGGGGACCATCAACTCGCTGGCCTGTAGTCGCTGTGGAGAGACATTCCCGCTCACAGAGTTCGGACACTGTAAATATCACCCAGAAGCTCCCCGATATGATAATGAGGGGACAACAACGGGGCCGGCAACTTCGTCGTGTGTTGGGCTATACCCCTGCTGTCATCAGAAAACCATGCGGTTTGATCCTATCCAACTCAATAAGGTTTGTTTCTTAGTCCTTGTTTTAATGCAGCACTGTTCTACTGTATTGTGGCAGTCTGGATCAGACAATCTAGTGATTGACATCATGAGTCTCGACATGTGCAAATGAGATATGATAAAAAACATTAACAAAGTCAGTAAGTCTCACCAGCAAGCCTTATGATTCACCTTTAAATTAAATCAAATCAAATCAAATCAAATTAATTAATTTTTATCTTACCTTACCATAGGTCTTATGCATATTACCTCAAGCTCTGCTTAAAAGAGATCAGATAGTCATTGATTCACCATTCTCTAGAATGGCTGCCTCAAGTATCGACGAGTGTACAGGAACGGATGTGACGTGATCTCCCCTCCCGCGAAAGCGGTCTATCCAAAAATCACTTTCACTTCAAGCGTACTGCGTGTCAGACGTTTTTTTAAGTCGCTAGTTTGCTACTTACTGATACTTTCAGATATTAAAGTTCTTGTTTGTTTTTGGTATGTATGCTTTTTATATCCTATATTCTTCTCTGTGTGGGTGAAGAACATAATTAAAGTAAACTTCCCTTACCTGGCTGCCTCATGTCTCTCACTTCGGTGTGGGGTGTGTTCCTACGTCGCGAGTGTCACTCCACTGGGCATGTTTGGTGTTTTGTATTCTCCTATGTCTCTTTCACCATAATGTTCATGCTTGGTTTTGTGTATCTTGATATTATTGCCTAATTTGTGCATGTTTTCACGCTCTTTTCGGCTCAGTGGGGGCAGCCATCTTGGTTGTTTACTCTACTGTTCCGCCTGCTTGGGCATGCCCATTCTTGCTGCAGGTGTGTTTTTTTCTGTGTGTTTACATAGTATTTACGTTTCACTTTTGTTCGTGTGTTACAGCCTTTGTGTGCATGACCCGGCAGTTTTGCTGTATCTGCAAGGTGCAGAAGTCTGCCAAGGATCCCCACCCTTGGTGCCCAGACTGCGCTACTGTAGCCTGTTCTCTTGCTGAGCGCTGTCTTTTTTGTACTCCATTGTCCGTCGCCGATTTTAAGGCTTATACCGCCGCCAAGAAGAAACGTTTGTCGCAGCGTAAGAGGAAGATGTCTTCACCTGCTTCTTCTTTCGGGTCCTGATCTTCTCTTCCATGGACGCCGGACGGACGCTCCTCTCCTTTAGAAGAACAGACGTCTACACCTGCGCCGCGTATGCTGACGCGGACGCCCAGTGCCCGTCTGACGCCTTCGTGGACTTATTTCAGCCGGACGCCTTATCTCATCTGGAGGTACAGAAGCTTCTATGGACGCTCCTTTTGCTTGCAGCAGTTGAAGCCCAAGCTAGCGCCGTTCCAGCGCCGACACCCTCGTTACCTAGGGCTGTCCCAGCATCGAATTCTGTGTTGCCTAGTGCAGTTCCAGCGACGACGGCCAACGACAACGCCGTTGTTAGACTAACGTATCCCCAAGAAGGCGCCTGTGTCTACGTTGTCTCGAGAGGAGGATTTACAGCGTCAGTTATTGGAAGAGCATTCCCGACGCCAGGAAGCCGAGAGCTCCCGTCGTTCCAAGCGGTTTCACTCTAGGTCTCCTTGACAGCGCCATCATTCTAGAAGGCCTCGTCATAGTTCTGATACTAATCATCGCCTTCGTTGGTCTGATTCCAGGTCCTGTCTCCCAGACGTCCCAATGATAGGGAGAGGCGTTCAAGGTTACCGACTCGTGGGAGGCGCTACCGTCGGTCCCATTCAAGGTCGCCTCCTTTTCGCAGCTCGCTGCGACGACCACGTTCCCCTACAGTTACCTTCAGTGCTGTTTCTCAGCTGTCATCTTAGAGCCCGCCGCCTGCTGCTTCTGGCCAACGGGAAAATGCTACTACCGTGTCCTGGGAGGACACTGAGGAGAGCTATTTTTCTCCTGATTATAACGAGATGTTACAAGAGGAAGATGATGGGGGTACTTACCTCCCCCCTATCTGCTGTGTTTGACTGGATTGCCGACAGACTGCCGGATTGTCCTTCTCCCTCTTCAAGCTCTTGATGACCCGAGAGGTTTTAGGTCTTCTCCTGAGTTACTCCTCCCGCCTAACCCGATGGTGGCCGTGGCCTCTTTGGATGCCAACTTTGCTAAACTGTCTCTCTGACTACGACGCCCAAATCACGTGTGTATGCTCCAGACCAACAGTTACTGCTAGCAGACAACATTCAGACTCTGTTAGACAAAGAAGCTATAGAGACAGTGCTAGACCCCCAACAGTCCCTGGGGTTCTACTCAGCCATCTTCCTGGTTCCCAAGAAAGACTCGGTGAAAATGCGCATGATTCACAACATGGCAGTTTTCAACAACCTTTACCCTTCGGAGCTGCCTCACTTCCGGATGGTGTCCCTGGAACAGCTTCATGCCAAGCTTGCGCCCAGGGTCTGGCTGGCCAGCCTCGACCTCCAGGATGCCTACCTGCATGTGCCCATTTACCATCATCACAGCAAGTACCTGAGGTTTATTTTCAACGGGTCCCACTACCAGTGGAAAGTGCTTCCATTTGGAATTTCCACAGCCCCGTAGCTTTTTACTCGGATTACTTTGCCGATCACCCGGTTCCTCCATCTCAGGGGCATCAATTTCGACCCTTATATAGACGACTGTCTCATGAACCACCTCGACCCTCAGTTGCTTCGCAAACAAATGAACTTTGCCATTCGTCTCCTGGAGCAACTGGGGTGGATTATCAACACAGACAAGTCCCACCTGGAGCCGTTCTAGGAACTGACGTTCATAGGAGGCTTGTTCCTGACTCACTGCGCGCTTGTCAGGATTCCACAGGATCGCTGGAGGAAAGTTGTCAGTTTCGCCAGCTGAGGTCTGTCCCAGCCGCTCACGCTCAGGGAGTGGCAGTCCCTCTTAGGTCTCCTCACCTCAGCCCAGGACTTGACACTCAGAGGTCGTTTGATGCTCCGGCCGTTACAGCGCTTCCTCTTGCCTTACATCCAGGCGGACGACCTCCAGTCGAGGTTCCTTCTGCCTCTGCATCCCCTGGTGGACTGTAGAGTCGAACGTCTGCGTGGGAGTCTCCTTGACAGAGTTTGTTCACAATCACGAACTTTTTATAGACACGTCTCTTCAGGGTTGGGGTGCACACCTCAACAACCAGACCACGCCGAGCTAGGCTTGCATATCAACAACTTGGAGCTCCAAGCAGTCATTCTAGCGGTTTGACACTGGACGCCTCTGCTGCGGAGCACCAGGCTCCGGATAGCATCGGACAATTCTACGGTGGTGTGGTTGATTGGAGCAGTTGTTGGAGCAGACCTTCCTGTTGGCGAGTTTCCTGGACAACAATGGCATCAGAGCCACATCCCAGGGTGCAAGAATGTCCTAGCAAACGCTCTCTCAAGGCCAGGCAAGCCATCGCCAACAGAGTGGATGTTACATCCAGAAGCTTTCAACCTTCTATGTCACAGTCACGGCCGCCCTCTGATCGACCTGTTTGTGACTCGGTTCAACAAACAGCTTCCGTTGTACGTGTCTCTGATTCCAGATCCGGCGGCATGGGCAGTCAATGCCGTGGCCTTGTTGTGGGACGGTCTGGATGCATACGCCTTTCCACCACCAGTTCTGCTGCCAGCAGTGATAGCAAAGGCCAAGCAGACAGAGACGATTCATCTGCTTTTGGTCGCGCCTTAGTGGCCAACCAGAACCTAGTTCCCAGATCTGCGCCATCTCGCCAAAAGACATCCACAACAGTTACCAGAGTGGCCTCACCTGCACAGGTATCCGCACAGTCGACAGCTGCATCCCGATCCGACGCGATTTCATCTGTACGGTTGGATCATCTGCAAAAGGCGCTGAAGGCCAAGGGCTTCTCCACGGGTGTAGCCAAGGTTATTGCTCGTGCTCATCTAGTCTCCACAAGATCACTCTATGATGATAAGTGGACTTCCTTTGAGAAGTTTTGTGCACATAAGTCCAAGGACCTGTTGAAAGCTTCTCCTCAGTTTATGGCAGAGTTCCTTCTTTTCCTTCGGAAGTCCCGGCATCTCAAGGGCAACACTATAGGAACTTATTTATCAGCTCTTAACTCTGTTTTGGCGATCAAGTGCAAAAAAAGATTTCCAAGGTGCCGCAGCTCATTGCCGTACTCAAAGCTTTCAATCTGGAGGACCAGAAGGCAAAGTTTCATCCTCCTGCTTGGGACCTTAACATCGTTCTCCGGCATCTGAGAGGTCCACCTTACAAGCCCTTGGACACTGCTTCATTCGAGAACCTCTCCAGAAAGACAGCTTTTCTCTTGGCCTGGCCACAGCGAGGGTCAGTGAGATCCACGCATTGGATGTCAATGCTTAGTGTTTCCTTACGTTACTATCTGTTTCTTGTTCCAGGCGCTTCCTGCGACAGTCTGCCGATTCAGTTAGTTTTCCTTGGTTTCCCTTGGCATGTGGTCTTGTTTTTCTTCATGGGACGGTCCTCTGGAGCCCGACACCGCCGTCCTACTGTCGAATCTATATGCATAAGACTTATGGTAAGGTAAGTTAAAAATGTAATAAAATCTAAATATTTTAGATATTTAAATACTTACCTTACCATAGGGCGGTAACTCCCTCCCAACGCTGGATGCTCCTCCCCTCTCTGAGCTCTTCGGACCTGGTCAGTAAAAGTGATTTTTGGATAGACAAGCGCTATGCTGGAGGGGAGATCACGTCACTTCCGTTCCTGTACACTCATCGATACTTGAGACAGCCATTCTAGAGAATGGCGAATCAACGACTGTCTGATCTCTTTTCAGCGGAGCTTGAGGTAATATGCATAAAACCTATGGTAAGGTAAGTATTTAAATATCTAAAATATTTAGATTTTAATAAAATTAAATTTTTGTCAGGTTTATTCAGTTTTTATGTGTTGGAAATTGAAGCACTGAGAACTGGTTAAGAATGATAGCCATTAAGTGCTGCTTGTCCGTGATGGCTTCCATCAATGAATTTTTGCTCTGCACAGTTTTGTAATCTTGGGCTAGCAGACTAGCATGAATTTCAAAGGCTGTATAAGGTAAATGTCTTTCAGGGTTGTCGTGTAAAGGACCACATCATCAACCTGACCGAGACGACCCCTGGTGGTGGTGACCTTGACACAAACACCAAGTCTCCTCTACACAAGATCTATGATGACCTCCTGGCTCATCGAGATGTGATCTGCGTTCCCTATCAGAGGTTGCCTGAGACAAGGTGGGTGCTGTTAACTCATGTTGTTCTGAATAAAAGTAGCAAAACCCTTTCCACATGTGCATGCAGATTCTCCTTTCTACATACTTGAAAATGAAAGTCAGTTGCTGCCATTTTGTTCACATGGATACAGGGGTAATAACATTGCGAGGGTAAATTATGTTTCTGCCATTAATTTTGTCAATTGATTTCAAAGGGGAAACATTTGTAAATGAATTTCTCTGAAGGTTTTAGGCTACAGAACAACAGTAATAACAAAGTTTGCTATATTTATTAGGCAAGATATCTGGAACACGGAAAAATATTGCAACATGTATTCCAGTTTACCAGAACTACTGTGAAATGCTAAAATATTTTCAAAACTATATGAGCATTTAATTCTTCATGTTCATGTTGTTTTGCATCCTCGATAATCTCCAGGGTATACGTCACGATCACTCTCCACTAAACCCTGGATGCATCCACTGCTTGGCCCAATAATTATATTTCCTCCCTTTGCTGGCTCCACATTCTTACAGTAGCCAATCAGCTAAGCCGCCGTTACATCCGAGCTTTCCAGTGTCAACAAAGATAGCGGTCGCAGTCGCGAAGGTTCGTTCGCAGTGCCACACATATTTTTGGGGAAATCATACAGACAAAAAAAATATATCAAAGAACTCCTTCTACCCTTTTCAGAGTACCTCTGCATCAATTGTGTTGCAAAGTTTAAACGGTTAGATAAATTTAGAATCGAAAGTGAGTTGTGATTGGTTCGCTCAACTTCCCAGCGTAGACACCTGTTTGGGTAAAAAGCTTGGATGTAACGGCGGCTTAGCTGATTGGCTACTGTGAGAATGTGGAGCCAGCAAAGGGAGGTAATATAATTATTGGGCCAAGCAGTGGATGCATCCAGGGTATAGTGGAGAGTGATCGTAACGTATACCCTGGATATGATCGAGGATGGTTGTTTTGTGAGTTTTGACTTTAAATCAAGAGTGTTGATTGAAATGTTGCCAGACGTTATGTCATGTATAATGTTCTCGTTGTGTTGCAGTGAAGCTGAGCTGAACATATTTGGCAATGAGGTGTTTGCCAGTAGGTCAAGGTCAACGGGAGTGCATATATCCAAGTTGTCCTCCTTAGGAGAAGAGGACAAGAAAGTAGAGGTAATTAACATATACAGGTCATATTTAAACTACATCCCTTTATTCTCTTATTGTATAACAGAAGTCCTCTTCACTTTCAGCTATCCATGAACAGTTGTGCAGGTAATAGTAGCTCTTTACCCAAAGGCTCTTGTACATGTGCATTGAGGAAACGCTCACTTCTTTATGTTGGAAATCGGAGGATTTTATATGTGACTACAGCTGAAATACAGGATATATGAGAGGGATGTTCGTGAGGTAGTAATCTTAGATTAACGTTGAATTAAGCATTGTATGATTTCTTAGTGTTTGATAAACTGTAGGTGGCTCAGGGTTTTATGCGACACACAAGTGTGTGTCCAGTACTCACAAATGTAGAGAATGGATGCAGAAAACGCAAAATGCTGAGTCCAGAGATATGCACAAAAATACCAAGTAGTTTTCTGTGTCTGTTATTTCACCCATCAGTCAAGACCACTGTCCACGTGACCACTGATTCATTTATCTGACCACAACATACACCACACCATACACCACAACACACAACACAACACAACACAACACACCATACACCACCACACCATACACCACACCACACCACACCACACCACAACACACCACACAACACAACACAACACACCATACACCATACACCATACACCACACCACACAACACACCATACACCACCACAACACAACACACCATACACCACCACAACACAACACACCATACACCACCACAACACAACACACCATACAACACAACACACCACAACATACAACACAATACAATACAACACAACACACCACAACACAACACAACATACAACACAACACACCACAACATACACACACAACACCACAACACACCACACCACAACATACAACAACACAACACACCATACACCACCACACCATACACAACACAACACAACACACCACACCACCATAACACACGACACACCACCACAACACAACACACCATACACACACACCACCCACCACAACATAACACACCCGCACAACATACAACACAACACACAACACAACATACACACACAATACAACACAACACAACATACAACACAACATACAACACAACATACAACACAACACACCACAACATACAACACACCACTACAACATAACATACAAACACACAACACAACATACAACACAACACACCACACTACATACAACACAACACAACATACAACACAACACACACACACAACATACACACAACACACAACACAACACAACACAACATACCACACACAACACAACACACTATACAAACACACAACACAAACATATACAACACAACACACACAATACAACATACACAACACATAAATATACAACATAAACACCACACCACACCATACAATACAACATACAACACCACACCATACACAACATACAATATACATACACCTATAAACACATTAAATATACATAACACACTACAACATACAAATACACCACAACATTTAATACAACACACTACAATACAATACACCACACCATATTAAATACATACACAACACACAACACACCATACAACATAAATACACCATAATTACACTATAAATACACAACACAACACACCACATATACAACACAACACACCACACCATATACACACACACACTACAGCATACACCACACCAAATACAACACACCACACCATACAACCACACACACCACAACCGCACACACATCACACACTCACCACAACATACACTATACAATACACTAACACCACACCACACCATACAACACAACACACACACAACACACCAAAATATACAACACATACACATACATAAATACATACACACAACATACCCGCATACAACACATACCACACCCAAATATACACCACACACAACACACCGCATATAAATACACAATACATACTGCACCACCATAATATACACTCACACAACATAACTACGCAACATATGATACACACCAAATATGCACTAACCGCTACCATACATTACAACAGCACCGCAACTAACACACCACGCAACATACCACTAACGAAACATAACACATTAGCATACAACACAACACACCATACTACATAGCTCATAGGTACAAATATACGTACCACTGTATGTCTTTGGAGGGTATTATGAATGTTGAGTGGGTATTTCATTTTCTGACCGCTACATCCACTGCTTTTCATAAATATGTATATCAGCCAGTTTACTACTCCACTGCTTTTCATACGATTTATGTCATTGAGCTTAAGTTTACATTGAGTAAGTTTACTTAAGCAGGTATGTTCTGGCCTTATGTCATACCTAATCAAAACCAACTTAAATATAATGGAAATGATTGCATACAACACATCATCCTATAATTGACAGTACAACATGTACAACTTGACAGCAATAGATGTCTTTTTTCATTATGCAAGCCGATTTTACAAATATATTCCTGTGCTCATTTTGTTTTAAACTTTTTATGATCTAACATTTTAAATGCATAATTGGTATGCAAACAATTGTTTTTCAATGCTGCATTGGACATTTTACCACATGAGTTTTACCCCACACCACACCACACCACACCACACCACACCACACCACACCACACCACACCACACCACACACCACACCACACCACACCACACCACACCACACCACACCACACCACACACCACAACACAACACAACACAACACAACACAACACAACACACAACACAACACACACACACACAACACACCACAACACACCACAACACACACACCCACACCACACCTTTTTAATACTTTACACTACCCTCATATATTACCTACAAGGACCCTACAATATTTATTGATCAGGGGTCCCCTTGACCCCCACTGTTGTAAGTCAAGGTAAAACCAGGTAGTTGTGTGGAATGTTCAGCAGTGTTTTTGTGTCCTAGCACCACCACCACCACCACCACCAAAGCAAGCCCCAGCCACGCCTACAAGCCCTCACTGTGGAGAGAGAAGTGTCCTTTGAGATTGACGAGTTTGCCTTCGGTGAAAGCGATGATGAGATTGGAGATGAGGAGTCTCTCAAAGGTTCAGGTGAATGGACAGATTAATCCTGAACTGATATCTGAGGTCATAATATACATCCCAGTACACTGTTGGTGACAGTTTACCTGTTACAAGACAATATTTCTTAGTAAATAGGTAGAATGTATTCTTAGTATTAGTTAGATCATTTCAGTCCGATTCTGTGCTCAGTATACATATTAGTTTTGCCGAGTTGATTGACAGGTGGGAGACGCGAGAGCTTTGCTCGAGCTTCCTCAACACCTGTCAATCAACTCCGCAAAACTGTGGTGTATAATGAGCACAGATCGAGGATTGATGAGCTAACTGACTTGTACCACGCTCTATTATGTATGGGAAGCGGGAAAATTTTAAAGTTTTAACTAATCGCTTCATTCTTCAGTCTAGTTGCTAAAATGAGTGCTATTTATAATAACTGTGTTTTCTACAATAATTAATCTAAATCTGAAAAACATTTTTGGAACTATAACTTTCATTATTGTGTAAATTTCAAAGTACATATAAAGTACATGTATACGCTTAATTCTTTTTCATTTTATTACAGCATTTTTGTTCTCATAAATAAAAGGGTTGGTCAATTTCAGCTTGTAAATTCATTTGAAACCATTAAAACTCGTAGAAGTTACATTTCCTTGTTGCAATCCTTTTGACTGACATAAATTGTGTACAATGTTGAACAATGTTGTGTTCAGTCCTATTGCCGTAATGGCTTTTAGGAGCCAATGGCAGACGAATCTGCCTTCAGCACAAAACTGTTGTCTTCCAGCAGCAAATACACCACGGGTAAGATCAAAGGAACCGACACTCAGGCGTGGTACAATTTTGATAAAACAGGGAAGAGTTTTGTCTGGGACTTTTCAGTTATTATAGGGAGGGATCAAGATTAAGTGGGGGTCGAAAATAATTTCAGCAAAAGAGGAAGGTGGCCAAAATTTATGTGGCGTAGGGGCAAGAAAAAAGTGCAGTTCAGTTTTAAAAGAAAACATAAATCTACAAATATTATTTGGGGACTTATCATATATAATAAGGAGGAGTCATGAAAAATCAGAAATAAAATGTTTGATGTATGAGGGAGATGGGGGATGTGTGTTAATGATGGGGTTTTTTAAAATGAAAATGTGATAGTTCTGAAACCGGTCTCCTCCCAGCTCTCATAAATAACCAGTCACTCAATGTCATATTCATGCTGGATTTGGTTGGTCACTTTGTAGATGGTCTTCGCGAGATGGTCCACAGAATTACTTTGACTGATACAAGTATGACCTGCATTTTGAGATTGACATATACAGTGAAGCCCCCGCTAGTCCGACTCCGATAATCCGGAAGTCTCGGCCCCGGCGATTTCAGCCTACTAATCCATCAGCCCAAGACATGTCTCTGCCTCTATAGATTACAGTTACCGCCCCCGGACATCTCAACGGATTTCAGTCTAACAAACATCTTGTTACCAATCTATGCCTATATAATTTTTCCTCGATAATCCGGAAATTCGGCTCGAACCGACGGTAAGTAGCTGTCACCAATCAGTAAAATAAACAGTAAATTGCTTCACAGTCCGACACTGTAAGTCGTGTTCACGAACCGCGAATAACACCGCACCGCGATGTTTACTTAATTAACTGGCCAACTGGGTTGTTGTTTTAATTAGACATAAAAAGCTCCCGACTGAAGATACTGTACATTTACACTTTGATTGACACCACAATACAAAGCACAGTGGATGACAAGTGAACTGTTTTGTGATTGGTTAATGTACTTTGACAGAGAGATCCGTCACGCGGACTAAAAGTGATTTTGCTTTTTTATTTAACAATGCTGCAAGTCACAAGCAAAAGTTTCGCTTAACTTTGCTAAATGTAACCAAATACCACGCCTCATATTCAACCGATGGATGCAGGAATAATTCAGACATTCAAGGCATACTCACAATAGATCAGGGCAAAGTTACCCTCGCCTCTACACGTTACTTGAACATTAGCTATGGAAGGACATGAGGAAGGACGGATCAGACACGCCGGATCAACATGCGATGTCACTCGGTAAAATTATTGATGTGATGAATTGCTTTACATTAAATGCTTATTTGTTTTATCCAGATTCGCTGGTCGCTTTTGTAATTTTAGGGAAGCAACTTGGGTCTTGATTCAGTAGTCCGGATCTATTCGCAATCCGATCTAATTTACTGAGAAACGCGAACCGTCCGATTAATCCAGGCTTCACTGTACTGGACAAAATAGTTAGGATATATGTAAATTTTGAAATTATGAATACTGATGTATTTATTCATTGACACATTGATAAAATATCAATCATGAAAATACCAATATCCCTAACTTAATTTGTCCAGTATATTTAAAGCCTAGCCCAATAGGAAGCTCTATATTGACTCGTACTCATGTACTGTTTGCAGTCAAGAAACCAAGGGCTACCAGGAAATCCCGAGTCACCATCGACCCCCAGGCAATCCTGCTGGACGCTCCAGGATTTGAGTAAGTCAGAAATGCTTTACATCATTCAGTTAGGTGCTCTGTATGTATTATGTGTGTTCTCCTTCTACGATCGTTCTGAATTAAAAAATGTCTTACAACTTGAATATGTATCATCCTGCCCTGGACCGCCTCCGTGGTGTAGTGGTTAGAGCGTCCGCACGGAGAGCGGAAGGTCACGGGTTCAATCCCCGACTGCGTCATACCAAAAGACGTTAAAATATGGTACTTGTTGGTCCCTGCCTGGCGCTCGGTATTAATGGGTACAACAAGGACTGGTCGGCTCGGAGTCAGTATAATGTGTCTGAGTGGGGTATTCATGCTTCACTGCGGCATGGTATCTCAGTGGGCTAGCACTATAAAACCAGCTTAAGTCTGGGCTAGTACAAGCAGCCACACATACACATACACACGCATGCACGTCGTCATATGAGCGAAATATTCTCAAGCATGACTTTAAGCCGAATTTCACCTCACCTCATCCTGCCCTGGGAAATCAGCAAATGAACTTACATTCCATTACAGCATGACTTGAATGGGTTTTAAACATTGCATTCATGCATATAGCAACTTAAATGTGCTTGAGAGTATGCAGGCATGCGCTTGTTTGTATGAGTCAGGACTGACGCTGGAATGCGAGGATGCCGTAATGTTCGTCAGGGTTGTTGGTTTGTTGTTTAAGGCCGCACTCAGCAATATTCCAGCTATATGGCGGCAGTCTGTAAATAGTCGAGTCTGGAACAGACAATCTAGTGATCAACAGCATGAGCATCGATCTACACAAATGGGATATGATGGCGCTGTATCTACTAAACGAAGCAGGCGGTCCATTGAGGCATCAGTACTGCTTTTGTCTCTGTCAGGGTATTAAGAGAAGGGAGATAATTCTGGATATTCTCTTTTAGTTTTTGCATTAAATGCAGAAACAGTGTCTGTTGCACTCTAAATATGGCACAACACTGATAAAGCTGTAAACGACTTTTGTTAAAAACAACATATCAATTGTATTCCCAATAAAAGGTAGTTTTCTGGTTTGTATATACTGAGAGAAACAAGTAAAGGATCACAGGAAAATTCAAGCGTTCCTTTATCATTTTCCAGTTTTCAACACCACAACGCTATTCAAAGCTGGTGATGAAAACTGGAAAATATTAAAGGAATGCTTGAATTTTCCTGTACTCCTCTATTTGTTTCTCTCAGCATATTATAGTTTTTTTTGTCTAAACATTCATATGAAAAAGTGACCACCTCCAGGGTGTAGTGGGTTAGAGGCCTGCCCGAGAGCGGAAGGTCGCGAAGTTCGATCCCCAACCGCCATACCAAAAGACGTTAAAATATGGTACTTGTTGGTCCCTGCCTGGCGCCGCACTAATGGGTACAACAAGGACTGGTCGGCTCGGAGTCAATATAATGTGTCTGGAGTGGGGTATTCATGCTTCACTGCGCATGGTATCTCAGTGGGCTAGCACTATAAAACCAGCCTAAGTCTGGGCTAGTACAAGCAGCCGCATTACACATACACACGCATGCACGCTTGTCATATGAGCTTAAATATTCTCAAGCACTCCGGCGTTAAACCCAATTTCACCTCACCTCACCTCATATGAAAAGTTGCCTTGTTTCAAAGCTTCCAGCTTGATGTTCTGTATGAGCACTGACCTGATCACTCATACACACAAGAACTGATTTTATGATTTAATATTATAATTACTCCAAGGTTTGAAACTGAACTGTGAACAAACAGAAATGTTGGCAGCTTTGAAAGGTAATTTTGTGATGGTCAGAAAGGTTGTGACTTTCCTCGTGAAAATTGAATGAAATGGATCCCCAGCACATGTTAGTTAGTAGCAAGAGGCGACATCCTTGGAGTTCGCCCTCAGACACCATAACTTGGCTTTTATTTCATCATTGCTCCTCAATCACAAGGACGGCTGTTCATTGACAAGCTGTGGGTGTAGCTCCGAAGAAGTAGCTACTCACTACAAACATTCAACCTGGGTCCCTGGGACGGTGGGGTAGCCTGGTGGTTAAAGCGTTCGCTCGTCACACCGAAGAACCGGGTTCGATTCCCCACATGGGCACAATGTGTGAAGCCCATTTGTGGTGTCCCCCGCCGTGAAGTTGCTGGAATATTGCAAAAAGCGGCGTAAAACCAAACTCACTCACTCACTCACTCACTGGGTCCCGCTTACTCTGTGTACATTTCAGACAGACGAAGAAGTCAACATGGGATACGCAGAGGTCAATGAGATACAACCAGGATGCACAGAGACAGGAAGGTAGGACAATTATAGTATACTACTTTAAATATGTTTAAGAAGACTTGATTTTGAAGCTTATCTTATCTCACACTATGCTTTTCTTCTTTTGATCCTGGTATGGAAATGCCTTAGAACTAACAGTCCCGCTTCAAAACAAAACATCTCACCCAAACACATCCCAGATCACCATGGTGATCATGTAAATAATGGGTCACCCATCACTGCATGCAATGTAGCCCTGTGTGACCTGATCACTTGACAAAAAGGACTCGATTTAAGAGATGTTAATCTACTTGCACCAGGTGCAACCTAAGATAAAATCCTTGTTGCACCAGCCAAATTTCAGTTGCAATGTAGTGTGTTAAAACATGAGAGGTTTCGGTGCACTTATACATATTTCCATGATGTAGTACTCATGAAACCATGGCAATACAGAGACGCAACTGATCCCTGTTTACAAGAGCTGTCATACCTGAGACCTGTCTATAAATAGCACTGTTTCGGTGCCATAGCTATTCAAAGTTTAGAAGAGAAATGAGCCGACATAATTATAATAATGCTTATAATGTTAAATTAATTGTTGATTTATTTCTCAAAAATTGACTTGCACCTGGTGCAAGTTAGGCTAATAACTAGGTTGCACTGTGTAATATTGGGTTGCACCAGTGCAAGTAACAAAGCACAAAAGCTAGCCCTGACAAACCCAGCCCCATCATTCTCCCTCTTATTGCGGGGCAGTGGGGTAGCCTAGTGGTTAAAGTATTTGCTTATTACACCAAAGAACTGGGTCCAATTCCCCTCTTGGGTACAGTGTGTGAAGACCATTTCTGGTGTCCCCTGCTGTGCGTAAAAGTGACTTAAAATCATACTCACTCACTCACTCTCTATTTCTCAATGCCATGGTGTATGGACGTCTTTCGATCTTGATGCCCTTATGTGATACTGCAAAAAACTAATATGTAAACATGTCATTTGACTTTTGATAAGACTTTATATATAAACTCCATCACCACAGTACAAGTAATGTTTGCAAGTACAGAGATGAAGTGTGCATGCCTTTGTTGTTTACTTTTCACAACTTTTGGGGTACAATTGAGCATATGCTCTTTTTTATCAAGATTTCAGAAATTTTTCCGAAGTTGTTTGATTGTGGTTACAACATTCAAGGCCTCAGGAAAACTTTCAAAAAGTTCTATGGTAGACATTTTGACTTGTACCAAATGTTCACGAATTTCCCTATTTTGACTTGTACCAAATTCGCCATTTTGACTTGTACCAAATGTTCACGAATTTCCCTATTTTGACTTGTACCAAATGTTCACAAAAATGTTCAGACGATCAGTATTTTGCATGTGTTTGTGATGTGTACCACCAACCGATCAGAACATACTCACCATTTCGTGAACACCTGGTATCATCGCTACTTAATTGTGATCATAAACACATGCTCTGTCATTGTATCCCATGATGTCAACCACTGGATCGTCTGGTCCAGACCTGATTGTTTTCCAGACCGCCATAAAACAGCTGTTATATTGCTGAGTACAATGTTAAGCAAAAACATAATCAAACACATGCTTATAATATAGTCGGAACTGCACAATTGACTGTGCTTTTAGCAGAGATTTCTTATGGATGTGGAAAGGATTTTGTTGCTATTTAGTGCTATTTGGGTTTTTTTCAGACCAGAGAAGAATGAAGGACATTCGTCTATACTTGACCAAACTGAGGCTGAATGCAGACAGGATTGATAAGCCGAAAAAGGAGGTAATAATTGAGAAAGTTCATCTTTTATGGAATAAAAAAATAGCAAGTGATTCCATTGCATTTGATTGGCTAGTTTCTTATTGACTCTTTGAATGGCATTTAGAAGTGATACACATAAAGGCGAACATTTATGGATGTGAACGTCTTTGTTTGAGGAACGTAATGTTTCGGAGTATAGTCTTACCCCTTCATCAGGTGAAGGAAAGACTCGGAAACAGATAGCTATATATACTGAGGGAAAAAATAAGGGATCACATGCAAAGCACAAGTGTTTGTTAATTTTTTTCCAAGGTTTCTTCACAAGCTTTGTACCAAAAAAAATAAAGGAACACTTGTGCTTTCACATGATCCCTTATTTTTTGCCCTCAGTATATGTTCATGTGAAACAGCGAGCAAGTAGTTGAATCCATAAATTCTCGCCTTTAGTTTCTGATATGTTAATGGACACTATGTGATGTTGGTTGTTTTGTCTCCATAGTTCTCTGGTGGAATATTCAGCAAACTGGAAGCCCAGTGGAAGATGGCCAACACTACCCAGCCCAGCAAACAGCAGGGACAGAGTCAGGCCAGGTGAGTCTACTAATCATGTCCGTCAAGTGAGTCTACCAATGGCCTTCTGGCCAGGTGAGCCCACTAATTAGTTCCTGGACCATGGAATCTGGTAATCACATCCACGTCAGGTAAGTTTGCTAATGACCTCCTGGCCAGATGTATTCATTAATCACCTCCAGGTCAGGTGAGACCCCAGGTGAAAGTGACAGATCTCCAGATAAGATTTAGCTCATGTGGGGACTGTACCCACTGTATTTTTTGGGAGTGGGTATTATGAATGTTGAGTGGGTATTTCATTTTCTGTTACCCACTGCTTTCAAATATGTGCGTATTTCAGTCAGTTTACTCACCTAAGTATTATGTCATTGAGTAAGTTTACTAAGCAGGTATGTTCTGCCTTATGTCATACCTAATCAAAACCAACTTAAATATAATGGAAATGATTTCATAAAAAATCCCTCATCCTATACTGGCAGTACAACACTTGTCCTATACTAACAGTACAACTTGATAGCAATCGATGTCTTTTTCATTACGCAAGCGATTTTTATAAATATATTCCGTATGCATTTGTTTTAAACATTTTGCGTATCTAACATTTTAAATGCGTAATTGGTACGCAACAATTATTTTTCAATGCATAATTGGAAATTTTCTATGCGTATTTTACCCGGATACGCAGCTTATCTGGGCCTCTGATTGATTAATGAAACTGACATTCCAAACCACCAAGCATTTAAAGATGCATTTCAACATGATGAAAATTTCACCTGGATTAATTAGGTTTCTTTGCTGTCTTATCAAAATATATGACCAAGTCATCATTTATCGGTCAAAATTCGTTACGGTTGCCTCTGATGACACATCCTATAGAGGTGTCCTCAGATTTTCAGAGTAAAAGATTGGATGTCAGTGACATTGACTTCTCTCTGTTTCAAACAATTAAATACGAGAAGCCTTAATGATGAAAATATTCCTTCTTTTCCAGTTTCTTGACTTGTAATTGAAACCTCTGGTGAATCCAGGTTCTAATAGGTCTCAAGCAACCTATGTTGTATCAGATGGCCAAATGGATTGGTCAGTTAGTCTTGTTATATTCATATATGTCCTGGCTCCCTGGCAGCGTTGATAGCTGCTCACAAGTTTCATCACTGGATTGTCTGGTCCAGAATTGACAGACCACCATCATGTGGCTGAAAATTTGCCGAGTGTTGCATTAAACAAACAACAAACAAATAATGAAATTGCTGTACAGGGGTTCAAAAATCCCATCGCCCGACGCCCAGGACAAGTCAGTTTTCATTTCGGGCAATCAAATAATGGTATCTTACTTGTCCGTGGGCTACTAGATAATTTCCACTTATGGTTTCAAACTGAAAATAAACTTGGATTTAATTTCATATCTGCTCAAAATGTAGCTATTTCATTTCGCAATGATAATAAAGTCGAGTATTCTTTCTTTGCTATTTATCACTTTTCAATAAATAGTCCAGTAAACATTAACATCAAATACCATGTTGATTTATTCTTTCATACTTACATCATCATGATTATGTCATAAAATCAGGGCAAGTGGAAAATTAGTCAGGACAAGTTACTTTCTTAAAGTCACTTGCCCTGTGGCAAGTGGCTTTTAAAAAAATTTGAACCTCTGCTGTATCTGCATCCTCCTTCCCAGGCATCGCATGGGGTCAGGTCAGACGTACTACCAGCGCAGACAACAGTCATTTACAAACAAATCCTAGCTCGTTAAGGTACATCAGGTATATGTTTCTCTTGCATCTCCTGCACTACTAGGCATGTACTCACCTGTCTCAGGCATCACTAATTATACCCCTGCTATGAAGTAACGGGGGTATATAGCGTTCATTCTGTCCTTCCGTCTGTCCTCCCGTCCTGGAACTTTGTCCGGAGCATATCTCTTAAAGTTTACATGCTAGGTTCACCAAACTTCACACACATGTTAATCATTACCCATTGATGTGCCTTTTGCTATTTTAAAGTTTTTTCAGAAGTTTTTTTTTTTTGCTGTTTCCATGGAAACACGACTTAGTGCCAAATGTGTTTGATGGTTTTGTCCGTAGCATATCTCTTAAAGTTTACATGCTAGGTTCACCAAACTTCACACACATGTTAATCATTACCCATTGATGTGCCTTTTGCTATTTTAAAGTTTTTTCAGAATTTGTTTTGTTGTTGACTTGGTGCAAAATGTGTTTGATGGTTACCTGGCCACAGCATATCATCGAAACTATACATGCTAGGTTCACAAAACTTAATACACAAGTTAATCATGACCCACAGATATGCCATGTGCTAAAAAATAACAATCTTCATCTACGTCCACATCATTGTGTGCAACATGAGACTGTCAAGTTCATTGGTATGTCAGGTTTCCACGGAAAACACAAAAAAATAATGTTTCCATAAATTATTACTGTAATCAGTACATGGCAAAACTATTATCTAACATGTATATAAACTTTAAGAGAGTCAAGGAGAAAGTCTTGTGAGCTGCTGATCCTTGTCACATTATATATATCAATATCAGTCATTTCCATGTCCCAACGTGGGAAGCGGGGGTATGTGAGCTGTGCTCACTTCTACACTTGTTGATGTACAAGGTGTTTGTAGCCAGAAAACTGGTAACTGAAGAAGTTGATGATTAAGAGGAGGTTCAAGCTTTTTCTTTTTATTTAGGTGCTTAAGTAGATTACATGCTTACAAATGAAAGGTTTTACTCTAAGTTTATGTCAAGGGGGTGTCTCACTGGATGGAAGGATGTGTGTCTGCAAGGGTTGGGAGGATGTGTGTCTGCAAGGGTTGGGAGGATGTGTGTCTGCAAGGGATGGGAGGAGGTGTGTCTGCAAGGGATGGGAGGAGGTGTGTCTGCAAGGGATGGATGGAGGTGTGTCTTCAAGAGATGGGGAAGTGTGGTTGTACTGGGGATGGTTCAAGGAGGAATGAATGAAAGGAGGTGTGCCTGCAAGGGATGGAAGGAGGTGTCTCACTGGATGGGAAGGAGGTGTGTCTGCAAGGGATGGAAGGGTGTGTCTGCAAGGGTTGGATGGGAAGGATGGAAGGAAGTGTGTCTGCAAGGGATGGAGGAGGTGTGTCTGCAAAGGATGGGGGGAAGGAGGTGTGTCTGCAAGGGATGGAAGGAGGTGCACTGGATGGAAGGAGGTGTGTCTGCAAGGGATGGAAGGAGGTGTGTCTCACTGGATGGAAGGTGTGTCTGCAAAGGATGGGGAAGGAGGTGTCTTACTGAATGAAAGGTGTGCCTGCATAAAGGGATGGGAGGAGGTGTGTCTGCAAGGGATGGGAGGAGGAGTGTGTCTGCACTGGATGAGAGGAGGTGTGTCTACAAGGGATGAAAGGAGGTGTGTCTGCAAGGGATGGGGGATGGAGGTGTGTCACTGGATGGAAGGAGGTGTGCCTGCAAGGGATGGAAGGAGGTGTGTCTGCAAAGGGATGGGGAAGGAGGTGTCTCACTGGATGGAAGGAGGTGTGCCTGCAAGGGATGAAAGGAGGTGTGTCTGCAAGGGATGGGGATGGAGGTGTCTCACTGGATGGAAGGAGGTGTGCCTGCAAGGGATGGAAGGAGGTGTGTCTGCAAAGGATGGGGGATGGGAGGTGTCTCACTGGATGGAAGGAGGTGTGCCTGCAAAGGGATGAAAGGAGGTGTGTCTGCAAGGGATGGGGAAGGAGGTGTCTCACTGGATGGAAGGAGGTGTGCCTGCAAGGGATGAAAGGAGGTGTGTCTGCAAGGGATGGGGATGGAGGTCTCTCACTGGATGGAAGGAGGTGTGCCTACAAAGGGATGAAAGGAGGTGTGTCTGCAAGGGATGGGGGATGGAGGTGTCTCACTGGATGGAAGGAAGGTGTGTCTGCAAGGGATGGGGAAGGAGTGTCCTGCAAAGGATGAAAGAGGTGCCCTCAGTGGGATGGGAGGAGGTGTGTCTGCAAGGGATGGAAGGAGGTGTCTCACTGGATGAGGAGGAGGTGTGCCTACAAAGGGATGAAAAGGGGGCAAGGGATGGGGGAAGGAGGTGTCTCACTGGATGGGAGGAGGTGTGCCTGCAAGGGATGGGAGGAGGTGTGTCTGCAAGGGATGGAAGGAGGTGTCTCACTGGATGGAAGGTGTGTCTGCAAAGGATGGGGGAAGGAGGTGTCTTACTGAATGAAAGGTGTGCCCGCAAGGGATGGGAGGAGATGTGTCTCCAAGGGATGGAAGGAGGTGTCTCACTGGATGAGAGGAGGTGTGCCTACAAGGGATGAAAGGAGGTGTGTCTGCAAGGGATGGGGGAAGGAGGTGTCTCACTGGATGGGAGGAGGTGTGTCTGCAAGGGATGGGAGGAGGTGTGTCTGCAAGGGATGGGGGAAGGAGGTGTCTCACTGGATGGGAGGAGGTGTGTCTGCAAGGGATGGGAGGAGGTGTGTCTGCAAGGGATGGGGGAGGAGGGTGTCTCACTGGATGGGAGGAGGTGTGTGCCTGCAAGGGATGGAAGGAGGTGTGTCTGCAAGGGTTGGGGGAAGGAGGTGTCTCACTGGGTAGAAGGAGGTGTGTCTGCAAGGGTTGGGGGAAGGAGGTGTCTCACTGGATGGAAGGAGGTGTGTCTGCAAGGGATGGGGGAAGGAGGTGTCTCACTGGGTAGAAGGAGGTGTGTCTGCAAGGGATGGGGGAAGGAGGTGTCTCACTGGATGGAAGGAGGTGTGTCTGCGAAGGACATATGTCTCTGGTGGTTGGGAAGGTGGTATGTCTGTATGTTGTGGGGGAAAGAAGTCTATTAGTGGTGAAAGAAAGAGGTTTTGATAATTAATGGGAGATTGTTAGAAAAATTAAATATTTTGATGGTTTCAACTAGATAGATATGGGGTTCCCTTTCGTATCATTAGTTGTTTTTCAATTTTGTAGAAGATTTTGCTTCACATCATGCATGTGTATGTTTCAACACAGCCTTTTCAATTACTCTTAGATGTTATGAGTATTCTCAGTTAGTTTAAATTTGTTTAAGTAAACTTTTGTACGGTAATAGACAAATGTGTCTTTTTGCATGACAATGTATCTCACATGCATGTTTTCCCACCCTTGTCACACACACAGCATGTCGAGTCTACAGTACATAGTCCCCTGATATCAACACAGATCTCTTCCTATTTCTTACTCAGAGGTCACATGAGTTTTTTTTAAAGGTCACGTGTTTTTTTAAATGCATTTTTGCTTCCATTCTAAAATATTTTTGGAGATTTTTTGCTGAACTGAGGAGGTTATAATGCTGAAGCAATACATGGTTGGTAGATTCTACTGCAATGCACTTCTTGTAAGATTGCTAGAATTATCTCAATAAATATCAATTCGGATTCTATAGTAACGGTTATCTCCCAATTGACAGACACCCAATTGACAGATACTGAACTAGAAGGTTAATTAGGGTAACACCTACGGGTATAATGGAACAGTCCACTGTCCAGTGAGCAGAGCAGGGTGAGCCTGAAACAGGTTCGTTACTGAGAAGTTTGATTGTGAGTAAATAGAACTTTGTTGTGATTAAATGATAAATGATTTCTCTTCTCAAAATTGATTTTACTATCAATTACTATCGAATATGAAAACAGGTTTGTCACTGAGAGGTTTGATTGTGTTTATTAATAGAAAAGCCCCCGCCCAATAATAGCATATGTACAACAGAAGTTAACTGAGAAAATGTTTTGTTGGAGAGATATAGATATGTACATATTTGAAAACAATCTGATTTGCAGTAAATGAGACACCTGCATTGCCATGTAAGATACGATTAATACCAATCAGTGTTCTAATTTTAACAATACTTTCTAAAGATTGTAACAGTTTATGTCCTTGAGTAGTATACAATGGACATTCAAGGACGTAATGGAAAACATTCTCACATCCATGGCCACATTGACATGATACATCATTTTTTAAATATTTATTTTAAATAAGTCGTAATTAAGTGAACTCATATATATATCTTAATATTGTGTGCAAAACATATAACTTCTTTATTCCATATGAATAATATTTAGGTTCACATTTGTCTTTATTTGATTTATTTGATACAACAGTGTCGCAATTTCTAATAGCTAAGCAGATGTTTTCAATATGATGTGCCGACTCCCGTTAGACTAGAAGGTTAAACCGAAATGTTTATGAAAATATACTGTTTATATTGCAGCAATAAAACTTCAAATTACTGTCTTTTCGTCCATCTTTCAAAATAAATAATATAGCTTCAGTTTGTTCCTGTGGTTTTTTTTTACTATTCCATTATAATGTGTAGGTAACAGGTAGTAGATAATCTGTTCACTGAACCCAAATGTTGTTGTTTTAAGGTGTCTGCGAACTGGCTGTCTGCGTAATGGGAGGACACCATAGTAACTGTTTGAAAAAGTTATTTGATATTGTGTGACACCCATATGTCCAAGATAACAAAATTCAAAATTAGATACAGAAAATCAATGAGAACTTGAGATGTTATTCTTTGGTAATATTTGGGCTGGTGGGGTAGCCTAGTGGTTAAAGCGTTGGATCGTCACGCTGGAGACCCGGGTTCGATTCCCCACATGGGTACAATATGTGAAGCCCATTTCTGGTGTCCCCCACCGTGATATTGCTGGAATATTGCTAAAAAAAAGCGGCGTAAAACCATACTCACTCACTAATAATATAATATTTATGATTTATTGGATGAATTCGGGTGTTTGAAACTGAGTTGTGTAATCAACTCCAGGCAGAATTTCTGTGACCTCTGAGGCATGCCAAGTTTATATTTCCACTTTCCTACACTCCTCATCCCTCCCTTATGTTTATTTGCACAGTGGGTTATGTTATTGGTTTGCACAACTGTTGACCAGCTGGTTCCTGTTACCAATCTAACTAGACAGGTAGAGTATCCACAAGCTTTCAAATGATAAATTTCTACAGTATTTGTAATGAAATTACAGTAGTTAGTGGTAGATGTATGGCAGTGAAAATCGCTTCTCAACATTTGCTCTTTTAGTATAACAAAACTATGTAAAATATATGAAATATATGGTTTCCAGTTGATCCCAAATTAACGTTGTACTTGTGTAACCTCTCTTACATATCTAGCAAATGTTGGTTTTGATTTTTGTCAGTGAGGCCACAGATAAAGATATGTCATATGAATCTTAGACAAGACATCTCTAATAATTGTTCTACAAATTCTGTTGACCCTAAAATATTGAAACAGTGTGTATTTCTGTATTATTTTCAATTCTACAGAATGTTAACTTGTTTTCACTGCACAGAAATTGTGTATGTACAATTCATACCAGAAAGACAAGATGTTTCAATGAGACAATTGTAGACTGTTTTAGTGATGAAACTAACTGCTCATGCTGAAGATATAGAAATGTATTCAGATAACTTTTCAAGTACCACCCAAAGATTTTCTGAAAGGTCTTTCCATTGATTTTTCTCCCTACTTCCCAACCAGTATTTTTCTGTTGAAAGTTACCAGCCAAGAAAATAAATAAATCTAGCCCTGTCATATTATTTCTTTCTCAATATTGATTTTCATGGAAAGCCACCATGCATTCTTATGGTTTCCAGCCGAGATGTTTTTCCATGAATATGTTATTTGAGTGAACAGACCAATTGGATTTGTTGTTTCTTGTGTTATTGAGTCAGGTTGGTAAATATGACTAATTGATTTAAGTTTAAAATTCTGAAATTTTTTAAAATGCCAACAAAATATGTCTTTTCTTCAAATACAAAAAAATACCTTTTTTCAAGAAAGGCTAGAATTTTTTAATTCCTTTCGATGTTTCATAATGTAAGCTTGTTTGATGGAACAGATCTGAGTTGTGACCAGGTTGATTTTAGCACCACCAGATGGTTTTGCTTTGGGAATCCATGGCAGAAATTGCTGGTCCCCCTATGGGATTCTAGGACAGACTAGGGCCCCAGTTCTGCATGCTTGTCTCCCTGTGATATTCTAGAACAGAGCATGCTTGTGTAGTAATGTGGATTTCAGGTTCTCGGTGCCCCATGCTTGTCTCCCTGTGGCTTTCCAGGACAGAGTAGGTCTCCAGTATGCCCATGCTTGTCTCCCTGTGGCTTTCCAGGACAGAGTAGGTTTCCAGTACCCCATGCTTGTCTCCCTGTGGCTTTCCAGGACAGAGTAGGTCCCCAGTACCCCATGCTTGTCTCCCTGTGGCTTTCCAGGACAGAGTAGGTCTCCAGTACCCCATGCTTGTCTCCCTGTGGCTTTCCAGGACAGAGTAGGTCCCCAGTACCCCATGCTTGTCTCCCTGTGGCTTTCCAGGACAGAGTAGGTCTCCAGTACCCCATGCTTGTCTCCCTGTGGCTTTCCAGCACAGAGTAGGTCCCCAGTATCCCATGCTTGTCTCCCTGTGGCTTTCCAGGACAGAGTAGGTCCCCAGTATCCCATGCTTGTCTCCCTGTGGCTTTCCAGGACAGAGTAGGTCCCCAGTACCCCATGCTTGTCTCCCTGTGGCTTTCCAGGACAGAGTAGGTCCCCAGTACCCCATGCTTGCTTGTCTCCCTGTGGCTTTCCAGGACAGAGTAGGTCTCCAGTACCCCATGCTTGTCTCCCTGTGGCTTTCCAGGACAGAGTAGGTCCCCAGTATCCCATGCTTGTCTCCCTGTGGCTTTCCAGGACAGAGTAGGTCCCCAGTATCCCATGCTTGTCTCCCTGTGGCTTTCCAGGACAGAGTAGGTCCCCAGTATCCCATGCTTGTCTCCCTGTGGCTTTCCAGGACAGAGTAGGTCCCCAGTATCCCATGCTTGTCTCCCTGTGGCTTTCCAGGACAGAGTAGGTCCCCAGTACCCCATGCTTGTCTCCCTGTGGCTTTCCAGGACAGTAGGTCCCCAGTACCCCATGCTTGTCTCCCTGTGGCTTTCCAGGACAGAGTAGGTCCCCAGTACCCCATGCTTGTCTCCCTGTGGCTTTCCAGGACAGAGTAGGGGCCCAGTACATCTTGCTTTTCTCCCCATGAACTTCCAGGACAGAACAGGTCCCTCGTACCTTATGCTTGTCTCACTCAGATTTCATGACCTAGTCAGTCCCCAGTTCCTCATAGTTGCCGTGTGTTCAAACCATAGCTTCCCCTTGATCAGTCTCCAGCACCAGCACCAAGCCCCACTTGTCATCTATGGTAAGTAACAGGATCAGCCCCACTTTGGTCTTTCCTCACAGATCAAACTGGCGGTGGGGTAGCCTAGTGGTTAAAGCGTCCACTTGTTGGGTTCGATTCCCCAGTACAATGTTTGAAGCAGATTTCTGGTGTTCACCGTGATATTGCTGGAATATTGCTAAAAGCAGTGTAAAACCACTCACACACTCAAACTCACACTTCATCGGTATCTGAAGCATGTTAACAAGTGTTCACTCACTCACTCACCAATGCTGGATGTGTTTTCTTGTTGCAGGCCCAAACCCAGACTGGGACAAGTGAGATCCTCCTTCTCCTGATCCTTCTCGTCATCTGCCAGCCCCAACTACATGTTGGAGACATTACAATGTGAACACTGTCAGTACTTCACGGCTTTGTATACTCGGAGCTCAGCTCACAAATGGCTGCTTCTTTTTGAACAACGTTCAGCTGTCAGCACTACACATTTTGTTTATCTTGTTCAGACAGGGCTCCAGATAACTTTTGGGGTGTGAGTGTACTTACACATCATATTGCAAGTGGAGGTGTACTGAGAATTTTGAAGGAGTCCTGACATGTTTTTGTGTGAGCGAGTTGGTGATGTGGTTTGTCTGGACGATTCATCGATCACTATTTCCAACCATGTATTTGTATTTGAAGTCGCGTGAGAAATAACTGAGCGACCGTGTGATGTGCGAAATGTCAGGTCCGACTGGATATAAATAGCAACAGTGTAGTTTTTAGCCAATCGAAAAATAGTGACGTATATCGTTGCATGGCAACGCAAGTGATTCCTACTGTCGGGGTTTCCTCATGTGTCAAATCGTGTTTCGCAAAAGAAACTTGACAAGTATTTATACGAAATATATTTCCATTTGCACGATATGCACAGAAATTAAATGTTAGACGTACAAAGGTTGAAATCTTATATTATGTCGTACTGAATTGATTTTGAGGCGTACATTACGCCTGTACGCCCTTTATCTGTAGCCCTGTTCAGAGCTAGGCTCATTTATTATTCTACCTACGGTACTGCAATGCAATAAAATGTTTTTGGAAGTTATGGAAGACCATAGTGTGTACAAACTCATGATGTACTGACGACGACGACAATGATGATGATGATGATGATGATGATGATGATGATGATGATAATGAGGATGAGGGTCTGCTTGGCTCAAGTGAGAGCATGTGTAATTATGCATGTACATGATGGAATCAATGTGCTATTTATGATGACTGAAATGGGACTGAAATTTTGTCATTAAAAGAGACCTTGCACCATGGCATTGATTGATTGATTGATTGATTGATTGACACAGCTGTAAGAAGTTAATACTTGAGTAACTACACAACCTACCCTACTGCACATCATACTTTTACATGAGAACGTTTTAATTATTGATGATATGTAGGTATGATGAGGTTGTATGTACCCACTGTGAAAACACATGAAGGTGGGAGTTAAATACTGTAACATGTTGATGCAGATGCACCTTTGTATGACTGTGTGTTGGGCCAGTGGCCTTATACTGAATAAATAGTGTCTGTCTGTTACATGAACGTGTACAGTTCTGCTGAGGATACTTTGGAGCCAGTGGTATATACTATTAACCCTTTTCAATGGATCAAATCATGGATTCAACAGAGAACTATTATGTGGGGTCAAATTTGGCTTAAATATCTTAGCTTATTGTAAGCATGGATCCTAGGTTTCAGTATGTCATTGCATCTGGTGGATCCCATACCTGCTATTGACATGTGTTGTTTATTTGTCAATGACTCGTTCCATGATTTGCGAAATGGTTGATTGGTGCCGTGAAAACCATTTTTATGGTTACTAATGTACCAAGTGCATAAGCTTAGATTGAAGTTGCTGTTTGCCCAAAGAGGGGGTTACCACATTATTATTCATCCAGTTTTATATGGATACAATTTCAAATTATAAATCTACGTTTAAGTAATGTTGTGAATTTTTTAGATCCTTAGCAAAGTGTGAGTAGTATATGTTTATATGGAAGATCAAAGAAGAATTTTGTCTGAATTCTGTTGGATATGTAAAAATATGTCAGGTTTATGGCAGTAATTATATTGCTTGGTACAAAGATATGGGCATTGGTATTCCAGCATGGTTATTGGTTAAAAATACATTTTAAAGTAGTATGGGAGTTACTATCACCTTACTGCAACAAACTTTGTAAATCTTGGTTAAAGTACAGGAGATATATCTTCTTAGCTCAACAACACTGGTAGATCTATGTTAAAGTATGTGAGTTACGATCATCTTAGCTCAACAACACTGATAAATCTATGTTAAAGTATGTGAGTTACAATCATCTTAGCTCAACAACACTGGTAAATCTATGTTAAAGTATGTGAGTTACGATCACCTTAACTCAACAACACTGGTAGATTTATGTTAAAGTATGTGAGTTACGATCACCTTAACTCAACAACACTGATAAATCTATGTTAAAGTATGGGAGTTACAATCATCTTAGCTCAACAACACTGGTAAATCTATGTTATAGTATGTGAGTTATAATTACGATCACCTTTTTATTATAGGATATTTATATAGCGCACATATCCAGGCAACTAGTGCTTGCTCAAGGCGCTGGTATTTTCCCCTCGATCATTGGATGTCAATCTTAACGACACATCGTATTATCAGTCTCAACTCCCTGGGGAGTATACAACTCTTGCAGCCACTAGGCGCACCGAGTTATTGTGGCTTTCTCATCCTAACGAGGTACCCATTCACAGCTGGGTGCACTGGGACACATAGTCACAGTACTTTGTCCAAGTTCACTGCACGTTGCTGTACCCGCAACTAGGTGTTTGCACGTATTCATGTGGCCACCATCTGGTCATATACCAACGGATTCGTGGGTTCTTTTAAGTGCACAGGGATGTGTACTGTACACTAGGGGTTGTGACAACACTGAAAGAGCCTGCACAGAAAGTTGACTCCAAGGTTTTTACACCCGGTCACAGGTGGGCTCGATCCCGGCACCTCAACCTCGCTGGATCACTAGCCTGGCGTCTTAGCCAGCTCGCCCACCGCGCCCCTTAACAGAACAGCATTCGTAAATCAATGTTAAAGCATGGGAGTTTGGCTCATCACCTTAGCACTGCAACAGTATCTTAGCTCAACAACATTGGTAGATCTATGTTATAGTATGTGAGTTATAATTACGATCACCTTAACTGAACAGCATTCGTAAATCAATGTTAAAGCGTAGGAGTTTGGCTTATCACCTTAGCACTGCAACAGTATTCTGGAATGAATCCTGGGGCTTCACATTTCCCAACTTCGTCCCAAGGCAAGTGTGTCCAGTCAGTGACAGGCAAACACAATGGTAGATTATCATGATAAAGATATATATTTCTCTGACGCTATTCACTCATATTTAGTATATAAATGAAAGCTTGAAACAGCAGGGTTGAAACAAGACTTCAATATAAGGCTAGTTGCACGCTTATCTTGGAAGATGAAATTGTCAGGATTGTTAATCAATACAGCCAGACTCACTCACTGATGTGACTTGGGGTATCTTTGTGGTTAAGGGGCGGTGAGGTAGCCTAGTGGTTAAAGCGTTGGCTCGTCACGCCGAAGACCTGGGTTCGATTCCCCACATGGGCACAGTGTGTTAAGCCCATTTCTGGTGTCCCCCGCCCTGATATTGCTGGAATATTGCTAAAAGCGGCGTAAAACCAAACTCAGTCTTTGTGGTTAAAGCATTCACTCAACACACTGAGGACTATGATTCCATTCCCAACATGGCGACAATGTGTAAAGCCCATCTCCACAGGAATAAGGCTACCATAATCCAGAGGTAAGCTTACTAACAATTACTAACAATACATGTAATTGTTCTTTTTAAAATAATGTATTGATATTCTGGTCAAATGCTGTCAGATTCCAAATTTTCGGATATAGAATTCATTCCGAACCGTATATGCGAGCTCCACTGGGTAACACTGCTGTTACATGTGTGTATGGTGTTTTCACTGGTAAATCCCAACCACTGTATGAAGAACAGTTCTGTGCTATTGTAAACAAGTGTCAGGAACTGTGTCATTAATTTTATATATATACCTTCTTAACTATATTTATACAATATATATACAATCTCAGCTTGTGTTTGTTTATTATTTGTGATGGATGTGGGGAATTGCCCTACTGGTTACAAAACAAGTGTGGGGAAAAGTCAAGATGGGGAAATGTCATGTGAGGAATTGTCCTGATGGGGAATTGTCCGTACACCCTTGTAAACACAGACCAGATAGCCGCTATGAATGTGAAAGCGATAACGATAACATTAGGGACTTCTGGTAAGAAAAGTAGAACAACAAAACACATTCCAAATCCATAACAATTATCTACCTAAAGCGGAGTCTATCATACAGTTCCGACTAAAATATGAGCATGTGTTTATTTGTTGAATGTCAACTTCGAATGATTGTCCCATTATGGCACACGTTTGACACGAATGATTGTGCCATTATGGCACACGTTTGACACGAATGATTGTCCCATTATGTCACTCGTTTGACATGAATGATTGTGCCATTATGTCACTCGTTTGACACGAATGATTGTGCCATTATGGCACATGTTTGACACAAATGATTGTGCCATTATGGCACACGTTTGACACGAATGATTGTCCCATTATGGCACACGTTTGACACGAATGATTGTGCCATTATGGCACACGTTTGACACGAATGATTGTCCCATTATGGCACACGTTTGACACGAATGATTGTGCCATTATGTCACTCGTTTGACACGAATGATTGTCCCATTATGGCACACGTTTGACACGAATGATTGTCCCATTATGGCACACGTTTGACACGAATGATTGTGCCATTATGGCACACGTTTGACACGAATGATTGTCCCATTATGGCACACGTTTGACACGAATGATTGTGCCATTATGTCACACGTTTGACACGAATGATTGTCCCATTATGGCACACGTTTGACACGAATGATTGTCCCATTATGGCACACGTTTGACACGAATGATTGTGCCATTATGGCACACGTTTGACACGAATGATTGTCCCATTATGGCACACGTTTGACACGAATGATCCCATTGCCATTATGTCACTCGTTTGACACGAATGATTGTGACACCCATTATGGCACACGTTTGACACGAATGATTGTCCCATTATGGCACACGTTTGACACGAATGATTGTGCCATTATGGCACACGTTTGACACGAATGATTGTCCCATTATGGCACACGTTTGACACGAATGATTGTGCCATTATGTCACTCGTTTGACACGAATGATTGTCCCATTATGGCACACGTTTGACACGAATGATTGTCCCATTATGATAAGCACACGTTTGACACGATTGATTGTGCCATTATGCCACATGTTTGACACGATTGATTGTGCCATTATGGCACATGTTTGACACGATTGATTGTCCCATTATGGCACACGTTTGACACGAATGATTGTCCCATTATGGCACACGTTTGACACGAATGATTGTGCCATTATGGCACACGTTTGACACGAATGATTGTGCCATTATGGCAAAATCATATCATTCGTGTCAAACGTGTGCCATAATGGGACAATCATTCGATGTGTTTTGTTGTTCTACTTTTCTTACGAGAAGTCCCTAATGTTATCGTTATCGCTGTCACATTCATAGCGGTTATCTGGTCTGTGTAAACAAGGGTGTACGGACATTTCCCCATCAGGACAATGCCCCACATGACATTTCCCGTTTGACACGAATGATTGTCCCATTATGGCACACGTTTGACACGAATGATATGATTTTGCTCTAACGTCACCGACAGACACGTTTGGCCTGGTGCAGACAGCATCTACGGTACAGGACACAAGATTGGAATGGTTGTTTTTTTCATTAATGAGTCGAGATTTCATCTGGACAGCTCAGAATGCAGGGCAAGGGTGTTCAAACGGCGAGGTGAACGGTATGCCGACGTGTGCGTTGTTCAACGTCGACAGTTTGGTGGTGGAGCGTTATGGTATGGGGAGACCTCATGGCCGGACACAACTTGTCATTGTCAATGGTAATCTGATCGGCCTGAAATACAGGGATGAGATCATTGGGCCTCATGTGCAGGCGGCCATTCAACAGAGACGCTTCAGCAACATAATGCCCGCCCACATGTAGCTCGTGTTGTGACAGATTTCATGAGACAGCAAAACATTTCGATCAGCTGTTTTTCCAGACCTCACCCCTATCGAGCACGCTTGGGATGAAATGAAGCGACGTTTACGTCAAGCCCAGAATCAGTCATTGACGTTCAGACTTGGAACAACGTTCCCCAGGCTTTCTCCAATCGCTTAGTATCGTCTATGCGTCGTCGTTGTCAAGCCTTCATCCACGCCAATGGTGGACACGCGATGCTGAATTTGTGAACTGACTTTTGACACCACATCTCTCCAAGGGCGTGTCACGATGGTTTGTGTCAAATCATACAGATTTTGATATTATCCTGTCAACAGTTAAACAGTGATTAAGGAAAACACCACAAATCATGATATTATATTTTTGCATTAAAATGGCATTACATCAAATAATGTACAGTTACTTTATTCCAGTCGTATATATTCTTGCAAATAAGGACGGAGATGTTGTTCCGAACTCTATGGAAGACCGCTCCAATGCCGGCAAGTACCTGTAATAACGAAATTCCAAAGATAGAAAAACACAACACATGTCAAAACTGCCTTCAATACAATCTTGGGCTGTGGGGTACTCTGGTGATAAAGCGATCGTTCGTCACGCCGAAGACCCGGTTTTGATTCCCCACTGGGGTACAATGTGTGAAGCCCATTTCTGGTATCCCAGGCCGTGTGGAGAACCACTTAAGCAGTCTTGTGAAAGTCCGAGAACATATTACTGTTATAAGTGATGATGCATTTACATCTGTTTCTGGGGATGACATGTCTATTCATTTATGGTCACATATTTACAAATTGTGATATCTATTATTGAAGCAAGGGGTCACATATTTACAAATTGTGATATCTATTCTTGAAGCAAGGGGTCACATATTTACAAATTGTGATATCTATTCTTGAAGCAAGGGGTCACATATTTACAAATTGTGATATCTATTCTTGAAGGAAGGGGTCACATATTTACAAATTGTGATATCTATTCTTGAAGCAAGGGGTCACATATTTACAAATTGTGATATCTATTCTTGAAGCAAGGGGTCATATTTACAAATTGTGATATCTATTCTTGAAGCAAGGGGTCACATATTTACAAATTGTGATATCTATCCTTGAAGCAAGGGGTCACACTCTGCCTGTCTCTGAGGGTGTGGGGTCGAATCCCGGATGTGCTAGAATCTTTACTTTACTGAGAAAGTATAATCCAAAAAATAATATATGTTACATTTGATCACTTTCTAAAATGGCATTGTGTATTTCAAAGGGGTTACACATTTAGATTTGTGATATGTATTCTTGTAGCAAGGGGTCATATATTTAAACTGAGTCAAAAAAGAAACTTCACAAAATGGAATTTGAAAAATAATCAATATTTTTTTTCTGATGATACATCTATGTATCCGAAATGGGATCCCTATCTTTCGACTCTAGAAAAACGTTAGCAAAACCCACTCAAACCCATCCATTCGTCGTGCAAATGACGTTAGTGCCAGATCAGGTTTTGCACGTGCAGTCGATCACGTGATCTTCGCATCGAAGTTTTCTTCATATGCACGTGTTTGCATTGGCCTCAAGAATTGAAAAAACACTTTTAAACCACAGTTCTAACGGTACTTGAAATGCCACGATTGTCAAATGTGCAACGTGAACGTGCCGTTGGCATGTTGCAAGCGGGAAGATCAGTTATTGACGTTGCAAGAGCAATGGGATGCAGCCGTCGTACTGTGTATGACTTGCGAGGTCGTCTACAACAAACTGGCACCACTTCGGATCGCCCAAGGTCGGGTCGCCCACGTGTGACGTCACGAGCAGAAGACCGTCAAATCGTCCTTCTTCACCTACGTGACAGATTTCTGCCGGCTACACGAACCAGGGCTAAGATGTTTAGAGGTCGACTGTCCTCACAGACCATTCGAAATCGGTTGCGGGCTGCCAATCTCCATTCTCGACGTCCATATCGTGGGCCAATATTGACGCCGTTTCATCAACGTCAACGTCTGCTGTGGGCCCAACGTCACCTCCGATGGACCCAGAGAGACTGGAATCGAGTCGTCTTTAGCGATGAATCCAGGTTTACCCTCAGATTCGCGGACGGTAGGCATGGAGTCTGGAGACGACGTCGTGAACGGTATGCCCAATGTGTACAGGAAGTCGACAGATTCGGGGGCGGAAGTTGCATGGTGTGGGGTGCTTTCTGTGGGAACAACCGTTCCCGACTTCTGGTCATCTGTGGAAACCTCACAGCTGCTGCTTACCGCGACCAGGTGCTCACCCCTGAACTCGTTCCTTTCATGGCGGCTCGTGGCCCAGGTCTACAGTTCCAGCATGATAATGCTCGGCCGCATACCGCGATGTTGACACGAAATTTCCTTCAAAACGCTGGAATCAACGTCATGGACTGGCCATCGAGGTCCCCTGACCTTAATCCAATAGAGCACGTTTGGGATGCACTTGGGAGAAGGCTTCGTGATCTTAGGAACCAACCTCAGAATTTGCAGGAACTTGGCGCTGCCTTGCAAGAGCAATGGCGCAGAATCCCCAACCACGTGTTCACAAGCATCAGGCAGTCGATGAGGAGACGGTGTTTGGCAGTGGTGAATACGCGGGGCGGCCATACACGATATTGAACTGAGAAATTTCGCATTTTTATTCTTGTGACTTTACATTCTGAATACCCATGTTTTGGAACGGCGGTGTAGCCTAATGGAACTGATTATGGCACTGCCAGTGTATCGAGTACATCACACAGATCTCAGCAATGAAATAATAACAATTTAACCATCTTACCATCTCTTGTTGTTTTATAGTGCCCTGAAGAAAGAATGTGAAGTTTCTTTTTTGACTCAGTATATTTCCAGTATTATGTCAGTAAACTTGTGATATATTTTTCGAGGAGCACATACCACTGGGACGAATTCCTATCATATAAATGTACTCAATTTTAATCTAATAGTATGTACTGCTACTTCATCGAAAGGGTATTCTTGTGGGCTTGATACAGAACTTTCCACAAGGGTGTTTTACTAAGGGTTACAGTTACCTCTAGACCCCAAGGGAGGTTGTGGGTTGTCGGATCCACAATAGAGGCCATCGAGACAGTTGCACTCTCTCACCATCCATGGAGTCTGACCCCAGGAAGGTACCCCGGAATACATCTGGCAGTCTGAGCATATATGTAACATATAATTACATGTACACATTATATTTATAGGTTATCTAAGAACCTGGCTAGCTATTCTCGAAACTTCTTAAGCCCTAAGATCTTCTTAAGCCCATTCTTAACACATTGGCTACGATCAAAGTTAAGAATTCTTAGGGCTACGAACGTTTCGAGAATAAGGGCCCTGTTTCGGTAACAGTTTTTAAGGATAACTGTTATAACACGAGATATATGAGTATATGATTGTATTGGAAGGAATTACTGTATTTGAGAACAGTAAACCGAGGGGCAAAAATTAAACACACACTGGAAATAGGTTAAGTTGATAAAAAGCTGCATGTACACAATATTCCAAAACAAGTCATGTCGGTGTAAGTTCATTTCGTCCCCGGGCTTCATTGTACCAAATTCCTTTTACACAACGTTAGCAGCCACGGATTACTTGTCACAAACCGTCACAAAAATGAGTGGTGATTTTAAGGCATGATTAACTTAAAAGTTCTTTCAATTTTCAATGATACAAAAATATAAACTACTTTCTCTCCCCCTCAGTGTAGGTTTCCAGATTGGGAGAATCAAAATATATTTCGTGAGGATCCATACGGCACATAACACCAGAATGTCGTATATCTGAAGTCACACTAGATGTATACCGCTATCTAAAGTATGGAAGTATTGCCAAGTCGTTTAGGGTGAGGATCCGCAGATAGCGGGTTCGGTATGTTTATGATTCTTGGTTTGTGACTACCGTGTAATGAAACGTACCTTAAAAGAGCATTTCCAAAGGTTCAGGTGAAAGTGCCTACCTTCTCCTTCAGTCTTCAGGGGTGCGCAGTACCCCTGGGAACTCGGGGTTCCCTTTGCAGCACATCTCCTTGGGACAGTCCCCACCCAGGCTACATGGCACGTCCGCAGCAGCTACGTGGAACACCAACACCTGGGGTACATATCACGGTCTGCTAAAGACTATTGGTGGCCTGGATCTACATCATGTGAAGCAGGGTAGCCTAGTGGTTAAAGCGTTCGCTCGTCACACTTAAAACCCGGGTTTTATTCCCGACATGGTGCAATGTGTGAAGCCCATTTCTGGTGTCCCCCCGCCGAAATATTGCTGGAATATTGCTTAAAGCGGCGTAAAACTAAACTCATTCACTCATCTGAAGCACATGTTGATAGTGATTGCTGATCAACAATGATCAGCTCTGTAGATTATTGCTTCACAGCCAATAGCATTTCGATTACATTTACATTAAAAATATAGTGCAATATCAGATTTTGAGAAGACATCGATAAACTATATAGCTACGTATTACTTATATGCAACCCAGTATTGCTTTGTGACAAATGAATATTAGATGAACGGTTTGTTTGTCATAGATGAGACTTTGAATTGTCTTATCAAACTGTTTGTGTATGTAGTGACGGTGTTGTAGTTTTAGATAGAGCCTGTAAATGAGGTTAAAGTCTTTGATGACTCTACAGGAGGAAGCTTATTAATTTTAGAGACTGTATGAACCTTCATGTGAACCACAAGGGTTCTGTCTGGCAGGTTGTCTGTTTGGCCTCGTGTCTGGCCATTTGTCGGGTTTTCTCTGTCTGTCTGTCTGTCTGTCTGTGTGTCTGTCTGTATTTCCATCAGTTCTTCACACAACCAGTAGAACAAAGATCCATAAGCGACCGATGAATGCATAATGATAACAATTTACTTACTGAAACAGTGATCAAGCAGAAGGACTTCATCTTTGTCGTGTGGGTGTTGACAGCAGTGTGCGGGTCAGTAAGTAGTTGACGTTATCACTGTTTGTAAGATAACAACTCATAACATAACTGTTGACGACGTCAAACTTTGCTTCAAATGAGACTTTGTCCCCAGAGCCTGGTGGTTATGATTGATAGGTAAGTTGGTTGGTTGGTTGGTCGGTTGTTTTTGTTGTTTGGTTGGTTGTTGACCACTTGCTGCCAGGTCATTACACATCATTAATAGTGTGTTAGGAGACAAAGTGACCTTGGTATACAAGATCAAAATTGCTTTGCTGACAAAGTGCCAGGCTTTAAAATGTAATGCTCCCATGTATACACATGGAAAAAAGTAGCGCAACACCCATATTTTTCATAGTCTAAATATGCATATCATAGCAAAGGAACTGATCAAAACCTCAATTTATGTGCAAAAGAAGCAAAGATGTGAGATTCCTAGCACACGAATTCATTCGGTCCCTAGGCGGTAGTGTTTTCCGATGCATAATCAGGCAGAGTTCGGTTTCTCACCCCAGGTTCGGTAGGTACAGGTAGATCAGGATAACTCTGTAGGAGCCTAATTATCTGTGCCTGGATATCGCTAGAAGAATTTCCAGGTAGCCTGGGGTGGTTAGAGACTGGTTTATCTCTCGTATGGACAAACTGTTCTGAGAGTCGGATGTGAATTTCTCGTTTAGTTTCACCAACATATTGCTTTTTGCCAGCTGTCCAAGTAGCAGGTAAATCGTATTGTTTGTTTTGGAAGTGGTTCCAAGGGGTGTTCCGAATTTTCTGCCTATTGAATATTCAGCCCTCAATCAACAGAGACCAGGGATATCTCATCCCTTCTGCATACAATGAACTGATAAAAACAACCGATTAGAGTACTCCAGCTATCATTGTTAATTAATCTCATCAGCCATGTATATTTTGTTTCTGCCTCTAGGACCATTGGCTTCCTCCTATTGTCACTACATTATTACCACCGTGCCTTGTTGTTGTTGTTAATCCCCTTGATTCATCCCTACATGTTGTTATTACTTAATCCCTGTTCATGTATATAAGTCTGTTCTGTGCTGTAGTACTTCACTCTTGCTTGACAACGGTATAAGAATCCATACCCAAACGTCGCATCATATATAATAAAGAAGTTGTTATCCATAAACTTTCTTACTTTCTTATCTGCGAATACAGGAGCATTGGCTGCATTTTTTCTCATCTGACAAACAGTTTATCCCGGCTACTGTTTTGCCCAGTTTCCATGGTGACGAGGCTCCCAGATTTTAGGAACACTTTTATAAGTTTGACTACCTGTGGTGCTGAAGGTGAGGTGAGGTGAGGTGAAATTGGGTTTTACGTCGTGCTTGAGAATATTTCGCTTATATGACGACGTGCATGCGTGTGTATGTGTATGTGCGGCTGCTTGTACTAGCCCAGACTGAAGCTGGTTTTATCGTGCTAGCCCACTGAGATACCATGCCGCAGTGAAACATGAATACCCCACTCAGACACATTATACTGACTCCGAGCTGACCAGTCCTTGTTGTACCCATTAATACCGAGCGCCAGGCAGGGACCAACAAGTACCATATTTTAACGTCTTTTGGTTTGACGCGGTCGGGGATCGAACCCGCGACCTTCCGCTCTCCGGGCGGACGCTCTAACCACTACACCGCGGAGGCGGTCTGGTGCTGAAGGAATGAAGGTAGAGACAAAAAACGGCTTATTGAAGTATTTGGTTTGTCCTGAGCGCTGGGATGTAACAGGTCATATCTCGGGATTTTCTCACCATTGTCTGAGTTTGGTGAGAGAGAGAAGATACCTGTGTTATAGGTAAGATTTATCGAGGGCGACAGCGCGTTACCCGTATTTCTCACCAACAGAGCCAATTCTCTTGATTCTTACGATAAGGCCGAATAGTCATATAGATAACTGTGTGTATGAATAGATCAAACTATTCTTGTTTCATTATCCCCCAGGGACTCTATCCACAAAGCGTTCGTAGCACTACGTCATTCGTAGGCCAATGGTATAGTATTGCGTTAAGAACGCTTTGTGGATCGGGGCCCAGGCGTCTAAGACGCTGGCACAATCTCCAAATTCCATAGTGTGTTTTACAGAGGGGTGCAGTGAATTCACTCCATTGAGGAATCATTTCAGCTTATCAATTCCCGAATAACATGGCATGAAAATATCATCTAAGTGTCAGTTGTATCCTTAGCCCGGCCTTTGGTCTGAACTACGATTTGTTTTCAACATTAGCAAATTCAGATACAATGCATGCATACTCCACATGCTTGTCACGCATATTTGTAGGTAATGATTCTCATTGAACTCAAAATTGGTACAAAGGAGAACCAATTTCAACAATATACCAGACTAGATGGAGATATTTTCCAGGCTTGTTTCGTCTTATTGCCGAAGCTACTGCTACTAAACCTGAGTATACATTGGGGCAACTTCCGTAGTAACCAATGTAATCTCTTGGTTGTTAGGTAGACTACTTTATCAAAAGTGTGGATGAAGTTGGTGGTTTCCTCATTATTGCTGTCATATTTAGGAAATAAAGTTCGCTCTACCCCAATGTGTTTTGTAATAAAGTATAGTTTTTCCCAGAACTATTATAATTAAGCACGAGGACGGTAGTCCGTGTGCTTTGATGTTATAATAGTTCAGGGAAAAACTATACTTTATTACAAAACACATTGGGGTAGAGCGAACTTTACAAACTTTCTAAGATGCTAAATTTAATACTTTCTAAGGATTATTACGATTAATTTAAGGCAGAAAACAAACGACGGTGTCGGTGACCTAAATTAAGAATCCTCGCACAGGGCTAACTGGCACGCTGTTCTATTGATGTGTCTGACCCCCTATGTTAAGACGAACGTTACCAGAAAAAAAGAAATGACAACAGTTTATTACAAAACACATTGGGGTAGAGCGAACTTTACATCTTTTCTAAGATGCTAAATTTAATACTTTCTAAGGATAATTACGATTAATTTAAGGCAGAAAACAAACGACGGTGTCGGTGACCTAAATTAAGAATCCTCGCACAGGGCTAACTGGCGCGCTGTTCTATTGATGTGTCTGCCACCCTACGTTAAGACGAACGTTACCAGACAAAAAAGAAATGATAACAGTTTTTGATGACGGTTTACGTTCGGATTAAATATCGTCTCTGAATTATTTTAATTACATCTGTCATCTGTCAAACCATATGGGGCAATATGAACGTCGCATTTCTACTACCAACGTAAGTTTAGATCAGTACATCCAGATGAAGCTGAGTAGTCAAGCGACATTCCACGATTGCATTGTGGGAATGTAAACATTGCGAACGTTTTCGTGTCGCTGAAAACTTGTGAGTCGAATTGACACATTTTAACCGTCGTAAAACATAAACGTAATGTTTCCACCAGTGATGTTAGCTGCGTGAAGCAACTGCATACCAAGAAACGGTATGCAACGGAGTAGTTTACTGTAGGAGGCCGTACGAGGCGATGACAACTGACATGCATTGTGACGTAATGTAAAAATACATCGATTACGAGGATAACGGGATAACGTCATTCAATTGTTACGTCATCAAAAAACTATACCTTTATTGTCTGATAATGTATTTTTTTTCGATTGTTCTAACCGCTAGGCATCTTAGAATTAGGAACAGATTGGCGTAATTGTCCATTAAGAAATGCACTGATTTTTTTCAACGGGGATATATATTCTTGCAGATAATGGCTGAGATGATGTCCCGGACTCTATGGAAGACCACCCCAGGGCCTGCAAGTACCTGTAATAACGAAATTACAAAGATTGAAAAATGCAACACGTGTCTAAACTGCCTTCAATAAATCTTGGGCGGTGGGGTACTCGGGTGGTTAAAGCGTCATGCCGAAGGCTCGGGTTTCATTCCCCACAGGGGTACAATGTGGGAAGCCCATTTCTGGTGTCCCATGCCGTGGTATTGTGGAATATTACTAAAAGCGGCGTAAAACCCAACTCACTCACTATATAACCTTGGTGTCATATCGAGTCAAAGGTTGGGCCACACATCAGGATCATGCCTTATAGGAGAATAAATTACTGCTTACAAGGGGTGATACATTTACTTCTGGTAACAACAGGTAACCATTCTTGGGTTATGTATTTACTTCTGTTTACAAGTGATGATAGAATTACTTCTGTTTACTTGTGATGATATAATTACTTCTGTTTACTTGTGATGATATAATTACTTCTGTTTACTTGTGATGATATAATTACTTCTGTTTACTTGTGATGATATAATTACTTCTGTTTACTTGTGATGATATAATCACTTCTGTTTACTTGTGATGATATAATTACTTCTGTTTACTTGTGATGATATAATTACTTCTGTTTACTAGTGATGATATAATTACTTCTGTTTACTGGCGTAACAGAGGTTAAGTACTGTTTACAAAGGGTGATTATTCATGAAGATTCATCAAGTAATGCTTGACAACGACATTAGAATCTATGTCGAAACGTCGCCTATACAGAATAAAGAAGTTGTATATCCATAGAAATAGTCCTCATTCTTCATCTACCCAACTTCTAGAATGCCAATCAAAGAAGTGATTATGCATGTCTGGTTAAACCAGGCAACATATTATCTGGTGTGTTAGAATTTTGCTCCTCACAAGAGATGGAAAATTTACTTCTTCTTAAAATGGGTCATACATCTGTTTCTGTTTCCCGGGCATGATACGTCTTTTTCTGTTTACAAAGGTGACGAATTTATAATATACGATATCTATTCTGGCAGCAGATAGGGACACAATTACTTTTAGTTACAAGATATTAGTCAAACTTTTTTTCTGTTTTCACAGATTTATGTTCTAAAATTATATGGTTAATCAATAATTTAACTCTTATTAGGTGATATATTTACCTTATTTTAATTTTCTATCTAGGAATACATTTAAGCAGTATTTTTATCTATCTCGGAGATTGTGAAATACACAATGCCATATTAGAATGTGGTCAAATGCAACATATGTTATATTTGGGATTACACCTTCTTTGTAAAGTACAGATTCTAGTACTTTTGGGGTTGAGTCCCATCCGGGATTCGAACCCACACCCTCAGAGTCAGGCAAAGTGTAACCCCTTGCTTCAAGAATAGATATCACAATTTTTGTGCTGGCGATTAGGTGCCTGACTCTGTGGGTGTGGGTTCGAATCCCGGATTGGACTCAACCCCAAAAGAACTAGAATCTGTACTTTACAAAGAAAGTGTAATCCCAAATATAACATATGTTGTATCTAGGAGATTATTTTGCTCAAAACAATTTCTATATGAGTGCGACGAATTTAACCAATTCTACTCTCTTTTTAGGTACCTCTAGTTCATAGGAATGTGTTTGTGGGCTTGATACATGACTTAACTGAGGGTGCCAGTTACCTCTACCTCCCAGTTGAGGCCCGGGGTGGTCCGCAGCACAGTAGAAATCATCATGACAGCGGCACTCTCGCACCATCACAGGATACTGACCCCAGGACGGCAACCCGGAATACATCCGGCATTCTGAGGAAATATAACTATAACTCATAAAACATGCTATAGATGCCTATGGGAATTTACTGGAAGGATTACGGTATTTTGAGTACATTGAACTGAGGGGCAAAAGAGAGTGCATACACACTGAAGTTGACATTGACGCCATTACATGGACACTTTTATTTAAACTTACATAAGGAAACTTACTTACGGTGGCATGTGAGTATATGGACAAAAAAGTAAAAGTATATTTGCTACACCTAGAGGTCTAGTAAAAGTATATTTACTCATAACTATAAATGCTCCTGAAGTATTTTTTACCGGTTTTAAGATTTGTTTATTTGAGGATTTTACATCTATGATACTAGAAAATAACTAAAACAATTCTAAATGTACAAGATCATGCCCAAACAGATTATCATGGAATCCCAGAAGGGACATTGTCGCATTGTCGCCCTCACAAAAACAAGCAAAATATGTCAAAACTAACCAAAGCGCGACAATGCCACAATCCGACAAAGCGACATTTTGACCATTTGTCGCGTTGTCGATTTTTTTCATTCATCCAAAGCGACAATGCGACAACGCGACAATGTCTCTCCTAGGATTCCCTAGATTATGGATAAACACTGATTAAATTACTGATCATATGAACAAAACTGCTTCAAAATATTTTCCAAAGATTATGAGATCTGTATTATTTTCCTTTGCACACATAACAGCTCCCCTCGCGAACTTCATCTTCTTCATCAGTTGCATCCGCCATGCAGTTTCTTGGAGATTTGTGCATACATTATGTAGAATGACACAGACAGTGATGATGATACTGACAAAATCAACATCAACATCCAGAGGCTTTATTAGACATCCACAACATCATTTCAAACAACCAAATGTATTGCCAGTGGTCATTTGTGTGAGACTTAGTCGAAAGCTGAGGCGCTTCTGTGCCTCTGAAAGGTTGACATTATGCATATGCATATATAGAAGTCTGATTTTAACATTAACGACTGATGGTACTCTGGTGAACATTGAGGTGACGTGTGGAGGCAGTTTGAAACTCCCCAGCCTCCAGACGTCCAAATGGCAATGTTTCGATTTACAGCAGTGGATCGTGGCATAACGATATTCTTCCACTAGCTAAAAAATGTCAATGACCGCCTAAAAGCACAACGGCCTTATATAGGCAATGACCCTGCTTTATATGCTAGGGCTACACTATGTTCCCGGCGGCCACGGCAGCCCCGTTTTATCGTGAAACTGAGACAAAACGGGATGGACGTGAGACAACGTGGAGGGCGTGGATGCCGTGGATGATTTTTAAACTGTTCAAAAAATTGCCACGGCAGTCACGGTACTAATGAGAAACCTAATTGGCTGTAGTAAAATGGGGGAACGCAACAAAACGTGACAGCATGTAATAGACCGTAACAAAACTTGTAGACGGTCCGTAGTGGGTCTGTAGTGGGACGGGAGACATGTGTATTCCCAAGCATCCCACGGTCCTTTCAGGTTTTGTCACGCTCGGACACGTTGTATGGCGTTTTGTCACGGTTGTTTCACCCTTTCTGTCCGCTGTTTTCCCGGTTCTCACGGCAAGCTTGGTTGTATGGTAGCCGATTCGTCCCGTTCTATCACAACGCATCCAGGCGTGTGACGGTTTACAGGGCCGGCGAGATACGGTACGTTGCCTTCTCTGGCATTCCTTCTCTGCAGCTGATACTTGCCTTCTTGCTGACGCAAGGACTCGATGTATGCCCCCAGCAAACATACAAACACAAAATCTTCTTCATCTTGTGGATTCATGCTGCTCTTGTCTCTCAGGATGCAATGGCTGCTATTGCTTGGGAGGCCTTATTTTTATACCGTGGACACAAATGTGCTCCAAAGCTGGCTGGCGTCCACGTTTCATACGTAGAAAGTCTTGACAGAACGCGCAAAACGTGTCAAAACCTTGATCAAAACGTGAGAAACGTGAGGGAATCCATCAGTACGCGACAGGCCGGGAGGACATGTAATGGCATCTGTAGTGGACTGCGTGTCGGTAGTGTCCGTAGTGCGCCTTTGAACTTCCGGGACTCAGCACCCCTTTTCTCCCAACGACCCATCACAGATACCTTCCGAGTTGAACCTAAGTAAAAGTTACTTTAAAAAAACTATTCCAAGGGTTCAGGTGAAAGTGCCTACCTTCTCCTTCAGTCTTCAGGGGAGTGCAGGACCCCTGGGACCGGCCGGTGTTCCCCTTGCAGCACATATCCCGGGGACAGTGACGACCCAGCCTACACGGCATGTCCTCAGCAACCACGTGTAGCACCAACACCTGGAGCACAGACCACGTGCTGCTAAAGACTATTACGTTTGTGGCCTAACTTTACATCACCTGACTATTGCTTTGATTACAGATGTTATTTGATCAACAAGACTCAGGTCTGTAGACAATCTCATGGTGTTGTTTAATTGTTTAAATAAACAGAATGTAAACAATCATCTGCTGTAGTAGTGTATTAACACGTGATATTAAGTGTCCTGTTGTGATTGTTGTAAACATAAAGTCTTTGAACGGCATTTAAAAGTGATACACATACAGTTTTGAAAATTTATGGCGGTGATGTAGCCTAGTGGTCAAAGCGTTCGTTCCTAACGACGATGATCCGGGTTCGATTCTCCACATGGATACAATGTGCGAAGCACATTTGTGATGTTGCTGGAATATTGCTAAAAGCGGCGTAAAATCATACTCGCTCACTTTTCTTTTGGGAACAAATGTTCCACCCGAGATATATTTAATACAGTGCAATAATGTATATATTTATATAACTCATGCACAACCTAATGGTTGTCACTCCAATTAAATGAAGGGGTGTGCATGATTATAGTATGACTCTCTGTACGCACGACGTTTCGGAGTATATTTTACTTATATGATGTCAAAATAATTATGTTATTTTGGCGTCTATTGGTTTGTCTTTCTGCGCTGGATTTTTTAGAGTCTGAATATACTAACGTACAAAAGAAAGTATACAGTTTCATGGTGTCTAAAATGAAACAAGAAGTGGCTATTCGACGCTGATGTGTTTCATAACGCATGGTTTCATAGTTGTGTTTCGGCGACTTCTTTCAACAAAGTAACGCTTTGATAACGTGTGCAATTATAGTATGACCAGAAATTATTGAGAATTTTAGAAATATGTTTAATTAGATTTCTAGTATAAACAACCTCGACCAGCTATCAAGTGCTTAGTTTCATTCAAGAGAGACAACTCCGTTAATCCTTTTTCATTAGTTTGTAAAGAGTTATCCCCCCTTTGTTTACTTGCTAGCAGACGACATTTTCAGTGATCCTCAGTATGGATGATTTAGAGAAGAGGAAGTTGATGTTAGAGTATTATAACAAGGACATCAGATCAGCTAAAGTGATTTCAAGTAGAACAGGCATCCCGTTGTCCACTGTTTATCGTGTTTTGAAAAATATTGCAAATGGATATGGCGTTGAGCACCAGGGAGGCGCAGGTAGGCCCAGAAAATTGACTGTCGGTGACAGGAGGCGGCTTGGTATTCTTGTTTCTTAAAACAAACGAAGGAGTTAAGAAAACTTAAGGCTGGATATGATTGATAGAGGAACTGTGGCTGTCTGTAAGGAGACAATTAGAACAGAGCTGCATGCAATGGGTTGGCAGAAAAGTCGAGGAATTCCTTCACCGATCATGAAACCTGAACAAAATTAGCGAAGGTTGAACTGGTGCCTACAGCATAAAAATTTTAACTGGGACAATGTGATTTTCTCAGATGAAAGTTCTGTGTGGCTGTTTCCTAATACAATGAAATTCTGGACCAAACAAACTGCAAAAATCTTTGTATCAGCGCCCAAAGTACAGTCCGAAATTTAACGTGTGGGGTGGCATATCTGTGTTAGGGGCAACGCCCCTCTGTGTATTTGAAGGGAATATGAACAGTGAGCGGTACACAGATATTATCGAGGGACATTTACTTCCATCTGCTCACGTGTTCTATGGAAATATTTGGATTTTCCAGCAGGACCACGGCCCAAAAGATCGTTCAAAGCATTCACAGGCCTGGTTTCGGACCCAAAATATGACATTATTAGATTGGCCAAGCTATAGCCCTGATCTAAATCCAATAGAAAATGTTTGGGGACTTATGAAGGAAAGTGTCAATAAGTAAAATCTGTCAAATATTGCTGAAATGAAAGAAGAGGTGGTCCGATATTGGGACAGCATGGACCACGACTTTCTAACTTCTTTGATCAGTAGTATGCCCCGCAGCATTGAAGCCTGCATTGCTGCCCATGGTGACTTGACAAAATACTAACTGTTCACCTGTCTTTGAATCTGGAGTTGTGTTCTGCTAATATTCACATTTAATACGTGAGTAATGAGTGAAAAAATAATTGTTTTTTACAATCTTTAAATTCTCAATAATTTCTGGTTGTACTGTATTTAGTCACGTCCAATATTCAAATGTGTATGTTTGTTTGCCCGGCAGTGTATTGTAGACAAGCAAATACGGAAAGGGAATCATGTTATTGTGTAATTGATATATTACTGGAGAGACGAGAGTATTACGGTGAACACGATTTATATTAACAATGTGGTGTAATATGGCCAGATTTTGTCATTTCAGAAGATATCGATCTTCTACGCTTTATTTGTGTCCAACACAGTCTAACTTTGTGTCAAATGAGTATTAGATATACGGGTTGTTTATCATATATGAGACCTTGGATTGTCTTATCAAGCTGTAGTGACATGTGATTAGTGACATGTATTCGGCTTAAAGTCTCTCGCTACTTCACAGCTGTCTGTTTGTCTGTGGCTGCCTGTATCTGGCGGACTGTCTGCGTGTCTCTGTCTGTGGTTGTCAGTATCTGGCGGACTGTCTGCGTGTCTCTGTCTGTGGCTGCCTGTATCTCGCGGACTGTCTGCGTGTCTCTGTCTGTGGTTGTCAGTATCTGGCGGACTGTCTGCGTGTCTCTGTCTGTATCTGTGGTTGTCGTGACTGTCTGGCGGTTCTCTGTCTGTGGTTGTCTGTATCTGGCGGACTGTCTGACTGTCTCTGTCTGTGGTTGTCTGTTTATCTGGCTCTGTCTGCGTGTCTCTGTCTGTGGTTGTCTGTATCTGGCGGACTGTCTGCGTGTCTCTGTCTGTGGTTGTCTGTATCTGGCGGACTGTCTGCGTGTCTCTGTCTGTGGTTGTCTGTATCTGGCGGACTGTCTGCGTGTCTCTGTCTGTGGCTGTCTGTATCTGGCGGACTGTCTGCTGCCTGTATCTGGCGGACTGTCTGTGTTTGTCTGTGACTGTGTCTGTAACTGGCGGTCTGTCTGTTTGGCTCTGTTTGTCTGTCTGTGGTTGTCTGTTTTTGGCGGACTGTCTGCGTGTCTCTGTCTGTGGTTGTCAGTATCTGGCGGACTGTCTGCGTGTCTCTGTCTGTGGTTGTTTTCAGTATCTTGCGGACTGTCTGCGTGTCTCTGTCTGTGGTTGTCTGTCTGTATCTGGCGGACTGTCTGCGGTTGTCTGTATCTGGCGGACTGTCTGCGTGTCTCTGTCTGTGGTTGTCTGTAACTGGCGGGCTGTCTGTTCGGCTCTGTCTGTGGCTGCCTGTATCTTGCAGACTGTCTGTTTGGCTCTGTCTGTGTGTGGCTGTCTGTATCTGGCGGACTGTCTGTTTGGCTCTGTCTGTGTGTGGCTGTCTGTATCTGGCGGACTGTCTGTTTGGCTCTGTCTGTGTGTGGCTGCCTGTATCTGGCGGACTGTCTGTTTGGCTCTGTCTGTGTGTGGCTGTCTGTATCTGTCGGACTGTCTGTTTGGCTCTGTCTATGTGTGGCTGTCTGTATCTGGTTCTCTCTATATTTCAGTCTGTCTGTCTCCGCATTTCCATGTTCCTTCAGTCTTGTACACAACTAGTAGACAAAGTAACTTCTTTGAGTGGCATTTCTAGAAGTTGGAGACTCAGATAAGGACAAACTTTATGGATGAACAACTTCTCTATTCAGGTGATGCGACGTTTCGATACAGATTCTTGTATCGTTGTCAAGCAGGTATGGTTGCATCTGTATCGAAATGTCGAATCACCTGAATAAAGAAGTTGTTCAACCATAAAGTGTGTGTTTATCCAGTAAACAAAGAACCATGAACTATTGATGAATGCATCATGACAACACACTACTTACTGAAATGGTGATCAAACACAAGGACTTCATCTTTGTCGCGTGTGTGTTGACAGGAGTGTGCGGGTCGTGTGCAGCAAGCGATATGAAGCTTATGTTATCTATATATTCATGTGATAACATTCATAACTGCCAGCATAACTCCTGATGGCGCACCTATTTACTGTCAAACATGAGCCTTTGGTTGGGATTTACAACATATATTATTGAGGGGCAAACGCAGATTTTTGGCTGTTTATAAATCTTACTGTTAATTGTTGTTACATTTACGCAAAACACCTATGTCATTCTGGACCTGTCGGCCTTCTCAACATATTTTCAGTGCGTGCATTTGGCTATTATCGATGTTGGCTAGCACGTGGAACATTTCTCCATTGTTGATATGACGTCACAAACTGATAGCGTTATATTATCTGAACAACATCTTGTCTTCAGCTAGGTCTCTCCGTCAATTCTCATTGAACTCAAAATTGTTACAAAGGAGAACCAATTTCAACATTATAGCAGACTAGATGGAGATATTTTCCAGGCTTGTATCGTCTTATTGCCGAAGCTACTGCAATTAAATCCGTACATATACATTGAGGTGACATTGAAGTAACCAAAATGATTTCTTGTGGATGACGTCTGTGATTTCTTTATTATAGCCGTCATATTTAGGAACAGATTGGGGCATTAGTCCAATAAGAAATGCACTGATATTTTCGGTGTGAACATTTATTCTTGCAGACAATGGCTGAGATGAAGTTCAGCATGGCGATGTCCCGGACTCTATGGAAGGCCGCCCCAGGGCCTGCAAGTACCTGTAATAACGAAATTACAAGGATTGAAAAATGCAACACGTATCTAAACTGCCTTCAGTACAATCATAGGCGGTAAGGTACTCTGATGGTTACAGTGTTCGTTAGTCACACCGGAGGCCCAGGTTCGATTCCCCACTGCGGTACCGGCACAATGTGTGAAGCCCATTTCTGGTGTCCCCGCCGTGATATTGGTGGAATATTGCTAATAGCGGTGTAAAACCCCACTCATTCCCTGAATACAATGCTGGTACCATATCCAGTCACATGTTGGGCCACACACATCATCAACATTTTCAGGGTCTTGTAGGAGTCAGGGAACGAAGTATCTACTGCTTACAAGCAGTGATGCATTAACTTTTGGTAACAAGACGTGACCATTCTTGATCTGGTTACAAGGGATGACCCAGTTACACTTCTCGTTAGAAGTGATCCATTCACTTCTGCCTACAAAGGCTTATGTATTGACTTCTGCTTACAGGTGATGATATAATTGCTTCTGCTTACTGAGGTGATATAATTACTTCTGCTTGCTAGTTATGGCATAATTACTTCTGCTTACCAGTTATGATATAATTACTTCTGCTTACAGTGATGATATAATTACTTCTGCTTACAAGTGATGATATAATTACTTCTGCTTACTAGTGATGATATAATTACTTCTGCTTACTAGTGATGATATAATTACTTCTGCTTACAAGTGATGATATAATTACTTCTGCTTACTAGTGATGATATAATTACTTCTGCTTACTAGTGATGATATAATTACTTCTGCTTACTAGTGATGATATAATTACTTCTGCTTACTAGTGATGATATAATTACTTCTGCTTACTTTGGATGATATAATTACTTCTGCTTACTAGTGATGATATAATTACTTCTGCTTACTAGGATGATATAATTACTTCTGCTTACTAGTGATGATATAATTACTTCTGCTTACTAGTGATGATATAATTGCTTCTGCTTACTAGTGATGATATAATTACTTCTGCTTACTGGGGTGATATAATTGCTTCTTCTTACTAGGGATGATATAATTACTTCTGCTTACTAGTTAATTGCTCCTGCCACTAGTGATGATATAATTGCTTCTGCTTAGTAGTGATGGTATAATTACTTCCTGCTTACTAATGATGATATAATTACTTCTGCTTACTAGTGATGATATAATTACTTCTGCTTACTAGTGATGATATAATTACTTCTGCTTACTAGTGATGATATAATTACTTCCACTTACTTGTGATGATGTAATTACTTCTGCTTACTAGTGATGATATAATTACTTATAATGGGGGTGATATAATTATTTCTACTTACAAGTGATGGGTATAATTACTTCTGCTAACTAGTGATGACATAATAACTTCTGCTTACTAGTGATGATCTAATTGCTTCTGCTTACTAGTGATGATGTAATTGCTTTGTTGATACTTGACTAGTAATTGCTTCTTCTGCTTACTAGTGATGATATAATTATTTCTGCTTACTAGTGATGATATAATTACCTTCTGCTTACAAGTGATGATATAATTGCTTCTGCTTACTAGTGATGATATAATTGCTTCTGGCTTACTAGGGATGATATAATTACTTCTGCTTACTAGTGATGATATATTACCTCTTGCTTCTGCTTACTCATGATGATATAATTAGCTTACTAGGGATGATATAATTTATGGGTTATATAATTGCTTCTGCTTACTAGGGATGATATAATTACTTCTGCTTACTAGGGATGATATAATTACTTCTGCTTACTAGTGATGATATAATTTCTGCTTACTAAGGATGATATAATTGTCTGCTTACTTACTAGGGATGATATAATTACTTCTGCTTACTAGGGATGATATAATTACTTCTGTTTACTAGGGTTATATTTGCTTCTGCTTACTAGTGACGATATAATTGTTTCTAGTTACAAGGGGTTAGGTTCGCTTAAGAAAGGGTGATTGTTCATGTCTGGTTAAAAGAGGCATTATATTATTTTGGGTGATAGAATTTTGCTTACAGGAGATGATATATTTACTGCTTCTTTCAACGGGTAGTACATTTATTTCAGTTTCCCGGGAATAATACGCCTTTTGCTGTTTACAAAGGTGACAAATTTACAATATGCGACATCTATTCTTGTAGCAGGGGGTCACACATTTACTTTTAGTTACAAGATATCAGTCAAACTGTATTTCTATTTTCACAGCTTTATTACCTCGGGGACGATTTATGTTCTATGATTATGTGGTTAATCAATAATTGAACTCTATCTAGGTGATAAATTTACATAACTATCGAGGAATATGTTTAATCAGAGGGGATATGTGTGTTTATCTTGGAGATTTTTTTACAAATTTTTTTTATTCTATATGAATGAAATAATTTTACCAATTTTACTATCCTATGAGTACCTCTAGTTCTTAATGTTGTGGTCGTGGGCTTGATGCTCGTACTTAACTTAACAGAGGGAGACAGGTACCTGTATTTCTATGGTGAGGCCATGGGAGGTCCGACCCACAGTAGAAATCATCATGACAGAGGCACTCACTCACCATCCCAGGATGCTGACCCCAGGACGGTAACCCGGAATACATCCGGCATTCTGAGGAAATATAGGCATAACGTGCGATAGATGAATTTAGGAGTTTACTGGAAAGATTACGGTATTTGGAGACCATTGAACTGAGGGACAAAAATATACATGTATATATACATTGAAGTGTTGAAGTCTAAGTTGATTGGATCATATGTTAGTCAATTACCAACATTATATCTCCACAACTTTACTGGTGCTTATTTGGGGCGGTGGGGTAGCCTAGTGGTTAAAGCGTTCGCTCGTCACGCCGAAAACCCGGGTTCGATTCCCCACATGGGTACAATGTGTGAAGCCCATTTCTGGTGTCCCCGCCGTGATATTGCTGGAATACTGCTAAAAGCGGCGTAAAACTAAACTCATTCACTCACTCACTGGTGCTCATTTCGACATACTTGTTTAAACATAATTATGATTTCAATTATAACTGAGGCACAAAAGAAATCGAACAAACACCTCAAAGCTGATTTGATCATATGTTTGATCTTCAATCAGCAATGCTTTCACCCCACAAGGACTTTTACCGGCGCTTAGTCAAAACGCAAAGAATATTTTGACATAATTTTTCAAACATAATTATGATTTAAATTATAACTGAGGGGTACAACTGCCTAACTGACACAACATTACAAACATATCATGTGGATGCAAGTTCATTTCTTAACCCAGTCTTTACTATGCCGATTTCGAATTCCACAACTTAAGCAGCCAAGGATTGCTTGTCGCAAGAATGAGTGGTGAGTTTAAGGCATGACTAACTTTAACAACAGTTCTTTCAAATTTCAGTTCCACAATAATGCAAACTAATTACTTTCCCCCTCAGTTTAGGTTTTCCAGATTGCGAGAATCAAAGTATATTTCTGGATGGTTCATACGCCGTTAACAAAAGATATATATATATATATATATATATGTCTCGAATACATGGATAAGTCGAATTTATTACTTGGTCCCCAGCGATTCGACTCATCGGGATTTGACTGTATTCAAATGAATTTACGTTTCATGTGCAATAAACTAGATTTATATCGTTACAGCTTGTTCAGTTTGACCTGATCAAGTGAATACTAATGTATTGCGTGACCGTGTCACACTTGGTTGGGTCTATTATTGTGAAGGGGTGCATCTTTGTCAGTTGATTGTCAACATGTCCGAACAGCCGAGACAAGGTCGCCGTTTGACATCACAGTGTCGAGAAATCGTCATCAATGTCCTAACTTTCTTTAAAAAAGAAGCTACAGGTGGTTTAATGTTTCCGATTCGGGCTTTTAGGCAGCGAGCAGCAGCAGCAACTGGTGTTTCCAGTGCAACCCTGGGCCGAATAGAACAAGAAAGGAAAAAGCTCCCTATTTAATGAAGTTAACTCGACCTGCCGTTTGTACCATTTGACGACCCAGCCTACACGGCATGTCCTCAGCAACCACGTGTAGCACCAACACCTGGAGCACAGACCACGTGCTGCTAAAACTGTTACGTTTGTGGCCTAACTTTACATCACCTGACTATTGCTTTGATTACAGATGTTATTTGATCAACAAAACTCAGGTCTGTAGACAATCTCATGGTGCTGTCTAATTGTTTAAATCAACAGAATGTAACCAATCATCTTCTATAATAGTGTATTAACAAATGATATTAAGTGTCGTGTTGTTATTGTTGTAAACATAAAGTCTTTGAACGGCATTTAGAAGTGATACACATACAGTTTTTGAAAATTTATGGCGGTGAGCCAGCCTAGTGGTTAAGCGTTCGCTCGTCACGTCGAAGACCCGGGTTCGATTCCCCACATGGATACAATGTGCGAAGCCCATTTGTGATGTTGCTGGAATATTGCTAAAGGCGGCGTAAAATCATACTCGTTCAAATGTTCCACCCGAGAGACAATACAGTACGGGTATATATTTATATTAACTCACTCTCTGTACGCACGACGTTTCGGAGTCTATTCTTACGTATATGATGTCAAAAATAATTCTGTTATTTTGGCTTCTATTGGTTTGTCTTTCTGCGCTGGATTTTTAGAGTCTGAATATACTGACGTACAAAAAGAAAGTATACAGTTTCATGGTGTCTAAAACGAAACAAGAAGTGGCTATTCGACACTGATGTGTTTCATAACGCATGGTTTCATAGTTGTGTTTCGGCGACTGCTTTCAGCGTAGTAACGCTTTGATAAAGTTTGTAATTATTTAGTCAAGTCCAATATTCAAATGTGTATGTTTGTTTGCCCGGCAGTGTATCGTAAACCAGCAAATACGGAAAGGGAATCATGTTATTGTGTAATTGATATAGTACTGGAGAGACGAGAGCATTACGGTGAACACGATTCATATTAACCATGTGGTGTCATATGGCCAGATTTTGTCATTTCAGAAGATATCGATCATCTACGCTTTATTTGTATCCAACACAGTCTAACTTTGTGCCAAATGAATATTAGATAAGCGGGTTGTTTATCATATATGGGACCTTGAATTGTCTTATCAAACTCTGATCACTGTCTGTCAGGCTGGCGGACTGTCTGTTTAGCTCTGTTTGCCTGTCTGTGGCTGCCTGTATCTGGCGGGTTGTCTGTTTGGCTCTGTCTGTGGCTGCCTGTTTCTGGCGGACTGTCTGTTTGGCTGTCTGTGGTTGTCTGTATCTGGCGGACTGTCTGTTTGGGTCTGTTTGTCTGTCTGTGGTTGTCTGTATCTGGCGGGTTGTCTGTTTGGCTCTGTCTGTGGCTGCCTGTTTCTGGCGGACTGTCTGTTTGACTGTCTGTGGCTGCCTGTATCTGGCGGGCTGTCTGTTTGGCTCTGTTTGGCTGTCTGTGGCCGTCTGTATCTGGCGGGCTGTCTGTTTGGCCCTGTCTGTCTGTCTGTCTGTGGCTGCCTGTTTCTGGCGGACTGTCTGTTTGGCTGTCTGTGGTTGTCTGTATCTAGCGAGCTGTCTGTTTGGCTCTGTTTGGCTGTCTGTGGTTGTCTGTATCTGGCGGCTGTCTGCTCTGTTTGGCTGTCTCTGTATCTGGCAGGCTGTCTGTTTGGCTCTGTTTGGCTGTCTGTGGCTGCCTGTATCTAGCGAGCTGTCTGTTTGGCTCTGTTTGGCTGTCTGTGGTTGTCTGTATCTAGCTGTTTGGCTGCTGTCTGTTGGCTCTGTTTGGCTGTCTGTGGCTGCCTGTATCTAGCAGGCTGTCTGTTTCAGCTATTTGGCCGTCTGTGGTTGTCTGTATCTGGCGGGCTGTCTGTTTGGCTCTGTTTGGCTGTCTGTGGTTGTCTGTATCTAGCGAGCTGTCTGTTTGGCTGTCTGTTTGGCTGTCTGTGGTCTGTATCTGTATCTAGCGAGCTGTCTGTTTGGCGAGCTGTCTGTTTGGCTCTGTTTGGCTGTCTGTGGCTGCCTGTATCTAGCGAGCTGTCTGTTTGGCTCTGTTTGGCTGTCTGTGGCTGTCTGTATCTAGCGAGCTGTCTGTTTGGCTCTATTTGGCTGTCTGTGGCTGCCTGTATCTGGCGGCTGTCTGTTTGGCTCTGTTTGGCTGTCTGTGGTTGTCTGTATCTAGCGAGCTGTCTGTTTGGCTCTATTTGGCTGTCTGTGGCTGCCTGTATCTAGCGAGCTGTTTGTTTGGCTCTATTTGGCTGTCTGTGGTTGTCTGTATCTGGCGGGCTGTCTGTTTGGCTCTGTTTGGCTGTCTGTGGTTGTCTGTATCTAGCGAGCTGTCTGTTTGGCTCTGTTTGGCTGTCTGTGGTTGTCTGTATCTAGCGAGCTGTCTGTTTGGCTCTGTTTGGCTGTACTGTATCTCCAGCGAGCCTGTTTGGCTCTGTTTGGCTGTCTGTGGTTGTCTGTATCTGGCGAGCTGTCTGTTTGGCTCTATTTGGCTGTCTGTGGTTGTCTGTATCTGGCGGGCTGTCTGTTTGGCTCTGTTTGACTGTCTGTGGTTTTCTGTATCTGGACCTCTCTATATTTCAGTCTGTCTCTCTCCGCATTACCATGTTCCTTCAGTCCTGTACACAACCAGTAGACAAAGTAACTTCTTTGAGTGGCATTTCTAGAAGTTGGAGACTCAGATAAGGACAAACTTTATGGTTGAACAACTTCTCTATTCAGGTGATGCGACGTTTCAATACAGATTCTTGTATCGTTGTCAAGCAGGTATGGTTGCATCTGTATCGAAATGTCGAATCACCTGAATAAAGAACTTGTTCAACCATAAAGTGTGTGTTTATCCAGTAAACAAAGAATCATGAACTATTGATGAATGCATCATGACAACACATTACTTACTGAAATGGTGATCAAACACAAGGACTTCATCTTTGTCGCGTGTGTGTTGACAGGAGTGTGCGGGTCGTGTGCAGCAAGCGATATGAAGCTTATGTTATCTATACATGTATATTCATGTGATAACTTTCATAACTGCCAGCATAACTTCTGATGGCGCACCTATTTACGGTCAAACATGAGCCTTTGGTTGGGATTTACAACATATATTATTGAGGGGCAAACGCAGATTTTGTGCTGTTTATAAATCTTACTGTTAATTGCTGTTACATTTACGCCAAAACACCTATGTCATTCTGGACCTGTCGGCCTTCTCAACATATTTTCAGTGCGTGCATTTGGCTATTATCGATGCTGGCTAGCACGTGAAACATTTCTCTATTGTTGATATGACGTCACACACTGATAGCGTCATGTTATCTGAACAGCTAATTGTCTTCAGCGAAGTCTCTCCGTCAGTTGGCCTTTCAATGTTTTATCTTCGTATTCGTATCTTAAAATGACATAGAGTAATAGTTGTAATTTACCTCCGGAATCTCAGATATTATGTATTGTCTGATACTGTATAATTTCTTGAAGATCGTTGTTTATTTACCGAATGGCTAGAAAAATTCATTGACAAGGGACAGATACACCTTCCTTTCGTGTAACGTATATGTATTTTGGGCTTTTATGTACCGGATTTCCTATAGGGTCTGACATAGACAGGGTTCAGCGTGACAGGAAAAACACTATCTTCACTGAC